GAACAGCCAGCCTCTTTAGCGATGACCTTTTGTGTCTTGCCCTCCTTGTGCAAGGTGTCGATGGTCGTCTTTTGGACAACTGTCAAGTCAGCAGTCTTCCCCATGATTGTGTAGCCTATAGAACTAGACTGAAAGACCATTTAAAGGCTTTTGCAGGTGGTTTGAGTTAATTAGCTGATTAGAGTGTGGCACCAGGGGCCATCAATTTTGAACCTTTTCACAATATTCTAATTTTCTGATATGATGAATTTGAGATTTTCATTTGTTGTCATTTGTAATCATCAAAATTAAACAAAATAAACATCTGAAATATATGAGTTTGTATGTAATGTATGAATATAATATACAAGTTTCACTTTTTAAATGGAATTACTGAAATCAATCTACTTTTTCATGATATTCTAATTTTATGACCAGCACCTGTATTTGTGAAGCACTTAAAACTACAGTGTGTAACTTTTAGCGACATCTAGCGGTCAGACTGCAGACTGCAGCAACATGAACATCTCCCCCCCACCGCTTCTCCCCCCCAACAGTACGGCGAGCGTTACGGGACAAAAATGTCTTCCACGACGTCCGCATCACCTACCTTCTCAAGTGATGAGGTTTGTTTACATAGATAATTTTACAGATAGTATTTCATTAGTCTGTGTAGGGTATAGATTTCATGTAGACTTAAGATAATAAATATACCCATTATTTTTCTACATCGTTGTGACATTTTGGCGATCTTGCAATCGCTAGTTTGTTGGTTCTGCGCTGCCGTAACGCAAAGATGTCTGCCTCCATGGCTGCGAGACCCGCTCCTATGTAATTATAAATAACGAATTCTAAGGCAACGCAAATATTAAGGTTAAGAGGCTGAGCTCGTAGATGATGATAAATAACATAGTTATGTATAATATATTACATTTCTGACTGTATATCCCGGTAATTATTACACACTGTAGCTTTAAATTAATTGCTGACAAACTGTATTCTAGATCTGAAATTTGGCTGCATGGTAGTGCATTTGGCTTTAATGGTTTGAATCCTGGCCTGGGATATTTCTGCATTTTCTCTCAGTAAACTCAGGTTCTCTTCAGGTACTCTGGCTTGTTCCCACAGTCCAAACTCTGCTACTCTGTGAAGTCAACTGGTTATTTTAACTTTGCCAGACAGGGGACAGTGTCCCCTATAGAACAGATCCTGGCCTCTGTTCTGAATTTTTATTTTTTCTACACCATTAAGTGTATTTGCCCTTGATTTAAGGAGGTAGTAAGTAAGACAGTTTGCTAACTGACTGAATACGTTGACATTTATTACATTTAAAATAACCAAAAAAACAAATGTTAAAGGGGTCATAGAATGCAAAACCGAGTTTACCTTGTCATAAATGAATAACGATAGTTCAGTTGGTGAAATGGACGTACAGAGAAGTTCAAACCCCATCGACACCTCCTTTCTCTGCAAATCTCACAATTCTAAACTTCCACCATAAAACGGGCGAATTCAAACGAGGACCGAGGCCCATGTCCGCTGACTGGACCAGACCGGGCCCCAGTGGGGGACGGAGCGACCGAAGCCCAACTAATGTTACACACCCTATTCAGAGACCTTAAGGACCAGCACCAAATACCCCATATAATCATTCTATGTGTTACTCCTCTAGAGATAATCAAGGCTCAACGTCTTTCTTTTGGTTTTAACAGCCATTTATTGTGGACACGTCTTATAAAGCCCCAAAAAATGCCGTCAGAACTAAGAAGGGAAACAGAACCCAAATTAGCTCAAAACAAATATAAAGCTTTACACAAATAAATATAAGTAAAACAAAGTCATACCTCATTGGCCGCATAAACTCCAGAGGAATAAAGATAACTTATACAGCTTTTCTTAGAAAATCAGTCTTAAAGCTTTCTGGTGAAACTTCTTGAAGAAACGTGCAAAAAAATGGGCAACAACGTGAAATGCGGAACAAAAAACATAGGTTCCTCCTTACATTTTAATGAGCTTTTTAACCAATGTACACAAACAACATAAATGTACCAAAAGGTATTTATTTATTATGATTGAACTTTTAATTTCAATATTTGTATTAACTCTCGTTTTTAATTAAGTATTAGAATATTTAAATGAGTTGACTCTGATGGCAGCTACACTATGACCCTTTTAAAAAAGGAAGGAATAAGGACATCATGCTTTAAAATGATTGATATTATATTTATTTGACTGGTCTGGAAAAAAGAATATCAGCAGCTTTTTCCTGTAGCGGAGGAAGGGATAGATGGTTGTGCCAAACACATTAAATAAATATAACAAAGACTTCCTAAACAAACACTTACAGCTAATGGGCCACATCAGACAAATTAAAGACCTAATAACCTTTTCTGAAATGTGATTACCAAAAAATACAGAGGGTGTCGCAAACTGCTAAACTAGTGAACTAGACATTAAAAAGGCTACGGGCAGAAATGTATAGGGTACCCCAAATGCATAGTCCACATACATTCCACAACATACCTGACGTTTCTATCATCTGGAGTCAGGCACTAGAGTCAGCACTTGAAAAAAAGGAGGTGTGTAAATCTCAGAGTGATCACAGTGAATTACCACAGAGGGTACTAGAGAAGTTTCTACAAAACTGCCATCTGGCTTCATCTCCAAATAACAAGGATAGCTCCAAGAGCTCACAATTGGAACTGTAAAATGTGAGAAATACTTGGTCAAATCCGACAAGATTTCTGTATTCAAGTCTAAGTGCTTGAGGTGGCTTTGTACCCAAACCCAACTCATCCTCCATGTCCTGAGCAACTACTGTTGCCAATGGAACCACAGGAGAGGGGGAGGTCACATGACTGCATTCCCTGAGACTATAACTCTTCATCGCATTCACGTGATACACTCAAGTTCTTTTTTCATGCTCAGAAGTATGGATAAAATAATTGCTCTTACTAATTTGTCGGTCGACATCATATGGACCAGAGAATTTAGTGACTATTGCAGGCAAAATCAGAAAGATCTGATCACATGGTTGAATAGACCAAGCAACCGCTTTTCTGTCATAGCTCTGGTTTATCTTTACCTGAGAATTGGTGAGAGTGTCTCGTGCTAGGGAGCAAGCATTTTTAAGCTGCTATAGTGCTTTGCTACATACTCTGACTGATGTCTGACTGGCTTCTCACAGTCATGTCTCTTTAAAGACTTTTAATGGCCCCCTCACATCACATCCGAAGACCAACTCAACTGGGCTAAAACCCTGGGACTCTTATATTTTTCCCAAGCAGCAAACATGAAGAATGGGAGACTTTCATCCCAATCCCTAGGAGATGTGTGCCAATGCTTACGCAGCATAGACTTTCAGGGTGGTATGGACTAGAGGTGACATGCTGAAAACCAAGCGAGAAGAGAAACTTCTCTTAAGGTTTAGACACAATAGAATTACCAGATTAGGCGAAGGAGATCATCTTGGACTTCAGGAAGAACCGGCCTAACCACGCTCCACTGGTCATCAACAGCTCAGGTGTAGAGGCGGTCAGCAGCACCAAATTCCTGGGGGTGCACATCACAGACACCCTCACCTGGAATGTAAACACCACCTCACTGGTCAAAAAGGCACAGAAGCGCTTGGACTTCTTGCGGAGGATGAGGAGAGCCCACCTGCCCCCACCCATCCTCCCCACCTTCTACAGAAGCACCATAGAGAGCATTCTGAGCAGCTGTCTCACTGTGTGGTGTGGAGGCTGCAGCGCCTCAGACTGGAAGAAGGTGAGAAGAGTGGTGAGAACAGCAGAGAAGATCATTTGGGCTCCTCTTCCCTCCATTAAAGACATTTCATCCCAGCGCTGCTTGCCCAAGCCCATAACATCTTAAATGACCCCTCACCCCCCCACCATGGACTGTTCTCCACGCTGCCCTATGGGAAGAGACTTTGAAGCATCCGATGCAGGTCCAGCAGATTCCAGAACAGTTTCTTCCCCACTGACATTAGACTGCTGAACTTTATTAAAAATAGGGTTATAAAATAACAAAAAAGAAAACAAAAAACCTGAATGTTGGAACTGTAACTATACAGTTCTATGTCTACACTATTACTGCTGCTTACCTTTAACAAGGCTGCACTTTAAAAAATAAAAAATGTCTTGAGAGCTGTACTGAACGAAATTTTTTTGTATACACTTGTGTGTACAAAATAACAAATAAAGTCTGTCTAAGGCTATTCAACTCCCCAGGAGCAGGTATGACCCTTCCACTTGCAATATAAATCCTTAGGATGAAATCAACACCCCTTATCAGAAGGGAAGGGGCAAAAGCATGCTTGAACAGGCCTTCAACCAGAGAAAAATGCTCACAACGAAAGTGTAAAGAGCCAAAACATGTGTCATTCCAATACCCTGAACTATCACTCTGGAATTACATGAAGTCCTCTTAGATAAAGGATAGATATCTGCATGAAACATGGATTGTGAGCCTCTTGTATCTAAATTATAGTCACTGGCTGTTGGCTTTTTCGATCTCCCCTTTTGGAAACAAAACCTTTTGATGTAAAATGTTTGAAGTAGGGATCTAGACCATTAGTCTGTCAAGGGCCTTAGCAGTGCACCATTTGTCCAAATGTATGCCTTCTTATCTGGGAAACCCAACAAATGTTTGGCCATTAGGTTTTGTGTGTTTCCTGAATTTTTGTCTGTAAGCCTCTGGTACAAGTTCATAAGAATGAAATATTGACTCTTTAAGCATATTTTACTTCAAGCTATCCTCAATGGAACGTGTAAACAGAACCCCCTGTGCTTTACCCACCAGCTTACACTGGAGCAATGTCTTTAGGCCACTCAGTTGCCATGGTTATCTGCTCAAATTCATCAAAATAGGAATCAATCTCTGCCTCACAAAACATGGGCACAAACACAACTCGGATAAACCGCAGTTCTTTTTCTGCTTTACACTCCTTCGCTGATGAGCTAGTTGCCTGCCACGTTTAAATTGATGCATCAATAGATGATTTTGTGCTTTTTTTTCAGGTTCTCCAAAAAAATGGACAGATCTCCGACATCAACAAGAAAGCTGAGAGCTCCATATCAGAGCTGAATGGCAACTGTGAAGATATAGAAGGTAGGAAACCATAGTTTAGACACAAAACCAGATATTTACCTTCGTAGTAAATAGGACGTTTTATCAGAAAAAAATACTTCTTGTTTTATGTCATGATTGCCAAAATTATCTCTACTTGCTTAATGCCAGACGAGACTTTTTAGAATATCTTCAAATTCAGAAGTGTACATACATTTTCCTAACATTTTAAACTCTGCCCGGGGTGTTTTGGGTTTTCTTCCCAAAACACCTCAGTTTGTTGTTTCATAGTTTGTTGGAATTTTCCTCCTGAAATAACCAGTTTGTCTGAGCTACCTAGTCCGCACCCAGACCTCTCTCTTTTTGCTCGATACAATTTTGTGGTCTTTGTCTAATGGGAGAAACATATGGTTCCCAAATTCAAACAATAAAATCTCATGTTGGTGAATCAATATTTTCACATTGATTCTTTCCTTTTGAAACTATATATTATGAGAAATGCATCAAACCCCACAACATTATGCTCCTGCTTCCGTGTTTTGTATAATATTGTTGAACTTTCCCATGATGTCACACATAGAAAAGACGCTTTTGGTGTTTGCTAAAATACACCCACAGGTGTACCTCAAATTAACTTAAATTACCAATTAGAAGGTTTAAACGCTAAGACATCATCAAATCTAGGTATATCTCCCATTTGTCTGGTATTCAGCAAACAGACTATTTTTGTGGTAATCATAATCGACGTAAAACAGGGAAATTCTGAAATAATATAGAATCAATTGTAGAGACATTATTTGTCTTTGTATAATGTGTTTCCAAATGTATTAACAGAACATCTGAGAATAATATCAGCAGAAGAAATAAATATTTATAATTTCTTTTTTTTTTTTTTGTTTAGCTGCCATTTGTCCAGAAATAAATATTACAGAAGCAGTGGAGGATAAAGAGACACCTTTAGAAAATGAAATCGATTTAAAGGATGTGGCTAAAGACATTGAAGACGAACTGGTTGAACAAGAGGATGTGATCGAAATGGATGCCAAGCAGAATGACATCAATGAAAGTTTCAGGAAATTTTTCAGCAACATTGGTCTGAAACTCACAGTTAAGAGAGGCTCCACTGACAAAGGTGGCGTACCTATAGACATGTCGGAGGAGGAACCAAGCAAACCAGAAGACATTAAGGGTGAAGATGCTGCAAACAAAATAAACAAGGATGATGAGGAACAAACAGAACTTATCACAGCAGAGGAGGCTGTGGAAAATGACTCGACTGTGTGCCAGACACTGACAGATGACACACCTGATGATTTTCAGGAAAAAGAAGGAGAAAAAACAGCCGAAACCAATGAGGAAATAATATCACATGAAACATCTCCACTTCTCAATGAGGATACTACGCCACAAGAGGAACCACATCCAGCATCTCCAACTGGTCTTGATGAAACTGCAAGTCCATTTAAAAAGTTTTTTACAACTGGGATCTTTTCTGGTCTTCGAAAGAAAAAAAAGCTTGAAGATGAAGAGGTGGGTGAGAAAGAACTGGTAGAAGGTGAAGTAAATGTGACCCAGGCTGGAAATGATGAGCTACATGATGAAGATGTCACTCCAGTTCTTGATGCTAAAGTGGAGAACCTAATCACCAAATCAGCTGAAGTCCAGGAGGAAGCTAAAGCACCATTGATTGTTGTAGATGAAATCACAAACTCTCAGGAAATTGTTCAAGAGAGTCCCCTAAAAAGGCTTTTGTCAGGCTCAAGTTTCAAGAAGCGCAGTAAAAAGCAAAAAGGCAGAAAATCCAGTGATGCAAAGCTGTCTGACTCTGGAGAACACGTTTCAGATCAGCATCTGTCATCTGTAGAGTCTGCTGAAAATAAGAAAGATGAAACCTCTGCCCAGACATCTGCTGAGGGAGTGAGTGGGGAAGATGGGGCTTGGTTTTCCTTCAAAAAACTTGTTACTCCCCAAAGGAGGAAGAAGTCGTCTGTGGACCATGTAGAGGAACCAATCCAAGGTTCAAAAGATGGAGAGAAATCAGTTGAAGGGGAGCAAATATCGGATCAAAGCACGGAGGAGGGAAAAAGGAGAAAAGACTCGTCTGTGTCATGGGAAGCTGTGCTGTGTGGATCAGGGAGGAGAAGAAGCCGGAAAACCTCCGACTCCGAGGATGACACACCTCAGTTGGATGGTGAAGAGAACAGGCAAAACGACAGATCTAAAGAAGCAGGATCAAGAGTTTCTACTGAGGTGCAGGAGGTTCTGGCTTCACCCCCTAAAGAGACAGAAGGTCCTCCAGAGGGAGACGAAGGCTCAACATGGAAATCATTCAAAAAGCTTGTCACTCCCAAAAGAAAATCTAAGGATGAGGGGGAACGTATCAGCGAAATCGACCAAGAGGATTCTTCCTTTTCCATAATAAGGCTCCTGTCAGGAAGGAAAACAAGGAAGTCTGTTGATGTTTCCCCTGAAGAGGTTAGTAAAGAGATAGCAAGCGTCTGTGATGAAGACTCTGAGACACCAGCTGTGGTTCCACTGTCTGAGTTTGATTTAACAGAAACACAAACAATGGCAGAAAAAGATGCAGACAATACGCATCAAATGGACATAAACGAAATCAAAGAGGAAGTCCAGTCTAAGGATACTGTGCAAGTTCAGGCAAATGACATCCCAGACAATGAAGGAGCTTTAGAAAAGGATGCTTCATCGGCTGTTGCTACAAATGAAGAACACAATGAGCTCACAGAATCAAGCGAGCATCAACATCTCAGTGACATACCGGAAGAGGGAGTCCTCACAGAGAACACCCCGGCCTCAGAGGAGGCAGCTAAAGATGAAACAATAGCAGAGGATCTGTTGGAGATTACATCTGAGGCCATTACTGCTCCAGAACCAGCAGATGTTACCCTGGCAGATGAAACTGAGATGGTTTCTGCATTATCCCAGTTATCAGAGTCTTCAAAAACATCTGGCAACACAACACCTGTCCCTGCAGAGTACAGCGTCCTAAACACAGAGACCCTCCTCCAGCAGGTTTCTGAGACTATCGCCATAAGCCCAAAAGCAGTTCCAGTGTTCTTAGAGGAACCGAACCCTGAAAGAGTTGTTTGTTTAGCCTCCAATCAAATACTTGAATCGTCTGTATTAGAGAAGCCAAAAATACTGGAAATACACAGAGAATCAGATGTAGCAAGCATAAAAACCGGCTTAAATGCTGAAGAAATTGATGCAGTGAATGAAGTCACAGCAACGGCCCAAGCCGAAAGTATATCTCACCTTAATGAAGCCATTTTAACAGAAATTTCTTCAGAAGTTCCTAAAGAGTTGCTTGACACTGCCAAGCCTGCTGCAGATGAAGTCTATGAAGTAAATATTTCAGAGTTACAAAAAGACATTAAGGATATGCAAATTGTTGAAGAGAGGCAACATGCGGTTGAAGATACAGGGGATGTAGATGAAGAGGCATCTTCAGAGAGTTTACCTAAAGAAGATGCAGGAACTGAGGATGTTTTGACTGATCAAACTGAGCAGGACAGCAGAAAAACACACTCTAAAGAAGAAGAACTAGCTGTTCCATCAGCAGATGACTTGGAGGAAGCATATGAGAAGGAGGAAGAACATCCTGCAACAGAGCTGGACACTGAAACCAAAGAAATGGCCTTTGAGCAAGCCCAAAATGAGGCTTTATCTTCTGCAGCAGTGGATGAGTTAGAAAAACAGGCTGGAGCAGAAAAAGTCGAGTTGACCAATGTAGAGCGTAATATTCAGTCACATGAGGAAAGATCCGCAGAGGACACGGAGCCATCTGAAATACTGTCACAGGATCTTACTGAAGTAACCAAAACAAACAAGGAACCTCAAATAGCTGGAGCTGAAACTGACATAAGTCCACCAATCCAGTTGGAGGAGGACATGCTTGAGACGCTAAACAAAGAAGTATTGATTTCAGTATTTCAAACCGTTGAAGTGCCAACATTAGAGTCACAAAATACATCTGCCCTGTCCCCTGATGAAGAATTATTACTGTTAGACATTTCCCAAGCTAAAACAGGAGAATCTAAACAAGTAGAGTCTCTCACTGAGGTCCCAGATGAGCAAGAAGACAAAGAGATAAAAGCAGATGCAGCTGAAACAGAGGAATCCAAACAAGTAGAGTCTCTCACTGAGGTCCCAGATGAACAAGAAGACAAAGAGACAAAAGCAGATGCAGCTGAAACAGTTGAATCCAAACACGAAGAGTTGGTCACTGAGGTCCCAGATGAGCAAGAAGACAAAGAGATAAAAGCAGATGCAGCTGAAACAGAAGAATACAAACACAAAGAGTTTGTCACTGAGGTCCCAGATGAGCCACAAGACAAAGAGACAAAAGCAGATGCAGCTGAAACAGAAGAATCCAAACACGAAGAGTTTGTCACTGAGGTCCCAGATGAACAAGAAGACAAAGAGAAAAAAGCAGATGCAGCTGAAACAGAAGAATCCAAACACGTAGAGTTTGTCACTGAGGTCCCAGATAAACCAGATGTCAAAGAGATAAAAGCAGATGCAGCTGAAAAAGAAGAATCCAAACACGAAGAGTTTGTCACTGAGGTCCCAGATGAACAAGAAGACAAAGAGACAAAAGCAGATGCAGCTGAAACCGAAGAATCCAAACAAGTAGAGTTGGTCACTGAGGTCCCAGATGAGCCAGAAGACAAAGAGATAAAAGCAGATGCAGCTGAAACAGAAGAATTCAAACACGTAGAGTTGGTCACTGAGGTCCCAGATGAACAAGAAGAAGAAGAGACAAAAGCAGATGCAGCTGAAACAGTTGAATCCAAACAAGTAGAGTCTCTCACTGAGGTCCCAGATGAGCAAGAAGACAAAGAGATAAAAGCAGATGCAGCTGAAACAGAAGAATACAAACACAAAGAGTTTGTCACTGAGGTCCCAGATGAGCCACAAGACAAAGAGACAAAAGCAGATGCAGCTGAAACAGAAGAATCCAAACACGAAGAGTTTGTCACTGAGGTCCCAGATGAACAAGAAGACAAAGAGAAAAAAGCAGATGCAGCTGAAACAGAAGAATCCAAACACGTAGAGTTTGTCACTGAGGTCCCAGATAAACCAGATGTCAAAGAGATAAAAGCAGATGCAGCTGAAACAGAAGAATCCAAACACGAAGAGTTTGTCACTGAGGTCCCAGATGAACAAGAAGACAAAGAGACAAAAGCAGATGCAGCTGAAACCGAAGAATCCAAACAAGTAGAGTTAGTCACTGAGGTCCCAGATGAGCCAGAAGACAAAGAGATAAAAGCAGATGCAGCTGAAACAGAAGAATTCAAACACGTAGAGTTGGTCACTGAGGTCCCAGATGAACAAGAAGAAGAGACAAAAGCAGATGCAGCTGAAACAGAAGAATCCAAACACGTAGAGTTGGTCACTGAGGTCCCAGATGAGCCAGAAGACAAAGAGACAAAAGCAGATGCAGCTCAAACTGAAAACGCTGAACTTGCAGAAGAATTTAAATCTGTAAAGTCCGATGAGGATATTACTCAATCCCTTATAAAAGACACTGAAATGGACAATCAGGAAGAAAAACAAGAAGTAACTAATAAAATCAAAGGCATAAATCCACAAACAGATGCTGATCAAATCAACCAGGTTAAAGAGGAAATATCCTCGCAAGCACCAATAATTAATTTAGAAGAAGATGCAGTTAAGTCCCTTGATAAGGAGGCCTTATGCCCTGAAAACATTTTAGCTGGAGTAACAAATTACAAGGAACTTGAACTGGCAAAGTCCCTCCCTGAAGCACAAGAAGAGCAAGACAACAAAGAGCTACAAACAACAATTACTGCATTGGAGTCCTCGGAAGTTGCACATGTTTCTGAGATTAAAGACGCCATAGATGTTGCACAAGATGCCATACTGGAGTCAGAGGGAAGCAGAGTTGAGATTCTGGAAAAAGACATAACACCTTATGAAACTGTACCAAAAGCAGAAACAGCTGAAGAGACACCTAAAACTCAGACACTAGATGTTCAAGCAGAAGATACTCCTGAAACCAAACAAGCTCTGGAACCAGAACCTTCTTTAGCGCCTCCACTAGATCCAGCAGATATTAGCTGTGAAGCTTGTGATACGGACGTGATATATGATACTTCAGTAGTGGAAAAGGTCACAGATGAATTAATTATTACCGATTTGAAAGAACCTCTCTGTGAGGAACTAGAAGGTTCACTCTCAGATGCACAAGACATTACCTCAGATCTAGATACAAGTCAACAAACAACTGCACCAAATGAAGAGGAAAGTACAACTGAAAAAGTTGAACTGCAAACAATGCTTCAAGATGTTCCTCAACCGGAAGACATTGACATTGCTAAAGAAGAGCCAGAGGGCAACGTTGCACAGCAGTTGGATCAAGAAACTGATGCTGAACCATGTGATGCTAAAGTCAAGGATGAAGAAAATGTTCTTGAAGATCTGCAAGGGTTACAGGCACCAACAGCAGTTCACATATCATCAGTTGATGAGAGTCCAGGGACTGCAGAGGTCCTAGAAAAAACAACAAGTCTTGAGGAAATCCTGCCAGATTGTATAGACACAGCAGAAGTTTCAGAGGAATCCAGGAACGAAGTGAATCTCTGTGAGCAGCAGGAGAGGGTAGAGGGGGCGAAAGTGGATCTTCTTTCAGACGCTGAGATAAAAGTTGCTGCAACCGTTAGTAACGTCATATCACACGAAGTTATGAGTAATCTGAAGGAGGTTTCAACTGAGAAACCTAGTGCTGTGGTTTGTGAAGCTTTAACGGCTAAAATGGTCAGTGAGTCAGAATTCATTGATACAGTAGAGACTACGGCACCATTAGTGTTAGATGAAATAAATCAGGCAGCAGAGCCCAGCAGCGCTGTTTTGAAGATGAATGTTCCGCCCGTGGAGATCGAGGTCAATCACAAAGTCCAGGTGCACCTGATGGATGTTGAGATCAGATCAGCCGAGAAGATAGTAGACACAGTGATCCAGGTAGGGGTTACAGAAGTTAAGGGGACCATTGATGTGTGTCAGGAAAACATTCAGGAAGTAGAGAATATCTCAGCGACTGCGGGAATTGAAGAAGGAGGCGCATATGAAGGAATCCAGGTGACAGTTCAAGATGTCATGCAGCACATAACAAGTAACTTACCAGAGTCAGCATCCGACTTGGCCTCTGAAAATGAGGAACAGGACATTGAATTGAAAGAAATTATACAAAAAGTTTGTGAGACAGATCAAAAGGAATTGGTTCAAACAGAAGAAGATACATTGATCATTGACAGCACTGAGATGGTCAATGGACAAGAGGAGGAGGCTTTAACTGTTACTGAGAACTCTGGAATCCCTGTTGAGCAACTTGAAGAATCCAAGCTACTGTCCAGTAGTCCCCAAAGCTCTGAAGTGTCCATCAAGGACCACAAAGAGGATTTGGAGGAAGCAAAAGCTGCTGAGCCAGAAATAATCACTGCAGTAGGAGATGTAAGAGCAGAGGTGTTAGCTGTAAAAGACCCCAATGAAAGCCCCATGGAACCTCTGCCAACTACTCACACACAAGTCGCCACTGCTGGCACTGCTGGATTAGCTGTCCCCCAAAACACCGGAGTAATCTCCTCAGCAGGGAACCTTGAGTCCCCCTCTAGCCTGTCCTTAGAATTTAAACTGAATATACAGTTTGCTCAAGCTAAAACCCAAACATGGCCTTCAGCTGCACCTACAGAGAGACCTGAACCCGTTAGACAGGTTGATGTTTTTGACGCTGGAGTTCAGGCAGAGGAGTCAGTACCTAAAGGAGATGAATGCAAGAAACAGACAGAACTAAATGAGGTCGCAGTGCAGGCAGTCAGTGTCACCGAAGCAGATCCCGAGACACACTTAAACCAGAGGGCCTTAATTGCAAGTCAGCCAGTGTTACAAGATGTGGGCATCCAAGCAGTGGAAAGGACAGAATGGTATGAACAAATCCAATCTACTGAAAGAGCCACAACAAAGGTCCAGGCCGTGGATGTTGTCCAATCATCACGACAAGAGAAGAGAGCAGTGCTCCTGAGTAAGCCTCTGCTCTCCGAGTTAAAAAAAGGCTGGGCTTTTAGGCAGTCAGAGGATGAAAATGATGTGTGGCTGGATGCAGAGGAGGACATCTATCCACAGCATGTCCCACAGACAACCATAGATCAGGTGGACGAACATATCCAGCTACAGAGTGAGAGTGAACAAAAGGAGGAAGCAGAGCCTGAGATGGAGTTTGAGATGGCAAGTAGTCTGGAGACTGAGGACACAGAAAGCCAACAGAGCAAACAGAAAAAAGAAACAGGTGAAATAGAAAGTGAAGGGGAGGATTTCGATGTTGCACTTGAGGAGCTTGGAAGCAGTGTCCCTGCAGTGGAATGAAGCCACTATAACGCAACCCTTGGGTTAAAGCCAGGTAAAATATCTCCCTTTAAACTCGTTAGTCTTCAGTTAACTCGTTGACAATTGAATTTAACAGCTGCTTTTTCCTCTTTTTCTAGGTTTGGACAATCATAACAAAGAAGCCACTAAAGAATTTCCCATGACATCAAGTGTCACTAAATATGACAACTCCCATATTTAGTGGTGATATCATCCTGGATTTTAAAAAATATGATTATTATTTAGGTGTGGTTTGGGCAGGGAAAACTGTTATTCTCCTTAGGGTAAAGATAGTGGGATTTCAGGTGTGACCACATCGACCGTGCGTTTAGACTACTAATAATGTGCAATCCTCCTACTTGTATGTAACATGTTAATTCTGTCTTTAAAAAGACCAAGAACAATTTAACTAGATGATCAAAAATATTACTCTGACACTGCACACATCTTTTTTATATACTAATGTAGGTAATTCAAGCTTTTCCTATTTATTATCTAATTTGCCCATTCAGTTTTTGTTCAGTTATTACACTTATAATGCCGTGAAGAACTCATACTTATTGAACATTTTCAGATTTCATCAACTTAAATGTATTTTGTAAGGAGTGTTACTTTCACTTGTCTTTACCTACATATTATCTGAAAAGTGTGGAAGTCAGTTGATTTTAAGCCCTCAAAAATCAATACTTTTACAGAACCTTTTCTTTTGAATACAGCTTTAAGTGGAGTATGTTTCTACCAGCTCTACACAACCAGATTTGAAAGCATTTCTTTGTTACATAAAAGATCAGATCCAAATCAGATCAGGTGGGGAGCATGGGGTCTGCCACAGATTCTCAACAGGGTTCAGGTCTAGATTTGATTTTGTTTTTATTTTTAAACACACCAATCTTTTTTGTTCCAAGCGGTTCTATTGTAGCTCTGGATACATTTCAGGATTGTTGCAATCACACATAGTGTTTTTACTATATATAATTTAATATTTTGGGGATTTCCTTCTTTTTAAGAGTTTTTTGCCGTCTCTCTTCCTTAAAAGCATCTCATCTTTTTAGGTCAGATTTGCCAAAGCCAAAAAGAGCAACCAACTCAGCAGTAATTGAGCCATAACTGCCCATAAAAATAATTGAGATTAACCCGTAAGCAAAGTAATTGTCAGTTACAGCCCTATTGAAAACCACATATGATCTTCCCTCCACTTTACAACTATGTTCTAATTTATTTTGCCCTACATAATAGAATTATAGGAGAGTACCACAAAGTTTCTGGCTGTAATTGAGAAAGGCGAAAGAGAGTAATAAATACACTTTTCATGCTTTATAAGTATACATCAGATATGTTATTATATATATTTCATCTTGTACATATTTTTTAAATGTATACAGGCTATGCAACGTATATTTGCAATCAAAAAGAGATACTTTGTTGAATTTCAAAGTAAGGGGAGTAGAAAGCATGCCATAGCACTGTAGAGACCTTTGATATTTAATGTAGACAAACACTGACTTTTAAGTGTTTGGATTGTAATCTGCACAGCCTTAATCATGGTATATTTTACTTCTTTTTCCATTCTTCTCCTCCCGTCTATGAATCAACTATAAAAGAATCAGCTGATACAATCAGGTCTGTATTAAAACTGAAGAAAACATGCAGTTGATTAGTTTTCTGTTTATTCAATTTCTCCTGATTTTAAAGTAATTCCTCTCATGTCAAGAGTGGCAAGATGTAAAACAGAACCATGAGATGCCTTTATTCATATATTACCAAGATTTATTATTAAAACATTGTTTTAATTGAATAAAATAAGACCTGAATATATACCAGATCTCCTGTATTGTTTTTAAATTGTTTGTGCTTTTTCATTGTTTATTATTCAGCAGTCAGTTTAAAAAATAATTAAGGGATTTGGATTATATCAATCTAAAGGAAAACAACGGAAAAAAACCCTCAGCAATCACACTTTGTGATTAGGACTAAATAAGCACCGATACATTTGTGTAGGCAATTTTATTTCGGCATGAATTAAGTCACATGAATAATGTTCAGTATGACCTCATGATGCTCTGAAGATAAAATAAAAATGCTGAAAAATCTAAATACTCAAACTCAGCAAAATAAACATTAAACAATCACATATTTAACCAGTGCAATCATGTTAGGACACTAAGCAGCCATGAAATTGGACAGAAAGATAAATCTCTATATATTGTGCGCCTGAAAACTGTTCCTTCTTTCAATGAAGGAGTAAAAAAACTCAAACGAATCCGGTCCCCTTCACATTTTGCAGCTGCTTCAGCGACTCACTGTGACATTGCAGTGAACGAGCATTCTCAGCATTCTCTTATGCAGTGTCTAATGCCATTTACTGATTTGTGCTTTCTTGGATCGGGAGATTAGAAGATCATCTTTGCAAGTTCAAACATCACCTATAAAGAAAACGACACAGAAATCCATCAGTTCAAACAGGGCAGGAGAGACTTTTACAGTGCTTTACTAAAACAAAAACAGAAAAAGATCTGTTTTTCATTATATGTAAAGATATATAAAGATTCTATATGATGGACCAACATAATGCAGTGCACAATTGTGATATGCATAAACGGTTTTATGAACGCATTTTAAAAAGCCATCAAGATATTTATTCTGAGCCACTTTTTAAACATTAGTCTGCAACTCCAGCAGCAGATATTTGTACATCTAAATACTGAAATCTGCTAAATTTGTTTGCCAAATAACTGCAGGTTAGTAAAACTAGATAGAAATAAAAAAAATCAGGTTTAAAGTTTCCATCTCTTTTCTCCATAAAACCTAAACCTGCAGTCTTACTTCTTATAAATATGTGAAATGTTTCAAAAGCTCTCTAGGCCTTCAGAGATCAGTCTTATGGAAGAAAAATAGTCTCATTGGAATCTCCCGTTTTTTAACACCCAATTTTAAACACTGAATATTTTAAACACTGAATTTTTTAAACACTGAATTTTTTTAACACCCAATTTTAAACACAGAATTTTTTAACACCGTATTTTAAACACTTTTTTTAGACATTGAATTCCTTACACTCAATTTTTATCTGGTAAAAATTCACCAGAAAAACATTCAGCTGCAAAAGTGTTGACCTTTTGATGAACTCAAGCCAAAGCAATCTACACTCGATAGAGTCGAGCAGCTTCTAGCCAATGAAATTAGCTTGTTTGGTCACATGACACAACGGCAGCGCTGTTCACAGCTGAATGAGGAATTTATTTTTGTTAAACAGAATTACAAAACGTCAGTTAGCTACTAACAGACAGCTATTAGAGTTTTTCCTCTTATCAGACTGGGTGAAACGACTGAGCCGATCACAGCTATTACGGCACCCCTGTCTGCCAAGGCTCTTGGTTTGATCCAGAAGAAGCGGCCGGTTTGCCGCCAGCAGCTAAATTTTTTTCTGGTGAATTTTTACCAGATAAAAATTGAGTGTAAGGAATTCAATGTCTAAAAAAAATCAGTGTTTAAAATTTGGTGTAAAAAAAAAAAGGCAGATTCCAATGAGACTGTTTTTCTTCCATACAGTATGGTCACAGCTTTTATGTACTGAGGTTAATTAAACACACATGGGCTCTGTATACTAACTGGGAAACTTCTGACAGCAAATTGATTAAACTGGATTATTTTTAGGGTTCTAAGTATAAAAGCTGAGCAAAGATTTTCTAACTGGATTTGATATTTCACACAAATTCCCAAATAAAAATTCCCAGATAAAGGGTTAAAGTAAACCCAGTTTACCTCTATGGTAATGAGGATGACTATCATCCACTCTAATCTCAAGCTGTGCTTTTCACTCAGGTGGCTCCTCATCAGGTCAGTCAGCTGTGTACAATGTTCCAGCTTCTCGTTCACAACCTAAAAAAAAAAAAAATCACAGAATCGGGTTGAAAGGAGGCAGAATTTCTCACTGAAGCCCTCATTCAGGACTCATCTGCATTCTGTTCCTCAGAGTAACTCGATTTACGTTAACTCTGCGGTTGATGCTCAGGAACTGGCATGTCTTGTCATAGAGCTTTTCTAAGTTCTCCCTGTCCCAGTAGAAATCAGGAGTGAGCAGCAGGTCGGACCTCAGGTTGATGCAGTGCCTGTAGGGGAAAGAGGCCAAAAGCAAATGCTGAAAAGTCCTGGTCATACCAGAGGTCGGCGATTCTTAACAAGACAGCACGACTAACATATAGATAGTAAATTAAGTGAAGAATCAGGCATTTCAAGTAATTGGAGAGCTCTGGCTTTCTCTTAAGTTGTAAACTAAAATAGAAAAAGAAGGAGCTGCTGTTTGGAGGCAAAATGAATTGACCTTAATGTGAAAAGTTCTCCGATCTTCTGCATAACTTCAGCAGAAGAAAGCTTGACTCTTCTGCCAGACTTCAGGGTCTAAGGAAAACAAATTACCTTATATTACTCTTCTTATAATAACTCACATGAATCTAGAAAATTCTCTCTTCATCTGATTCTTTTTACCTCTGGAATTGACTGAATTGAGTCTACAAAGTTGTCCAAAGCCACCTCCCATATCGCCAACTTTACTGAAAAACAAAGAATCAGTAAAAAGTGTGCATCTTGTCGGAACAAAGGAAGTATTTCTCCTTAAAGATTGCATCTCACCAGACAGACAGAGGGCATTTGAAAAAGCAAATTTCTCCAGAACCGCCTCATGTTGATCCATTTCGTAACTAAGAATGAAATTGCCTCTTTCAAGTTTCGTGTTTCCTCTAAGGAGGAGATTCAGAAGTTAAAGGGAAGCAGAACAAAAATCAGGAACGCTAATAAACCAAAGTGACAGTGAAGCCTTTCTTACTCTCCCACGGTGTAGTTAATCTCCTCGTTTTCCCAGTGGACTAAAGCAACTTCATAGGGCTGGATCTCATGATGCTCCAATAATCGTAAAACCTTTTTCATCTGCAGGAAATGAAAACAACATCCATTGTCGAAGGAGTTGACAGGATGGAAACAAAAACAAACCATATTTACCTCTTTCTCCTCAACATTCCAGAAAACCACTGATCCTTCTCTGAAATACAGATTAGACTCAGTGTTAGATGAGACAGAAAACTAGCTTATATACAAAAATATATATATATATATAAGCAGCTTTAAAAAGTATTTAAGTTTAGGTTTTAGATCATCTATGAGATCCTGGTGAAACATTCAGGTAATCTCACCATCGATGAATGTATAATTTCCCGACTTCTAATGATATATTTCTGGACGATACAGAAAACAATTCTAATTATTATTAAAGAATAAGATGCACAAGCCAGGATATAATGTAGTTTGTCCAGATTGATCCCATCCCCAGTGGCTTAAAATATCATTTAGTTAAACATCTCTGAGAATAAATCAAATTCTCTGCTCTATATTGGACTATTTTTTACTTAAAAACTAAAGCGTAATATTTTCTGTGATGCATCTGGCTTTTGTTTTCCCTAAGTTTTAAATTAAGTAGGTTGTCATTATGAACACTATATATTAGCCAGCTTTATCCTCTATAAAACCCCAAGTTTCCACTCGGTAGATGTGGATTTGGGGTAGGGCTGCAACTAACGATTATTTTAAAAATCGATGAATCGGATGATTATTTTTTCGATTAATCGATGAATCGGACAAAAAATATTTTTTATATTAACCTCTTTATTCCAAAATAAACATTTTAGACAGAACAAACAAGCACACCAGTACAGGTTGCTCATTAACTGTACTGGTGCAATATGAAAAATAAATGTTTGTGTTAAAACTACGCAAACTTACAGGAGAAATGTAGCTGTACATCCACAAATTATAGGCTACTTTGTTTCATAAAGCGCAAAAAAAGACATTTTTGTTTTTAAAGCCCCTAAGGGGTTCAAACAATAGGCCCCCCCATTTCAACAAATGAGGTTTTTTTTAGACTAGAAGAGTTCTGCCTTTTAAGACAGGAAAGTATAGCAGTTAAAGTTGCTACTTGAGAAAATACTGAACCATAGAGATAAAAATAGCCCTGTGATTCAAATTATAAATTGTATTTGGAATAAAAATGAGAGAACTAGGGGTGCTAAAAAACACATCCTCCAAAGACAGATATTTACATGGGAATGTGGCAGATAATTAATTGACATATTACTGATCTTGCTGGATTTTATTCTGCTTTACTTCCATAAATTGCAGGATCTTCTTTACTTTATCTTTGCCAGAAGATTTAAACTTTAAAAGCCTTGCCCTCATAATTTGCAAGTTAATTTAATTATAAAGTAAATATAAACGCTGCTTAAGCTAATTCAAATGAAATTAAAAGTAAAATAAGTAGCCAACCTTATCACTGTCTGTAACCTACTAACACGGTAAGGAAAGCATCAGATGAGCTACCTGAGCAACTAACTTAACGTTTCCCCACTTTAAAACCAAACAAACATGGTGGTTCCGTGCCATGTTCATTTGTTTTGACAAAAGTTGCATGTTACGACTTTTTACACTTTACAAAGCGCAGGCTATTTTAATTATTGTGATCAATTTGCGCCGTCAACCCCGGCGCATGCACGCTTCATTTGCAGTCTGGACGCTGAGGATAAACATCCTGCGGCTCTGCCTGCAACGCTGAGAGGGACTCCTGCAGGAGAACGGGGTTGGGATGGGGGAGGCGCCCCACGGCAGAGTAGGAACGATACATGCTTTCACGTAAGAGTCTCCAAAAGCCGCCAGTGACTCCGTAAAAAGTCGCCAGATTTGTCGCTAGTCGCTTTTTTGAAAAATAGTCGCTGGAGGGGTCTGAAAAGTCGCTGAGTTGGCAACACTGCACCTGCGGCGCTGACTCGCTCTGCCGTATTTTTTCTTCTTCCCCCGTTTTAGTCAAGTGGATGTGATGACGGCGGCGGCGGATGACGCATTAATCGCGCGACACAACTAATCGATGATGAAATTCGTTGCCAACGCTTTTAAAAGTCGATTTTTATCGATTCGTTGTTGCAGCCCTAATTTAGGGTGAATTAGAAAAAAATGACCACTGAAGGTCTGATCTTAAAAGAATTTGAATCAGGAGAGCTAATGGGCAAAGGCAAAAAAAAGAAATAAAAAAGGTGTATGTGCAATAGGTGGGAGTGTTGAGGCTGATCTATAAATATCGCAAGCGCAGAAGGGATGTGCGGATTGTTAAATGAACAATTGCAATAAAAGAAACGACGTTCTAAGCTATGGAATTAGAGGTGAAGGTAATAATTATTTAAGAAATAAAAGCAATAATACTGATGAATGTAATTTATAGTGATTCCAAAAAAGTAAAAAAAAAACAAACACTGGACTTTGTTTTCCAAGTTTGAAGACGTTTCTACGGTGGCCGGGAGGCGCAAACCAACATTACAAAATCTAAAAACATTTTAGATTTTGTATCAGAATCAGAAAACAAATTTACATAAAAGAATAAAAAATAAACAAAACACTTTTAAAAATTCAAAACAAATAGCATTTTAAGAAAACAAAAAAAATATTCAAAACACTTTTACAAGTCCCAAAACAAATTACCATTTGAGGAATTCAACCAGAAAGGGTGGGTGCTAACTCCGAGGCTGAACCGGTCTGTTCCCGCTGTGTCGGGAACACGCATCGCAGCCAGAGAGGCGGATCTGACCATTTTCAAGGCGCTCCTGATCGGTGAAAACAGCTCATATAATCATGTCATCTTTGTAACATTCAGTTTAATCGGTTGCTCTTTTTACTGATTTGTAAAATAAATACGTTATCGAGGTCTTCTTACGCTGTTCTGTGTTGTTTTTTTTTCAACGCCAAGAGAGTGGGTATTTCTCCAACTTTTGTCTCTTCAGCCTTGCAGAAATAAACGTCAGTCACCAAACACACCAACACATTTTTTTTTATTTTTCATTGCTGATTTAAGAGGATGGAAACTGGCTGATAGCAGGGCACACAAATTAAGACGTCCTGCGAAGACGTCCAGTAGAATTTCTGGTTAATCCCGTTCTACTGTCAAACATGACAGATTGCTGGATTAGGGACATTTCTAGTTTAACATATCACACATATCAATTTTAGAGGAATTGGAAGCAGTTGATCTTTACTGTATTTACCTCCATGGGAGGAGAAGAGGAGAGAATGTATGTTTCAGCTGACTGAAATAATCTGTTCCCCTCCATAACATGGGAAGAAATTAACGTACCTGCAAGTCTTTAACTGGGCTTATTCCTCTGACAATCAACAACAAATCCTGTGGATTTGGTCATATTTACTCTTTATTTGCCATGATTAAAAGAGAATGAAATGACGCCTCTCTGGCTGCAATGCGCGCTCCCGACACAGCGGGAAGAGAAACAGAATTTCAGACAAGACCAGTTGTTTTGTTTCCTGAAATGTTAATTTGTTTTGGAACTTGTAAGGTGTTTTTTAAAATGTAAATTTGTTTTCTGAAATGATCATTTGTTTTGGAACTTGTAAAAGTTTTTTAGATTTCGTAATGTTGGTTTTCACCTCCCGGCCACTGTATGTTTCGCCTTCCATCCAGGAAGCTTTCTCGATTCAAAATCTCCAAGTTGAGGCTTCATACAGTAGCCCAACAGATGCTTAGAAAACATGCAATAGAACAGAAAGAACAGATCTAGTAATGGGGAGTCGTTGAGGTTGGCAGCTGGAGGATTTTGTTCTTTTAATTTTTTGGAATGGCTATGACCGAGATGACTGAGAATCTTCACCAGCATAATTTAAAGAGCACTTTACATTAAATATTCTGAGGCACTACAACTAAAAACAACAGCAAAAATAAAAGATGAAAAGAAAAAGTTCAAAAATATTTAACATCAATCATAAAACCTGGAAAAGTTGACTTTATCTGCACCTTGATCGTCGACCCGTTTCTAACAGAAAAAGAGCCGCATTCAGACTTACAGCAAGACTAAGTTCAACACATCTGTATTTACCTCCAACAGCACAGAAAGGGAAGAGAAACAAGGAAACCCTGGAGTGAAATATCTACACACTTGAGGTTAAATACAACATTTAAATTTTTGAAAAAATAGCTCAGCCCCTCTACTGAGGAGCAGCTTTAGGTTGCAGTCAAGACTAACGTATTAGCTTCTAAGAAAGGTCACTAACTACACTGTGAAGAGGGGGGGTTTGGTGTCTTAGTGCTTCTTTGGTTCATCTGAAATATAAAACAAATCTATTTTTTACCTGATGCTGACAATCTGAGTCAGACGAATGAAAAGTGGACACAAATGGATGCTTGGAAGGAAAACAATTCCAACCAACTTAAAGATTTGTTTATGACTGAATAGAGCTGCTTAATGTTAAAGATCTTATATGGTCAAAATCCCCAAAAATGTGTAAAATGTGGGAAGTATGTTTGGTTTGACCCAAGTACCCCACTAATCCAAATGACCTCCATCCACTCTGCCAAGAAGGAAAGTCAACAATCCAGGCAGCTGTTCTGGTATTTAACATTTAATCTAAACATTAGTGAGGCTCTGTGTACATATTGGAGAAATTATTTTTAGTTTAAAGAAAACCGCCAATAAATTCAAACTTGTGCATCAAATTCTTTACCTGGAAATGTATTAACGCTGTTTGTTGCATAATAGTAAAAGTAAAATCATATTCAACCAGATGATTATGAAAAATACAATATGCATTGCAAATAAAGTGTTTAAAATAAAGCTTATTGTTTTTACCTGAAGAAAAAGATAAGAGCATCGTCGTCTGGTTTAGCAACATTTTCGGTGCTTATCACCAAGACATTTGACGCATCTGAAAGAAAAACATGACGGTAAGAAAAAGAGAATGAAGCAACATATGGCACGCCTTTTTAACGTAAATTCGGTTTCGTCTGACCGTCCATAATTATGTTCCAGATATCTTAAAATACATTTTGACTAGACAAAACCACATTTTGACTATCCTGAATGGTAATTTAAGATATTTGTATTTACACTCTGATTAGGAAGAATAATAATTCAAGATATCTCAAATTACATTTTGACTAGTCAAAGTTCCTTTCAAGATATTTCAAATTACGACACCAAATTTTTTATTTAAAGCGTCACACGATGATTTAACTTTTCCTCCTTTGGATTAAACTGCAAGTAAGGAATTTTTTAGGATGATCCTCCTGGGAGCATAATAAAAAGATCATGACAAATTTTGACTAGTCAGAATGTCAATTTAAGATATCTTCAATGGAAAAGCTGAATAATTCAAGATATCTTTAATTCATTTAGAGATATCTTAAAAGGAATTTCGAATACTCAAAATTACAATTCAAGATATTTTTAAAATTTCTTTGTCTAGTCATCATTTGCTTTTAGGATATCTATAATTGAGTTTTCACTAGTCAAAACTGCATATCTCCTATCCTAAAATACATTTAAGATATCATGAATTATGGTGGCATTTGAGACACCTTTAATTAGAGTTATGACTAGTCAAAACTAAAATTGAAATATCTTGAAATTAGTTTATGACTAGTTGTAATTTAATCATATAAATCTGAAATCTGTATTTCAGACAGTCAGTAATTGAATCTAGATATCTTAAATTGACGTCTCCATACAAGTTAATGGTAAATCTGACGTCATTTCGACTAGTCAGAATGTAATTAGAGATATCCCGAATGGGTATTTTGACTAGTCAAAATATAATTAGAGATATCTTAAATCACTAAAATGTCTAGTCATAAAACAAATTGAGATATCTTGAATGTAAAGGTGTTATAACCCAATTTATGTTAAAATGACCTGCCATAGTATTTCAGATAGTCAGTAATTCATGCTAGATATCTTAAATTGACGTCTCCATACAAGTTAATGTTAAGTCTGACGTCATTTCAACTAGTCAGAATGCAATTAGAGATATCTCAAATAGGTATTTTGACTAGTGAAAATATAATTAGAGATATCTTAAATCGCTGAAACGTCTAGTCATAAAACAATTTGAGATATCTTGAATGTAAAGGCAGTACAACCGAATTAATGTTAAAACGGCTTGCCATAAATTCATGCCTCAGAGTCAATCAGCTGCTGAGGTGAGTTATAATATCACATGGAGCATACCTCTTGGTAAATCTATTTCTTGAAAGCCGTGGTTTACCAAGTCATGGCTAAGTGTTGGTAAATGATACTGGTCAGCTGTTGCAAAGGCAATGCATTGCATCATATCCTGTAGGAAAAAAATCCCACCTGTATTATTAGCTGAACCTATTATAGACATGCAGCAAAAACAAAACAATCACTAATTTCACCACACAGTGAATCACCTCATCCTCTTTCATAGAAGGCTGGTTTGCCCGAGAAGGCTGCTTGGTTCGTGGTCCTTTAGGAAGCCTTTTTCCTTTAGCAGGCACCACTGCTGGTTTTAATGTCGGCTTTAGGACTGACTTTACAATGTTAGTTGAATAAAAACGTCCCTGATCATATGTGAAAAGAGGAAGACGATCATTTTTAAATCGCCCCACAGATTTATGCATCTGCTGCTGGTGAAGTGTATTTAAACAAAACTTCTTTGTGACTGTAGATGACCAGGACTGAATCCTGGGGGGGGAGGTATTTCCGGTGGGCTTTAAACGTTGGGTGAGAGGGGCTGAAGCAACAATACATGCTGGTTTGCCCCCAGCGAGCTGCTGGGCTCCCAGTCTAGTCAGCAATGTCCGAAGAAGCATCTTCCTCTGACCGATGCAAAGAGGGTCTGCAATATGAGGGGCAGGGAGGAAACACAGGATTAAGATACTTTAATGGTACAATGACAATAAATGGTTAAGCATTTTTTTTCTCTATTCTTCAAAAACTGTGCAGCACCTAATTTAATTTTACACATCTTTAAAACAAATCAAACGCAAGAAAAGCGAGAACCAGAGTTCCTAAAACTGACCTGATAAGAAAGGCTAAAAATGTCCCTACTTGTGATGTCATAATGTTTACACTTAGACTGAGATAAAAGGCATGGTATAAACAAAATACCAACAAAATAAATTCTTCTTTATATGTATATTCATACTTAAAACATCTTAACAAAGAACTAAAGTAAAACAATGTTGTTTGTGCGCAAAAATGCGCTTATTTACGGTGATAACTCCAGAGCATGTAATAACCTCTGAATACATGCTAACAGGCAGCATGCTACTGAGCAGGGAGCAAACTCAGCCTTTGACTCACCAAGGATGGAAAACGAAGCCTCCTGAAATGAGCCAGTGTTGAATTAGTCCTTTAAACAGCGGAAAATAGCAACGATATAAGAAAACCTGAGCTTTATTCAACTGTTTGACAGCTTGTCTGATTGACCCAGGAGGCGTGTTTCTCTTCACCCGGGATGATAACGATGCCAACTTCCGGTTTGACGTCAAATAATGAAAGGGTATTTTAGGTCCCTTTTTTTTACTTGAAGGTAAAACTCATGTTAAAACTCCACGAACCACTTAATTTGCTTCTACAATGTGCCGCACGAGTCACATAACGGGATATTTATTAATATCGCTCAAAATAAGGATAACAATGTGATGTGTTTAAATTAATTTCACTTTTAGTTGCGATTATACACGGAATCTTACGTTATGTCAACCTAAATCGATCAGAATTCCTGATTGATTATAGCTATCTCTTTAAAGAAAGTAAATAGACCTGAAGAACTTGTTTCACCCCCGTGTGGTTTTGTGAACCTGTAAAAAATGTATAAGATGGTCACAACAAAAACACGCTTTTTTAAGTTTATCTAGTGTACAAGGTGTACCTGAACGCAACCTAATGTTGCAATATTGGCATTATTATCACTAATCTCTATTTATTCACTGGATTGCTGATTGCCCAGTTGAAGTGAAGCCACCGGCCGCCATATTGGTACTCCATAGTTGAGTCAAAAGCATTAGTACTTTAGCTTATAGTAAAAAAAAAAATATATATATAGGCACATCACATTGCATAGTCATTAAGAAGTTAATTAAGTCTCTAGATCATGTGATATAACCTAAAAAAATCCATGACAATAAAATTAATGTATTAATGGCGCATAATGATACAGATGTGCCAAAAGTATATATATACGTATATATGTGTATATATACATATGTATATATACATATATACGTTTATACTTAAATATGTATTTATTAAGTTTTGTAGTGTTTGTTATATTTCTCATTTGAAAAAGTCATGTGATGAAATATACTGCATGTTATATTGACGACAAAAAAGCAACTCAAACATTTGACCCTATATATATGTATATGCATATATAATATATATATATATATATATATATATATATATATATATATATATATACATATTTATATATACATATTTATATATACATATATATACATACATATATATATATACATACATTTATATGTACATACATATACATATATATGTATGTATATGTATGTATATGTATATGCATATATATACATATCTATATAGGGTCAAATGTTTGAATTGCTTTTTTGTCGTCAATATAACATGCAGTATATTTCAGCACATGACTTTTTCAAATGAGAAATACAACAACCACTACAAAACTACGTCATCCACTTAATAAACAATTACTACATTGACCTTTCACACTTTCTACCTACTCTACTTTCTATTTAGACACAATTTCAATGACTAACTCAGTCAATGCTACACATGTAGGCATTTTTACTGCTTGGGAGTACCAGTATGGTGGACGGTGGCTTCACTTTTTTTTCTTCTAGTGAATAGAGATCAGCGATTAATTCACTGTGTAGATGCCCCTGCTTAACTAGATGCTCATGGACAAATATCTGAAAAGAGGGCAACATATAACCATTTTTGACACACAAGGGTCTTTGTTAAAATCGCAACTTATTCTGTAGATTTTGTCACATTTGTTATGCGTTATATTCTAGGTTTTTGTGCTAGTAAAAGCCTTTGAAAATAGTGAATATGTGTTTTTTTATCAAGCTTTGGAACAAAATGTACAAAAACAAATGATAAATTGTTCAGGGCAAACATAAAATTATAAGATGAAAAAAAAAGACAAATATCCTATGTTTTTAATGGATGGGGAAGCAAAAGTCTTGTATGCACATGGTTTGTATGTACACATTGTCAAGGTTGTTCTGTAGCGCCCCCTCTGGTTGAGCTTTGCATTGACTGTAAAGTTGCCATGAAACTTCATACAACAAAACTAACTCTTTGCAAAGCTTTCACTTGTCCTGTCTAACTTTTGTGATGAAGATCTTGAAAAGTCCAGAGAAGGATTGTTTACATGTGATTTTTTTCTTTGTTGAGAACTTTCGGACAACATAAACAATAGTATTTGTGAATTTGTTCATGTAACTCCTATTATTTGTCTGAGTAGGAGAGATTGAGGATGATGATTGCTGTTTTGGAGGAAACTGTAACATCATGTGAGCTGGAAAGTAAAGCCAGAAGAGAGGCGGCAGTGAGGCTCATGGGAGAGCTGGGTCAGGAGAAGAAAACAGCCAGCAGTGCCAAAGCACTTTATGCAATAAAAGTGATAGAAAGGCAATTTTAAACTACTCCCATCCGCATACTTCCATTTTTACAGTAAATTTCCCCCTATGAGCTGCTTGAAAATATAAATCCTGGATGGAATCATTGTTTGCTTCTATTTCTAATATCAGACAATGTGTGATACTGGCTTTCAGGAGTTAGAAGGCTTGGCGTTGGGAAGGTGGGGCATTGAGACAGAGAAACAGGCCCTAAGTCATTGCCTTGAAGCCAGAAGGAGAATGATAGAGGCAGCCAGGCAGGAGTCCCGCTGTATGGAGAAACAAGCTAAGGAGCTTCAGGCGAAGGCTGATCAGGGAAAAGTTCAGCTTTTCCTGGAAAAGGTGGCTGGTCTACCGCAGGAGAAGACATCACATGTTATCCTCCTCACACAAGAAGATGTTTTCACAGTCAAGGCAACCTCAGTAACAAGGTGACACATCATCTGATAATTGAATTTACTTTCAGGGTGCAAAGAAAAATAGGTTTTGCAAATGGTTTTCATTTGTAGTCATTATAAATTGCACTTGGCAAGTTAGCTTTTAGAATAGAAATGTTATTGCACCTCAAAATGCATTTATTCTCATTCATTTTTACCACATTGTCAGTTTACAACCACACACCAATATTATTTCTAACTGTATGATAAGCTAACACACACACTAGTATTTAACTATGAAGAGGAAGGAAAAATAATATATTTTGATGTTAATGCCACTATTTCCAACATCAAATAAAACCCAAATAAAGTAAAAGTGTGATGTTTATTAGTATCTGACACATTTCATTAAAATCCCCCTGATAAAATACGGACCAACAAGAGATCTTTAGAAAGCACCAATTTACAAGAGCCCATCTGTGACTAATTGGATTTCATAATAAGTTAAAGAGGGAATGTAGAACTAGAGCTGCAGAAATCAAATGTGGTTCATTTTTATTTCCTTCTCCTCACACTTCCGCACTACTTCAAATCCAGACATTGAAGGTAGTGGTTGTAATACGGATAAAAGATGAGGTAAAGAGGTTTAACAGTTAGAATTAATCTTGTAAAGTAGAAATACAATAAAGCATCAGATATCATTACACTGCAAATGACTGATTTACAGTAAATTAGTGCAAAAACTAAGTGAGGCCAACACCCATTGCATTTCACAACCTTTTATGTTCTCCTTGGCTTTAAAGACTGTATCGCTGCAGAGGAGATTAGATGATCCTCTGAGGAGCTGAAAAAGCAGCTGGAGCTCTAGCTCTGCACGCTGCAGAGAGCCCAGCTGTCCGAGCAACAAGTCCAGGTCCTGAGAGGGGAAATGCAAAGTCTGGAGACCAAGCTGCAAAGTAGACATGCATCAGGATTGAGGCTGAACCCACACATTTGTTTTGTTGATGTTTGAATTTTCATGCATGTTTCCTCAATAAATCAGTTTGAAACACATAAAAGAGGTGCAGCCCGGCAAAACTGTTTGCAAACTCTCTACACTTTCCTGATATTAATGGAACATTTTTAAAATTAAATAATTCTCTGTCTGCTGCTCATTGTGGTAAAATGTTTAAAATTTCACATTGTATGAAAACTTCTGCAAGGCATTCGATCACAGCGAACCGACAGCGTTTTCTTTTGTCGCTGTAGCTTGTGGATTTCCGGTCAAAGTTTTCTCAAGTGTCGGGCCTGATCGCCACAACTTTACCTTTCAAACGAGGAAATCATCAAACTACTGGAGGAACTTCTTCACCATCTTCACCACCATCATGTCTGCCATCACCATGATGCTTTACGCTGGCACTGCTTTACTCACCCAGAGCTTCCAGAAAGTTTTCCCACCCAGGAATGGTTCTGTCTCAAGCTCTTCTGCTGCTGTATGAAACCATTCCTCTCTTAACACAAAATGCAATCTATAAAACCTACAAATGCAGTAAAAACATGATGAATGTCCTACTGTAAAAAAAACAGGCATTTTAAGTTATTATTGATGATCTTAATCATCAATATGATCAAACTTAATCAAAGGAAAATCAAATAAAGACAATATTCAGAGTGAGGATTTGGCATTCATTATTGTTCATATTTGCATTTACATCCTTTTTTTCCACCTTCTGCACTATGTACACACGTTAAATAATCTGGACTCTTATATATTTTATACTCAACCAATAGTCATACAAAATATACAGTAGTTCTATTTGTCACAAGTTTAAATCTCTGTGATATCAGATCATTTGAAAAAATAAAAATACAGAATGTAAGAAGACAATGGATGGTTGGTGTTAAAGGTTAAAAGTCTTAATCTGTATCTGATGATAAAACACTTGGCTTGGCTTGACGTACATGAAGGTATGTAGTTCAAGTTAAAATTGACAGTTCACCACAGACACAATTACAGAGGTGAGTAAATAAAAAGAAAATATTAAAACTACATGCCCAAGTACAGGTAAAAAAATAAATGCGAGGAAACTATTTTATGCTCCTTTTTGTTGTCTGAGGCTATCGCTCAGCTTTTAACTTTGGTGCTTTCCACTGACAGTCTTCAAAAAAATACAGGATGGTCTCATCTATTCCTCCAGATAGACCCAATTACATCTTGAGTGGACACAGTACTTCAGAACATAGAGAGAGCTGAATCCTGCGTGCTTCTCAGGAGAGATTCTTCTGTGTTTTCTCCTTCCCGTCATATGAAAGCCAAATTACAGAAGCAGGATGGTCTTGAAGCTCAGCTAGACGGGAGGAGGGCCCTTCGTGTAGCTCAGCATCGGGTAAAAGGAATGAGCAAAGTTGTTGGACTGAGTGCAGTAGTCCTCCTCTGCCAGCGGCAGCAGGAAGGCGAGGACCACCAGCAGCAGCAGGAGGAGCTGGAGAGGCAGCGCAAACCAGAGGACGCGGCACCAGAACGGGGATCTACGGCCTCTTGCTGAGTCCAGATCAGAACGGGAGGAAGCGGATCCAACGCCGCTGCGTGACCTGCTCACACAACCAAGCAGACACTGAGCATTAGTCAATCACTGGTAATAAAAAAAATCATCTCTGGCTCATCTACACTGCTTCCAACACTAAAATACTGTATAATCTAAATAGAATAAATGAGCTAATTAAATCAATCTAATTTGGACAACAATCATCCTACTTTAATCTTAATCTAATATTCCCCTCTACACATGTGCACTTGTTTAGCTTAGTCTGCCTGTTTTTAATCCAAATAAGATCTCCTTTCAGTGACATGTTAGTCAGTGCTTCAGAGCACACGGATGTGTTTGAAAGATGCTTTAAACACAGCGGACAAAGTTTAAAACTGATCCACATGCTGACTGAAACTTGGTGGGCAAACAGGATAACAAAGACAGTGACGAAACAATATTCAAGCATTCGCACTGCAGTGCTGCACCAGACAAATACACTTAATGTTTGCTTGCATTCCTTTGCAGAAGGTGTTAGGATAAAAGACGACGGGCATGCTGCAGGAATCAGCTGCGCTGACTCGGAAGGTTTGGGCCATGGAGGAAAGTGCAAAGCGTGCCGCGGCAAGAGGAGCACAGCAAACTGAAAAAGCTTTTCTCTGACTATTTATCTCATTAATATATCACTTCATTACATTTGACTTAAAGAGGGCCTAATGTACAAAGGAATTCACACTACTTCATTTTACACTTCATAAATCTACAACCTTCAATGTTTTTATTATGGAAGTTATATGGCAGAAAGTAGAGTACTGTAAAGAGAAAGATAAAAAGGATTTCCATGTCATGATCTGGCCTGTTTGCTCTCCCTTAATTAATAATTCCTTTCACCTGTCATTTTCCCTCCCTGCCTCCATTATAATTTATTCCTCTCACCTGTTTCCTCTGGTTTATATTCAGTTCAGCCTGAGCATTCAGGGCCAGATCATTGCTTGTCTCTCTGTCAGTCTTTCTGTTCAGTTTTTATTTGGTTCATGTCCTGGATCCTAGCAGCCAGTGAAAAGAGGGTTTTAGTGTTTGTCTCGTCTCCTGATCGTCCACTGTTCCTCCCCCGCGGAGTCCTCTGGGTTTTTGGCTCTATATGTGCGGGGGTTCAGTTTTTATCTCAGTAAGCCTGGCTCCAGGGAGGAGACCAGTTTAAAGTCCTGCTTCAAGTTCTGATTCCACGTCCTGTCTCGGCTACCCTCTTCCACTGGGCCTGCTCATCTGCACCTGATCCTGTCTGCTCCTGTGCGTGACCACCTGGTCATGCTTCTGGTCCCAGTCAGACTCTGAACCCTCCTGGGAGCCTGTGGATGCCTGGAAGTCTGGATCCTGCCACCTGTTTCTGTTCCTGCCTGATCTGGATCCTGTCCCTGTCTGTTCTGGATCCTTGACCAGGATCGGCTTCCAGCATGTCCTCTGGAACTGCAGCACTTGGGACCTTCTAGGACTGGACTGTTTAACCAGAGTGTCTGTGATTGGGTGGTGCCCCGCCCCCCATCCTGCAGTGTCCGCAAGCCACAGCTCCATTTAATTTTTAGTTAATTTAATAAACCTTTTTGAACTTTCCTACTGACTGTCTCTCCTTGAATACTGGGTCCATCTGTCCTCGGTTCATGACATTCCAGCTTTTACTTTCAAAAATAAAGATCTCTGATGCCCAGAGATAAAACCCAGTGCTATTTGTAATTTAATCTCTGAATCCAACTGTTTTCTGAAGTTTTTATTAAGAAAATTATGGAACAGCACCAAAAAGACCTACTATGTGGTCTGCCTACAAAGGTAGGTGCTTCTGTGGAAAATGAAGACTTCATATCCCCTTGAACATTGCAACTAATAAATGGTGGTGGCACCATAGTATGGGGAAGCTTTCCAGCTAGTTATTTGCTGCTCTCAGTGGCTGTTTGGATATGAAGGGAAGCTGCTAAACGTTTAAGACTGGGATGAAGGTTTTTAGTTTCCAGCAAAATGTGTTAGACTGTTCACAAATAGTTCACAAATAGTTTCTATCTTCAAGCTGACAGAAAATGGCTCCAAATGCCGATATAAAGGGAGTGAAAGGCGGTTTCATAGAATATAAATGATGGTAACTGAATAAAAAATATGCCACACTTTACCTCTGATTTTGTAAAAAGCAAAAAAGTTAAAACTGCCTTTAATTCTTCTCTGACTTTAAAATATATTTGTCAAATAAAAACCCAGCTAACTACATACAGGTTTGAGGTTTGATGAAACACAAATAAGTTTAATGAGTAAAAACACTTTTGCAACGGACTATCATTCTAAAAGAGCAAAATGGAGGCAGACGATATGTTTATGAACTAAAAGAAATGTAATCCTTCCATGACAATAAACTTTGCTTTACTTTTATAAGAACAACTCCTATGATGTCAAAATGAAGTGATCAAGAATAAATATTACTCTGAAAGGAAACATCCTTACTATTTAAACAATCGTCACTACATGATGGTTTATCATATTTTGGTTGAACTATTAACACCCACTTGAGTAACATATTTTAATAAATGCCTTTGAGGTTCGTCCTGCATGCTTTTCCCACCTATTTAGTAGTAGAAGAAATTTGTAAAGATGATCTTATTATGATCTAACATTCATAATGTTGAAATAGTTCAACCTGATACGTATTATTTCTCCATTGCTTTTATTACCAGTTTATATGTTTAGCTTTAAATGTCCAGAGTTTTACACCTTTTAGCCGATCATTAATTCAGATTCCAAGTTATTTTGCTGATGCAAACTTAATGGGAACAGAATTTAATGTTTTTTAATGACTGCAAAACTTCTCATTTAGTTTGATTATGTTCAATTGTTAAGGAAAAGCTGCTTCTCTGTCTCTACATACTCAGTCCTCTTATAAAGAAGCAGTTCTTCCCTACAATAGCAGCAGCCTTCACTAAAATGAATGGTGATGTGAAACAGGAAGCCTAATCTATGCAGGCGGTGCACCGCAGCAAGAGCCAGAATCTACCATCAACATTCAGTGTGGTCAAAATGTTTGATAAATAGCTGAATGGTGTACGTTTCTAACAGTTTAGTTTCATTCAGCTATTTTTGGTCAAATCCAGAGTAAATGTATTTTTGAAGCACCAATGGAAAATTTTCATTCACATTTCACAAAGAAACAAAGTGAGAAATTAGTTTTTGTTAATTATTTGTAGAGAAATATACATTTAAAATAAGCTGTTGTAATTATCAGCCAATGTCAAAAAACATTTAGCGAACTGCACTCACCGGCCGCTTTATTAGGTACACCTGTCCAACTGCTCGTTAACACTTAATTTCTAAGCAGCCAATCACATGGCGGCAACTCAGTGCATTTAGGCATGTAGACATGGTCAAGACAATCTCCTGCAGTTCAAACCGAGCATCAGTATGGGGAAGAAAGGTGATTTGAGTGACTTTGAACGTGGCATGATTGTTGGTGCCAGAAGGGCTGGTCTGAGTATTTCAGAAACTGCTGATCTACTGGGATTTTCACGCACAACCATCTCTAGGGTTTACAGAGAATGGTCCGAAAAAGAAAAAACATCCAGTGAGCGGCGGTTCTATTGGCGGAAATGCCTTGTTGATGCCGGAGGTCAGAGGAGAATGGCCAGACTGGTTGGAGCTGATAGAAGGGCAACAGTGACTCAAATAACCACCCGTTACAACCAAGGTGGGCAGAAGAGCATCTCTGAACGCACAGTACGTCGAACTGTGAGGCAGATGGGCTACAGCAGCAGAAGACCACACCGGGTGCCACTCCTTTCAGCTAAGAACAGGAAACTGAGGCTACAATTTGCACAAGCTCATCGAAATTGGACAATAGAAGATTGGAAAAACGTTGCCTGGTCTGATGAGTCTCGATTTCTGCTGCGACATTCGGATGGTAGGGTCAGAATTTGGCGTCTACAACATGAAAGCATGGATCCATCCTGCCTTGTATCAACGGTTCAGGCTGGTGGTGGTGCTGTCATGGTGTGGGGAATATTTTCTTGGCACTCTTTGGGCCCCTTGGTACCAATTGAGCATCGTTGCAACGCCACAGCCTACCTGAGTATTGTTGCTGACCATGTCCATCCCTTTATGACCACAATGTACCCAACTTCTGATGGCTACTTTCAGCAGGATAATGCGCCATGTCATAAAGCTGGAATCATCTCAGACTGGTTTCTTGAACATGACAATGAGTTCACTGTACTCAAATGGCCTCCACAGTCACCAGATCTCAATCCAATAGAGCATCTTTGGGATGTGGTGGAACGGGAGATTCGCATCATGGATGTGCAGCCGACAAATCTGCGGCAGCTGTGTGATGTCATCCTTTCAATATGGACCAAACTCCCTGAGGAATGCTTCCAGCACCTTGTTGAATCTATGCCACCAAGAATTAAGGCAGTTCTGAAGGCAAAAGGGGGTCCAACCCGTTACTAGCATGGGGTACCTAATAAAGTGGCCGGTGAGTGTATGTGTCTGTATGATCATGTACAGTAAAAATATCACATATATATTTTTTTTTACAGTATTAGTGCTTTCAAAGAATTAAAAAAAGTATATATTTATTTAGGGCACAATTGAGGTTAAGTTCTATTTTTAGATCTGGTACTTGTATGCTGCCCGGGGTACCTGCCCATAAGACTGAAAGTAAAAACTAACATTGATTAACGACCCATAGCTTCTACCCAATAACATGTTTTAAAGGTATAAGACAGTTGGTGATTTCTTGAACAAAAATATTGACATTTGGCACGTTTTTACCAAAATAACTTCTTTACTGCCTCACAGAGGAACACCTGAGAGGTTAGACTCACACATGACACACCGAGGAGGAGATGGTGAGATAGCAGCAACAGTGAAGAAACATCACAAACATGAGAGAGAGTGAAAGCACCAGAGATAAAAGAAAACGGCAGCTTTTGCATTGTTCATTGCAGACATTTATCGGCTCGGCGCTTTGAGGGAAAGGGGGAGTATGTGTGTTTGCTGAGCAACAGCGAGGAAGTGTTATTAGGTGTTTGCTTTATATTAGATAAGCAGCCAAGGACAGAAGAAGCCTGTCGCTATTCTTTGTATGACTATTCCTTTGGTGGATGTTTGTACTGCAACTCGCCTCGTCATCTAACCTACACAGAGCACCTAGACTGTCAGAAGATGATGGAATTCAATATCATGAGCTGGCATGATTATTAAAATGCGAAATAGGGATAAATGCAGACAGGGTGTATATTAGAGAGCCTGAAGTGGTCTCCCAGTGCATCATGGGTTGAGTTCCATTATCTTCTAGGTGTGCTAGAAGCAACAAAAAGGTACCTGTGGTGAGGACTGCTCACAGACGGTCCCGGCTGTGACAGACTACATTTGCCCCGTTGCTGTTTGCAATGAACAGGGGAGGGGAGGGTGAAAGAAAGAAAGTATGTTTCAGTCCACGCAAATCAAGACAAAGCTACTGATGAAAAGACAACCCAAAATGAAAAAGAGCAGCAAATAAAATTAAATAACAAAAAAAAAAAATTTAAATCAGACATGAATATGAGAGATTTTGTAATTTAGAATAATAAGAGATGTGGCTTTTCAAAGTGTGTGACTACTTTGAATTTCTTCCACTCATGAGTGAGTGATTGCAAATACGAAGCTACACGTCAGGAAATGTGATGCATGACTTTGCTAACAATGGCATCGCTAACAAGCGGTGTAAGCAGTGACATGCCTTTTTGGATTGATCTGATAAAACTATGTTCTGCTATTATCGTAGCTGAGAATCCACAGTGTCTCGCAAAAGCAGTCCTACCCGTTCCGCTTTTCTACATTCTCTCACGCTACGACCTAAAGTTTCAATGCATTTAAATATGGCTTTATGTGACAGACCAGCACAGAAATGTGCATACATGATAAAGGAGAGAAAAAATGATACTTGGGCTTGGAAATCATCTGAGGCAGAGAGAGATTTGAGATGCTAACGGTACCGCCTGACTCATAATGAAAATAGCCGAGTGAATCAAGACTTACATCTAATTGAAAAGTATGTGGCAATACATTAAAAATCTAGATTAGATGGAGATGTACAACCAATCTGAGTTTAAACTATTAAGGACAAAAGGCTGAAATTTGGAACTGTGTATGTTCAAAGCGGATAGAGACATAAGCCAAAGGTTCTATCAACTATTAACTCAGAGAGTCAAGGTGCAAAAATGCATGCCGCAATTTTTAGACCTTTATTGGGTGTAAAAGTTCAAAACAATGAATAATTGTCCATCTACTTTATAATTATGCTCCGTAACTGGTTGATCCGTCACATGAAGTCCAGATAAAATACATTGGAGCTTGTGTTTGTATATCAAAAAAGAGTTGAAATACTTAAATTTTTATGCAATGATTTCTAAAATATATTTTTCTCATAATTAAAAAAACAACCTATAGTTTTACTGCTGGTGTAACAGGTTTACCACAGACAAACTAAAAAATAAATACATCTATAGGTGAGATAAATATGACAGAGTATTAGGGCCACACATGAAGAGAAAAAATATTTTTGCCATGACGAGATTAATGTCGAAATGTTGAGTTTAATGTCGACATGTCGACATTAAACTCAACATTTCGAGAATAAAGTTGAAATGTCATGTTGAGTTTAATCTCGACGTGTCGACTTTAAACTCGCCCTGTCGACTTTAAACTCGCCATTTGGAGAATAAAGTTGAAATGTCATGTTGAGTTTAATCTCGACGTGTCGACTTTAAACTCGCCCTGTCGACTTTAAACTCGCCATTTCGAGAATAAAGTTGAAATGTCATGTTGAGTTTAATCTCGACGTGTCGACTTTAAACTCGCCCTGTCGACTTTAAACTCGCCATTTCGAGAATAAAGTTGAAATGTCATGTTGAGTTTAATCTCGACGTGTCGACTTTAAACTCGCCCTGTCGACTTTAAACTCGCCATTTCGAGAATAAAGTTGAAATGTCATGTTGAGTTTAATCTCGACGTGTCGACTTTAAACTCGCCCTGTCGACTTTAAACTCGCCATTTCGAGAATAAAGTTGAAATGTCATGTTGAGTTTAATCTCGACGTGTCGACTTTAAACTCGCCCTGTCGACTTTAAACTCGCCATTTCGAGAATAAAGTTGAAATGTCATGTTGAGTTTAATCTCGACGTGTCGACTTTAAACTCGCCCTGTCGACTTTAAACTCGCCATTTCGAGAATAAAGTTGAAATGTCATGTTGAGTTTAATCTCGGCGTGTCGACTTTAAACTCGCCATTTCGAGAATAAAGTTGAAATGTCATGTTGAGTTTAATCTCGACGTGTCGACTTTAAACTCGCCATTTCGAGAATAAAGTTGAAATGTCATGTTGAGTTTAATCTCGACGTGTCGACAATAAAGTTGAAATTAGTTCAAGAGAGCCAACCGCTGCACAGGATACATGCACAGAATCCAGAATCAGACATGCCTTGTGTAGATGATTTGGTCAAATTGTACTTTCTGTGATGATTATACAGTTATACAGTTGCATCACTCTTAAAACGCAGACTGCAGCTGTGGAGCGCGGTTGCTCTTTTCTCCAAACTTTGGAATGTCGAGATTAAAGTCGCCACGATATATCAACTTTATTCTCGAAATGGCGAGTTTAAAGTCGACACGTCGAGATTAAACTCAACAAGACATTTCAACTTTATTCTCGAAATGGCGAGTTTAAAGTCGACACGTCGAGATTAAACTCAACATGACATTTCAACTTTATTCTCGAAATGTTGAATTTAATGGCGACATGTCGACTTTAAAGTCGACATGTCGAGTTTAATCTCGTCATGGCAAAAATATTTTTTCTCTTCATGTGTGGCCCTAATACTCCGTCGCAGATAAAGGTTAGACGAAAGTCAAAAGTAAAAGTTTTAATTAGGAAAAACAGGAAAGGAGAATGAAAAACGGTCAATAGGTTTGTAAACATAAAACCGAACAGGTTTGTTAACACATGAAGTAGAAATAAAATATTACCCAGTTTCCCAGGAACAAAAAAAAAACAAACAAAATATGCAGAAACAACAAAGGGTTTGTAAAACGTATGAAACTAAAATGAGATAAAGTGTTTGGAAGAGGAAACATGTAAAGAGAGATAGGATGACAGGGGGAGAATTGGACCTTCAAGGGGGCTTTTGGGGCTCTTAGTATTGGGTTATAGAGGTGTTATTAAACTCCCATTTCTGCTAGGACGCCGTAAACAGGAAAACATTACCGATCGTGTCCGACTCGGTGTACTCCTTCCTGATACCGGACTGACGGAGCCAGACGTGTCCAACTCATCAGCAGACGACCAAGAAGACAAATCCTGAAAATGGGAAAAATGAAAAACAAAATCCCAAAATGCAAGAAGTTAGGAATTCTGTGTTTCAAACCTGAACATCTACCCAAAACTTTATCTTACTGAATTAATCTGAATTAAATAACAGACTTCCAATACTAAAGCAAATAAAAGCAAAAAACATTTAGATAGATTATAATAATGTGAATATCTTTTGTTAATCTGAGACGTCCCATAAAATTTGATATTCTGTGTAAAAGGTCTTGGAAAGTAAAGGTTCAAACTGAACAAGGAGAATCTTACAAAAGTTTTCACGCCCCTGAAGGTTTTTCCACATTTTAATCACCTTTACTTTACCAGGAAAAGAGAATAAATGAACATATTTACGTGTGTGAATGACTCTGAGAGTCTGTGACAAGCTTTAGAAAAAGTAGATTCTTTCCATCCAGGAAAAATTACTTAACTTTTTTTACAACGAAGGTAACATTTGTTTCTAGGAATGGAAATCAGAATGAAGGCTACATATGCATGACACTTTAAGGATTACTACTTACTAATAAAGTTATATACAATATTTAGTGTAACTCTAAATATATGCTTTATGTGGTGTTGGTCTACCACATAACTTCTCAATAAAATAAACTAAGTTAACAGCTTTGAATTAAAATGTAAAAAAAAAACGATTGACCAAGAGGTAGGGATCATTTTGTAAGATGCTGTTTGAGTCTCTTACCTGCTGGCTGCTTGTGATGTCCAGCAGTTTAGAGAGCTCTCTGAGGTCTCGAGTTACTTCTTTTAGTAAAAGTTTGAGGCGATTCCCGATGACATGAACCTTCTCCTTGGCCTCCAGACAGTCACCTCCCTGAGAGTTGACCAGCAACTGGAGGGACATGTCTTGTAGGGGGGCGACTTTAAGCTGAGAGTCCAATAACTCCTGGCGGATTTGCTGTAGGATTTGGAGAGTTATGGAAAACTGATTTAAGTTATGCAAATCTTATCTATGAAGAAGACCTGACTTCTGGCATTTGAGTAATTTTCATATCATCATCTAACATCAAAACTGTGTTATACCGTGAGCGTCTTATGATGTTCGTGAAGAGTATCACTGTCCTGGATCGGATCAATAGGGACGATCTCATTCCTTCTGCGATCGATGTTTTCCAACCAGAGGAGCAGACCGTGGCTCGTCTCATGAAAGTCCTGGTGGGAATAAACTTAAAGACTGAACTCAGGGTTCCTACAGCATAAGGCAAGTTCAATTCAAGACTTTAAGACTTTTTAATGCCACTTGAAATAAAAATTTAAGACTAAATTCACAAGAAAAACCTGCTTGCGACAACTTAACCCAAAGGTTTATTTTAACATAAACCGCTGCACTAATGTTTCACATTTTGAAAAGCTTCCCATACAGGAAGAAAGCTAAAACCACAAATATGACATATTTTAACAATTATTTAACAAACAGGGAACAAAACAAATCAGTTTTAAAGCCCCAACATAACCAGTGCTAAGTCTTTTTGCAGCTATTTTTCTTTATGGTTTTCTTAGTATGTTTGATTTGGTGATAAGTGGAGGCGTTGCAGAGACAAGGGTGGAACTAAACTGAGAAATACCGGCTGTTTCTCTGTAACTCCATTTTGACGCTTTGTGTTTCGAAGCACGAAACACAAAGCGACTCCACTGCCTCCACACTGACGAGCAGTATGGAGGAATATTGAAACGTTTTTTGTGGACTTTTATGGACCTTTCTGTCTCGGGCGCCATAGACCTCCATTATTTGAATGTCAGCAGACAGCAAGAAGCCTCCCAGATCTCCAGATGCATTTGAGATATCAAAAAAGTACTCCAGGGTGTTGTTCAGCATGGGGGTGAGTAGAAAATGAAGGCTAATCATGTTTTGGGTGTACTATTCCTTTAATTTCCATCGTTCCGAGTTTGAATGACTTCTTGCACTAAATCCACTGAGCTTCATGTATGTTCCCTGGTTTTAGCCATGGAGGAAACTCTTGGCTGGAGACAATTTTGGTTACATTTACACTTTCTCATATTTTCCAGACCAAAAGTTAATGGCGCATCTCCCAAATGTCCCGGCCGCAACAGCGCTTTTATTGGTTCCGCTATCGGGACGGAACCAATAATGGCGAGCCGATATTTTTTTTTAAATAAAAAAATTTTTTTTAAATTTTAATGTTTTAATTAGATTACAAAAATAAATCGTAATAAAAATGATCCTATTTATGATGCTTTAAAAAATAAGACCTACGAAAGACTGATTTAAGACATTTTAATACCAATTAAGGCCTTAGTTTTATTTTGAAGAATTCAATGCCTTTTAAGACTTTTTAAGGACCCGCGGGAACCCTGGAACTGCTGTTCCTGTATGTGTGAATTTCTAAATAAGTCAGAATGGAAGCCTAATGACGTGCACTTACCTGACACTGCATGAGAGCCTCCTGAAGCGAGGCCCTCCATTCATCCAAAGAGCTGCCCAGTTTATCCCAGCTGTTGTTCATGTCTTTCAGTTTGGCCTGCAGCTCGCGGGATTCCTCTGTGTCTGACTGCAGGAACTCAGCACTGCACAGGTTGATGGAGAGGACTATAGACTTGCGCTTGTCATACGCCTTCTGAAGCTCCTGTAGTCAGATATAAAGACCAAAAATGGTAAAAATCCATTGATGTAAAAGAAATCTAAGTATATAAAGACTAAGTTTTGAAATAAAGAGCTAAAAAAGCTGTCAAGTTGGTATGGTTAGCTGTATTTTTCTTTTATTTAAAAGATTGTTATTTAAAAGCTTTACTGCAGTAAAAAAAATGTGGATAAAGAATGGCAAAAAACTAAAGCTTCACTATGGAAGTCTAAGCTTCTAAATCATTATACCTTAAATCTGAAATATATTCCCAAGAGGTTAATTGGTTTAAGGGAAAAATGCAATGAAACAAAAACATGGATTTTAAATGTATTTAGAAAAAAACATCTGCAGCTTCTGGTAAGCTTTCATCCTCCCAACAGACGGAATTTATTTATTGAAATGAATGTTTTCTTACTAATAAAACCTAGGTTTTATATCTACATTCATATCAAATCAGTTTGTGAATTGAGAAAATACTTTTTTCAATAGTATTTTAAGTGAAACATATAATATAGAAATAAGGAAAGACGGATTGACTTTTGATATTCGCACTAAATAAAAAATAACTAAATAAAGAGGAGCGGGTAAAATTTGCAACCATGTTAAATAAGACAGGAAATAACGATGGATTGAGGAGAGAGACTAAGAGGGAGAAAAAAAAAGCAAATGAGCGGGATGCAGCCATATGCAGTAAATTAAGATTTTCCATGGTGCGGGGGCCGACGTCAGCATGACGAGCCAGCCAGGCCAGTGAGGACATGAGACCTAACAGCATGACTGAAGCTGGTTAGCAAACAATGCAGGGTCATAGAGTGGCATGATAGTGTTTTTAATGTGTTCAGTGCACACATCATATTAAAGGTGGTCTATCAACAATGTTAATGCATAAATCATCTGTCTGCTTTATCATTTAAATTATAATTCAATTGGTACTGGCTGACTAGAAAAAGACGTGTTTATTTATTTTAAAAGAAAACGTATTCTAAGGGAAACATTCAATATTTGCGTAAGTGTCATCCTTGGTGATGGAGTTGATACAGAGGGAAAGAATAATGCCAGGCGGAGGTGGAAGAGACAAATAAGGAGAGGAATTAGGAAGAGGGGAGGGGCTTGGAATCCTGAGGTTCTGAGTTTGAGCCCCACTCCCACAGACTGCCACTCTGGGTCTCTGAGCAAGACCCTTAACCCCACAGTGCCGCTCGGGCGCCGCAAAATGGCAGCCCACTGCTCCACAAGGGGATGGGTTACATGCAGAGGTACATTTCTCCAATGTGAGATCATTAAAGTTTGGGTATTATTAAGGGGAGTCAGAGAGGAAGCTGGAAAGTAGAGCAGAAACCAAAAAAACCAAACAAAAACAAAAACAGTACTACATACAGGTCCAGAGAGTGGGTTTTTTTTAATAACTTTTTCCTTTTTTTCCCCCATCTTTTCCCATTCCAGTACTAGCTTACATTTTTTTATTTGCTTTAAAATATGTAATCTGCTCGTTTAACAAACTTCAAAACAAATTTTACTTTTTTATTTTTCTTAAAGCAGTACTAAAAAACTTTAAGGTCTGGGCGATTTTGGCTCCTCCAGTGGACAAAAGCTGTATTATTTAGCCTTAAAGTAAGGAAGATAGCATTTCCCATGAGGCCCAGTTTAGAGTAATCTGACTCCGCCAGATGGATTTGCTCCGCATATCCATCTGGAAACCTTCCGTTGAAGTAATTTTGGGAAGGGGCGAAAATACTGGTTAGCTGATTGGCCTATGTTGGTGATAGACGGGCCAAATAAACCAATCAGATGAACGAAGCATATGACATACTAACAGAGCGACGACGAAGAGGAGCCAATTGATAGATCAAACTCTTGCTGAAACCAGTCGGGAGAAAAGCAAGAACAGTGTTTTGCCTCCAGAGCAGTGTTTTGCTCTTCTTTCAGTGAAGAAATACTCTGTAATTCCGATAAAACTTGCCCGATAGCCACGCTAACGCTAGTTTCATCGGCTGAAGCCGCCATGTTCTTTAGACTGAACTGTCGCGCTTCTCGTTGCGTCACACCTCAACCCGCCTCAAAGCCAACGCTGATTGGACGTTCGTTTGGTGAACGGCTCCAAATTTCCTTTAACGGAGAGTCTCCAGACTGATCAGCAAGTGAAACCTTGAAAGCTCGCGAGATCAGGATGGTCTCACGAGGCCCAGTTTAGAGCACACAGCCTGGTAAATTCCAGATCTCCTGGCTGCCTGCAGATAGACTCAACTAGATTTCTGCATTTAGCAGCTGTGTGAAAGAGGAATAGTGACGAGATAATGAATCTAATTGTGGTGAAACAATGTCATTTTAGATGTTGAAAAGTACATCATCAGTCGCTGATGATGTGCTGACCATTTTAGAACCTTGAAACAGATCAATATAATGTTATGTTCAATAATTTCACAGTAAAGACACGTATAGATCGCAGCAGGAAGCTGCTCCATAGCCTGAATATCAACCCTGCACTATTTGCATGAATATACAGTCGCTTAGGAAAATTAAGTCGCATCGACGCCCGTCTTTATAACGAATGCGGAAAAGGGGAAACTACGTATGCCGTAAAGCAGAGGTCTTCAAAGTTTTTCAGGCCAAGGACCCCCAGGCTGATGGCGAGATGGAGCGGGGACCCCCTAATTATATATATTGAATGAAATAGTGTTCTATCAAACTGTTCCTATAGTCACTCTATTACAGATGGAGTAATGTAACTAAAGTAATTTCTCCCTGGGATTATTAAAGTATTTCTGATTCCTGGTTGATGGGACAGGTGTTGTGAATGAAACGGTGCCCAGCTTAAAGAGCTCCTGTGTGTCTCTGAATGTGAGCATTGATGACTGAAAGACATCTTCTGCCTCCATTTATCTGTTTACTACAGTGTGTTGAAGTCATGTTAATGTGGATTTAAAGATATTTCAATAAGTGGAAAAATTTCAGGGGGGAATATAAAAAAAACAGTCTAATCAACCAAAACGTTCACGTCCCCCATGCAGTACCTCTGTGGTCCCCTAGGGTCGCAGACCCCCTGTTGAATACCTCCACCGTAAGGCTTTCTGCAAATATTTATTTGTTTTGTTTGGCAGGGTTACTGACACCCTCCTCAAAGTTTCTTAGTGCAGGTGAAAGCGATACAGACGTGTTATTCAACTACTTGTAAGTCTTTGTATAATTACAAAAATTAAGAAAATATTTTATGAAGGTTAAAAAGTTAGTAAGTGTTGGTTTAATGTTACATAGATACGTTCACATAGTATTAGCTACCAGGCTAAATTACCACTGCAGCAGGCCGCTATCTACGAGCCTTTATATTTTAGGTAGTAAAAACAAAGTTAGAATAAAAACAACAAACAAAACATTTAAATTCAGAAATGTGGGCCTAATGAAAAGTATGTTAAATAACTGTCTGTAGGTTCATGTAAAATAAAAATGTTAATCTGACAAACAGAATCTATATTCTGATATATTGATGGCTGAACTTTTTCCAGGTCTATTACATTAAAAAGCAAACATGTACATGAAAATATATGATTAGAAATTCTGAAATGTTGACGTTTTAAAAGGTAGATGATTTTGCAGATGCAATTCAGGAATAAAACAATAAAACCATTATGAGTAACAGATAAACTTTCATAACTTCAATGTAAAAGAATGCTGATTTTATGACCTTGAGTTTTTTAATGCGGAGCTCAATCATCTGGAAGTCTGTGCTGACGTCCAGCTTCTGCTGCTGCTCCAGCTCTTCCTCCGTTCCACCCAGCCACGTCCAAATATTGTTCAGGTCAGAGTTCAGCTGGTGCCACTGTTGCTGGTTTTGCTTTGAGCGCATCTCTTTACTGAGATCCTGAGCCTGCAGGAGCTCCCAGCGCTCAATCACACCTAGATCGTAAGATACAACAGAAATAGATGTTCAATAAAAGAAATTCTAATCTAGTTCTATCACAAAGGCTAATAGCAGGGCTAATTGTTTATTTTCTATCCATTGCTTGCTTTGTGCAGCATAGCTTATTCATGTATAGGGTTTACAATTATAGTTTTGTGGCCAAAGGAAGAAAAGACTGTAGCAGCTTGATACATATTAAAAACCTAAATAAAATATATGTGAGAATATATATATAAACTATAACATAACTTTTAGAAATGCAATATATTTATATTTAAAAAGTTAAAAGCATGGTACTGCTAAGTCCAACTGTGAGGGATGGGTTTAGCTGTGGTGTTACCTGATGTCTGGGACTCTGAACTGCTAGGATCTGCCAGTCCAGATATTGTATCGTCTTCGTCTTTCAGCTCAGAGCCCATCCTCTTCACTGTGTCAATGCTGCCACGACACTCACCCAACAGTCGCATCTTAACAACAAACAAACCCACTTACTTCAAGTTAAACACCAACTTTTTTATTAACACTGGTTTTTATTGAATGAAAATATGGAAAGTATGAAATGCTTAATTATAGATTTGTCCTATTTGGTGTTTACATATAAGTTATAATAGGTTTTGCCATATTGTGTTTGCTCTGACATTTGATTGAGACATGCCCTTTGATTTATTAACATTTGCTTTTGCTCTGATCTAAACCAGTTGTTCTCAAAAAGTGGGACATGAAGGGACATGTTTTTTTCCAGCAGGTGTTACAGCTAAAAAGGGACCTTGTTGATAAATCCTACTAAATGGGACAACAGCACCACCTGCTGGTTAATCTGTGCCTTGAGCCATTATTTTTTACCCTTAGTTTTGACTGCAAGGATGTAATTTAAGTCTTTTAGACTGTTGTTAATTTTATGTAGTTTAGAAAAGACATGTTAATAAATTCCATTTGTCAGAAAAATGTTGTTTCAACATTATTTTAAAAGGGACTGTAAAGTCTTTGGTTATCTTAAAAGTTTTGTCTCTAATGCATTTGACAATTTTGTCGCAATAGGGAAGGCCTAAACTTTTTCATTCTCCAAAAAAGGGGAAGAACATAAAATATTTGAGAAAAGCTAAACTAGCAAAAAAAAAAAAGCTGATTGGTTACCTGTCTTCCATGCTGAGCTTTTAGCCAATCACATCCACAGTAGGAGCTGAGACGTTTCTCATTCTGGATTTGTTTCATGGAGTTAACTACCAAATCTGATTGGGAGGAACCACAAATATCTTCCCATCGACAAAGGCACAAATCATGATCTTTTGCTTGTTTTTCAACAACAAATAGAGGCAATTCCAGTTAATGTTTTGCTTTGCTTCGCCCTTACGCCTCTGTGGTGACGTCATACATGTCACTGCCTTTAATTGGTGTAAAACATTTCTGTATGGAGGCCAAATGCATCTGCAGGCTTCTGGCAAGTTGTATTTTTTGGGAGATTGTGAATTCACAAATCTCGCAACAAGGGTTCTAAATATATATCAATCTGTCCCTGCTTTAATTTGGAAACATCTGTAAACCTTGTGCAATTTTCCTTTCCACGTTGCGAACATGAGCCAATTTGTGGTGCATAAAACATACAAAGGTTTGCAACTGTAGTGTGACATGAAATAAAAATGAAAAAAACAAAACAACTTTTGCAAGACATCCTAGTAGGAAAGAAATGAATGATGAATATATTATAATGAGGATTTCGCTGTAAGGGTGAACATACATAGCCCATATATGATGCATCTGTTTCGGTGCTTAAAGGAGTTCGGCTGCGACTGCTGTCCGTTTGCTGCAGGTGGGAGCGACTCGCATCAAGGGGATGCATATGGGAATCTGCTGAGGCAGCCTCTCCTGTTGACACAAAAAGAACCAATCACCTTCAGGTACAATGCTAGGTATCAATAAAGATGGTGATTTGTGATTTTAGTCCAAGAGAAGTTGGACCTGCTTTTACAGAGAAAAACTAGATAACGTGTAAGATGAGAAGTCAGGAGAGCAGATTGGTTTTCCAAATATTATGGTGTGTCTTAGCCAGAACTCTTCCCTGGCTCTCAGGGCGAGAGTGAATTTAAAAGCACAAACAAATCTGCTATCCCTTCAAAAGAAAATAGAATTTGCTCACTGTGACAAAAGCCTCTCAAAACACATGCTGTTCTAAAACAAGGAAAACACACAAAAAGAATCCAAATATGTTAGCTACCCAGCAACACTGCAGGTAAAATGAAGACAGCGAGTTAGAAAGAGGATTTAGGCTGAATTCCATTTCTGTTCTTTGAAAAAGTGGCCAAAGCGAGAGCAGGAAATTAAGAGAAAATGGAGTTCAACCTACACCACCGTGTTAGAAAGTGCTGCTATTGGTTATAGCTCAAAGTGTGCATAAGTGAATCCAACACAAATCAACCAAGCTGGTGAAAGGGCCCCAGGAAAGCCATCCGTGGTTATTTCTGGACCCAAAAAAATGCATTATACTTAATTCTGCTGTTGCCTACCAGTGGAGGACCTCAGTGTTTGTTCTGTTAGTTTAACAAAGGCCTCAGGGCTCTCTGGAATCACTACATCTGGAAGAAACATTGTACAGTACAGACATTTAGCACTGGCCTTCACAGCATGGTACCAAATGAACAAATGGGGCCAGAATTCATCTGGTAATAACCTCAGTTATGCAGAATAATGCAGAAGGTGTTTGCTGAACGGGTGACGGTTACAGGAGAGCATCGTTGTGCAATGATGCGTCAACAAATCTCTGGTTTCTGACCAGAATCAGGCAACTTTCAGTTTGTTGGGCTCCAATTATCCAAATGTGTTTAAAAGGAAACCATGAAAATCTCAATCAGCCACAGACTTCCAGTAGATAACAGGAAGGCTGTTTAGTTAAGCTGTTCAGTTTTAAACCATTTGAGTTTCCAACCTCTGTCTATTCTGAAATAACTAGATCTGGAAATGCTGAGAGTTTCTTTTGGAAACGTCTGAGTTATCTTACATGTTTAAAGTCGTAGAGAAGCAGCTGTTACAACGGTTGCGGTTCCAAATTCTCCGAGTGGTGCCCGATTTTACACGAGTGAATAAAGTGAATGTGATCGGACGATTATCAAGGGGGCGGGATTGTTGGGGCGGAAGGTTTGGTTGTGGCCGGTTTGTTTGAAGCATCTTGCTAACCAGTTAGCAACTTATTGCTAGTAGGTTCCCAATGGGAAATTCCATTGGGACCCAGTAGCACTAAATTGCACTGCATGAAAAGTGGGATTTTCGTCAATATACGGCACTGTAGATTGTCGTGGAACTTCAGGTTAGCGGCAGTTTACGGCAATTTGCAGGCTTCGCCGAAAACTCCCGTAAATTGTCAGAAATTGACGTGGAATTTCTTAGGCAGTGTTCCCCCCATGCCTCCCCCCCATGGAATTCTAGGGGAGGCTTTAACATGTAAATGAACATGCTGTGAGCTATACAAATGCAAACCAGGGTTGCAGGGGGGGTTTTACCCCAAGTGACATCTTTCTGGGTAAGAAAATCTCTGATACAAAGAGATCAGGTATAGCCTCTTACATTTTAGCTTGAATTGATTTATTTAATTAAAGTATAGAGACCAAAACAGATCTTTAGCTGACAGAGCAATACATTTAGAGCAGTAATAATTTTTTTTTAAATTTGCATTTAAGATAAAAAATAAAATGTTGTCTGTCAATATGCTCAATTCACAATTACTTAAGTGGAAAAGTTTCAAGAAATGATTCTGAGATGATTCACTTTATAACATGGCGCATTATCCTGTTGGAAGTAGCCATCAGAAGATTGGTACACTGTGGTCATAAGGTCATAGGTCAGCATGCTAAATTGGTATTAAGTGGCCCAAAGTATGGCAATAAATATCCCCCAAATAGATGGTAGAAATAGATCAGGCTCAGTATAGCCTAATTATAGACTCTTACATTTTAGCTTGAATTGATTTATTTAATTAAAGTACGCTAGATTACTGTGTATGCAAATGTTATGTAAAAAAAATACACAAAATAATTTACTTCAAAAATTAGTTTTACTCAGAATCAGTTGGCTGTAATGGTTAATTTTTTTTTTTAGATTTCCACTTTTTTTTTTTTTTTTTGTTATTGAATATATAAGAAAACAATAACAATCTCAAATAACAAGTCAATAACAAATATTTCAATACAAGAAGAAATATCACAACTCCTGCATTTGAAAAATAAAATTAAATGCACAGGCTGGAACAAAGTATAAAATAAAATAAATAAAAATAAATAAAATAATAATAGTAGTTAAAGTAAATTAATCAGTGGGGACTACCAACTGAAATTCTTCAATTAACTCAAACAATTTAATTGCATTTAAATTCTGCATCTTTCTCAGACATCTTTTGAAAAGGGAAAGTTCATTTTTGAGAGCAGAGATTGAGCATTTTGCATAGCGACATTTATGGATATAATACTTTGTTACAATTATTAGAATATTGATTAAAAATTCCAAATTTTTTTTCTTTAATGGATAAACCGAATTGAATGTTTTGCCAGGAAATAAAATCTAAATTTATTGTTTTAGAAGACAGAAAGGTTCGAAGTTGATCCCATAAGTTTAATACTTATACTTATACGAACTCGAGGAAGAGAAGACGGGTGCACAACACCATGCTAGCGGTAAATATATGTTCGATTACTGGTAGCTATGCTAAAAGCAGCCTAGCTTAGCTAGGCAAGCTAAAGACAACCTAGCCTAGCTAGGTAAGCTAAAAGCAGCCTAGCCTAAAGCTTTATTAAAGTGTATTTTTTGTGATTCACAGGAAGCAGTATGCCGTCTTCACAACTCGGAGACTAATTGCAGGCGCTATGAACCGGAGCAGGGGTAAGGTTTAAAGAATATGCTTTCATTCTGCGGTAAAAGGACATGGATACGGATAAATACCGACCATAGCTGTACTTTTTTTTTTTTCACAGACTACAGTCGCCTCACAATGAGGCGGTGACCTCCTATTTGCCGTCTCGGCAAGTCCAGATTTGCACGATGTTGATAAAGACGCATTAAGCATTTCCATTAAAGCTATGCAATCCTGTTTTAAAGTGATTCAAAATTCTGATTCTGCTCCTTACAAAAATCAGTTAATGTCCATTTATGACAGCAAAGCTGGAAGAGCTGTATTCCAGTGCAATCCTTAACTGATTATGTCATAGTTATTAGAGAAAAAAACCTAACTGGCTAAAACTGACAGTTCAAAGCTTTACAAAAACAGGAAAAGATGCTCAAATCTGGTCTCCATCCTTTAACTAAACAGAAGGTTACTCATTTTTAGCTTATTTCTCATTTTTATGGATCTACAAAGGTTTTTTTTTTTAAATGGAAAACCTTAATGACACATTTGCTATCATGGTAAGGAAATGCAAACACTCCTTTTTATCTAACCAGGTCACTAAACACGGGTTTAATGTCAGGGTAAAGCTATTTTCTCAGTTTGTAACTGACCTGACAGGCCAGAGGCGGGACGCTGCAGGAAGTCTCCCTCTTCACTGTGCTGCTCTCTGAGGGCTCTGCTCGCACTCTCAAGGCCACGGCTCAGGTCATAGTCATGGTCCCATTCAAGGGGGATGGAGTCCACGCTTGCAGGTGTGTCCCTGCCAGAGCGTTCAGCCCGAAGCTGAGCTGCCAGGGAGGCTGAGCGCCCAGAGGAGGGCAGGGGGGAAAGGAAACCATCCCCCAAACGCTCATTCCATGGTAGGCTGGACAAATCTCCAGGTTCATCCAGCTCCAGCTCACGATCAGAGAATGACACTTCAGTATCATCATCTGCAAGCTAGAAATGAAGCATTTTGGCAAATTAAAGAAACAAACTTAATTTTTATTTCAACCTCGAGAAAACAAATGAGAGCACTAAATTTGTGTTCTTACTGGAAGACGAATGAGCTTTTTATAGTAGCGCTCGACTCGCCCAAAAACTTCCTGACAGTAGCGCTGAAGCTCCTCCAGCTCTTCCTCTATGACAGCAGCATCCAGAGGCTCGCTTTTCTCTATCAGCGCCTCCCCCTGGTGGAAGATGTGCTCAATCTTGGCTGTTGTTAGAGAAATCTCCTGCTGGAACGACTGTGGGATCAAAGATGATTTCTTCTTTAGATAAAAAACACATATAATACAAAAAACAGTCGCTGCAAGCATGCTTAGTGTGAGGGATTGCCTTCCAGTCAATTCCTTAGATAGAAAACTTTAAATCAATTTGACTGGATGATCATGTGTTGTGATTGGCATTATAGAAATAAACTGAATAGAATTGAAAACATCCAAACTATCAATTAATGTTTAATGTTAAAAATGCGTTTTTTAGTTTAAATGGCCCTGACCTGCAACAGTCTATTTAGAAACTAGAAAATATTTCTTTCATCAGTGAAAGCATCACAGTACTTTTAAAAGATGACTTACTCATAGTTTTTGTGTTTTGAATCAACAAAGTACAGTAAGAAGAAGAGAAATAAGAAATATAAAAGTCTGCGTTTCCGTTAAATAGAATTTAAAATATATTACAAAAACAGAATAATGTTTTATTCTCAACATTAGAATTATTTAACATAAAAAAATTGTCTGTACGCTTGTGTACGCTATGTTCTGTTTAATCTTTACCTACTTAATTACATAGCCTTTGATAGCCTTATTTGACAAATATAATCATTTTGAGCTCTGATGAAAACTGAAGCTCAAAAATCTGTGAATCCATATTAAAAAATGCATCTAATCACATGGAGCTTGATGAGCATTTGCTCTACAACCTCTACAGGCTCCTGAAGTAAAGGACATCATGTCTGATTTCTGCCAAATGTGTTACAGGTTGAGTATAACGCCAATAAATCCTGCTATGGACCAGAGTTGGTTCACAGACTAACGTGTATAAACTGTGCTTTGGATAACGGCTATCCTGCTTTCACTGGAAAAACGATCTAGAAATTAATAAAAATGTCTTAAATTAAGTGTATTTACCCTTAATTTGAGAAGGTAAACGAGATAGTTTGCCAATGGAATTAGTATTTTTAGTCTTAAAATAAGATAATTAGATAATTTGCACTTAAAATTAGACAATCCAGTTGTGTTTTCTTATTTTAAGTGTAAATTGCCCTGTTCCATTGGCAAAATGTCTCTTTTACCTCCTTAATCCAAGAACAAATACACTTATTTTAAGAAAAAATTACTTATTAAGATTTCGATTTTTCCCAGTGTTCTGAAACTGAAAATCACATGCAGGGCTTTACCCCGGAACTAGTTCTGACTTTATCCTCCTTTCTAAAAAAGGGCCAGGGATGTAGAATGAATTTACGCCTGACATGGAACCCAGACTACTGCCCATTACTAAGGAAAAGACCCGTTTGCCGGTTCAATTTGGATGTTTTTTAAGCCAAAACAAGGCTTTGTTTTTGGTCCACTCTATAAAGCCTCGAACTCAACCTTTTTGCTGACATTCTAAATTGAAAAATCTTCCTGGATGGGAAGCGAAAAGTCTTCAAACTTGTAAACAAAGTCCAGTGGATTGATTCTTAACCTTTTTGGAATGCCTGAAATCACAGTTAAAGGCATACTATGCAACATTTTTCAGTTAATTAATGTGTTCCATAACGTTTTGGATGATTAAATTAGTCATTTCAGGTTGAACAAAGGTATTCTCGGCCGCCCTGGTGGTCTGTAGGGGAAATACCACACTTGCAATTGCAGGAGCCCTCGGCCCGCACCCACAGGCTCAGAAGTCTCGCGAGAGTCGGTCTTGCATTAAGGCGAGAACTGCTACACGCCCCCAGTAAAAGGCGTGCTCGTTGCTAGCACAGTGGCGATCTTTGTGCAGTTATCATGGCGGAACCAGCGAGAAAACAGCGAAAGCCCATGTCGGAGCAGGCAAGAAAGAGGAAAAGGGCTCCGGACAGAGAGAGGAGTCGTACACGGGTGAATATCGGGCAAGCTTTTACCGAATGGCGAGAGCTAAAAAAAAAAGAAGGTTGCAAAGCTCCATATTTACGACAGTGCACTCTAACTTTCGCCCTCTGGGGGGAGCCTCGCTGGAAAATCAACATAGTATACCTTTAAATATATCACCAAAAAAATACAGTAATCAGTTCTTAAAGCAAACTAAGTAAACGTAAAATTTGTTTATTAGTTTAAACAGTTTTATAGATGTTAGTGAGTGAGGTTTGCTGGAGGTGGAGGGGATCCGTGTTTCAGTTTCTGTTTTAAACCAATCGCCATGTGATGATGTCTTTTTGTCCTGATAGATAAAAATCCATTGCTGCTGTAGGGAAGCTGTCGGGTCTAAAGGTTTGCTGCTGACTGGGAGCATCTGATATAAATGACCCCAAAAGGTCTAAACCAGGTTGTTTATTATGCTCTTGACTCTCCCGTTTATAGGAAGCCAAAGCATTTAGTTTGGTTTTGCTTTGGTTTGACAATGTTTGGACTTTTTAAGGGTACTTTATATTTTACACAATACAAGGCTATGCAGTTTTTTCATAAATGTCTAAAACCTTACACCACTGATTTGCTGCTGATTATTCCTTTTTTGACAAAACAAATAATTGTTGTTGGTTTATTACTATGTCTACGAAAGTAATAACCCAACAAACCAACAAGATAAAGTGACTCTAACGGGCTGCTGGATTTAGGGTCTCCTCTTTTTTACTACCTCGTGAGCAATGCTAAGACACAGAATAAAAGTTAGTTTTGCTGTTAATTTTAAAAGAAAAAATAGCTATAAGTATTGGCAGATCAAAGCTTTATACAGAATAACACAAAAAGACAGATTCTGTTTTTTTTTTTTTACAGTTTCTGCAACAGTTATTTAATAGTGCATAATAAAACCATACTAGACTAACCCATAAAAAGTATCCTATACAACATCAAATACTTAGTCCTCAAACTCAAGGCTAAATTGGTCTCAAATTGTGTCAAACTCACCCTGAGTTGTTTGATCTTGGCCTGAATGTCACACTCTGAGAAGTGTTCAATGTTGGTGAGCTGAAGGTCCATCTCTGTCAGCCACACTAAGATACCATCTCTGGCCGTTTCAAACTCCTCTCTCTGATTTATAAAGTGCTGCATTTTGAAAAAGAAAAAAAAATAAGTTAGAGCACCTTAAAATTTTAATATTAATCAAATGAGGTTCAACAAAAAGATTTCTTTGATCAACTTAGAAATAACTGGAACTGGGTAAAAGAGACTGTGTGAAAGACTGATAAATAGACAACGTAAAATAAATATATATATAAATTTTATGAGATAAAATAAGATATCGTGCCTTAAGTCTGCGAATGATGGAGGCCACACGTGTCTGCAGGTTGTCCCATCTCTGATTGGCGTCGTGAGCCATTTCCCTCAGACGACAGGAGGCGTCTGTGCGGTTTTCTCTGGCCAGGCGGCGGTATTGCTTGTTGATTACCTCCAGCTGCGTCAGGCTTTCATGAACTTGTCTCTGGAAGGTCTGAACAAAATGAAAATGTCATCAGATTCAATAAATCACCATTCTAATCTTAAATAAGATGTTTTTATTACCTAGAAGAGAAGAATCATTAATAACTCAAGTAAAGCTTTGTAAAGTTAGTGAAATTTATGTATGTGTTTCACTTTGTTAATTAAGATCCTAAAATAGAGGAATGTTTGAATATGACCTTGAATATTTCCCAGTAGAGACGGACGGACTTTGTGTGTTTATTGTGTCATTTACTAAAGACAGCTCTTTGCAAAATGTTTCTTTCACCTTAAATTTCCACATATTGCCATTTTACAACCACTAATTTGAATTAAATTTAAGCAATTTAATGTGAAAGAACACAGGGAGCCTATAAGTAGAGGACAGAATAATAGAAATGGTTTTTAAATCGTATTTTAGAAAAAGTTTTTATTTTTTTACCACAGATCATATTCTTTTTCATCATTTGGTGAAATTCCATTTAACTATATCTACCAGCTTTATATATCTGTTGTCTGGAATCACTCTTTGACACTACTAATCTTCATCTGGTTCAGTCAAACATGGTGGAGAATAAATTCACCTCTGAGTTTCGGCCTATAGGTATTAGAGTAAAGGAGAGTACAGACAAACTTTTTATGTTTAATTTTTAAGTTTGGGTTTTTTTTTCCTTCTCAAAGTTTTCACAATTACATTTAACAGTAGACTGTTAAATGGTTTAGAGGTTTAGAGAAATGTACAGGCTAGTTAACTTTATTTCTATTGATATCAAAGCATTATTCCACACACTTATTTTAAGTTACCTCAAATTTCTTCAGTTCCTCTTTGGCTACAGTGTAGAGCACACCCGATGAGTTGGGCAACGCTGCAGTTTTCTCTGAAGTGGCCAGCCACTCATCAAAACGTGCAAAGTCTTCCAGAAATTTCTGCCACAAACGCCAGGTCTCCTCAATCCTAAAAGAAGATATTTTCAGACAAAGCAAAACCATTTTAATAAGTTAAAAAAAGGCTTGTTATGCATGCATGTCATCTATTTCCATTGATGTGATTCTATGTAATGTAGAGACTATATGACTGATTACTTTAGTCTCCTCTCCATGGACAAGGCACAGATGCTCCTCCAGCGGCGATCGAGGCTGCGAGTTGCCTGCTGGATTGAGTCACACTCCACATCGGTGGCACAAGCATCGCAGTCATGCAGGAGCACTTCGCATAAATTCAACACTGACGCGACGCCGGTGCTGTGCTTCTCTATGTCACGCTGAAGCTCCTGGTAGTAAAAAAGCACAGGTGAAAAATGATGATGACAGAAACTAATAAAGTTATATAATGTTTTCATGTTGCATTCTGTATCCCTGCTTTGTAAGGAACTACAAAGATAAGTAGGTAAAGTAGCAGCCATTCAAAATGGCCGTTTCCAGTCAAAGGCCAGCTGAATGGCGGCCCACTTCCCTGCAGTGAAATCCCATACAACTTCCAGCCACTGGAATGAACCCCTCCTTCTCCTGGGCGTGCAAATTATTTTACTTCACACTTTCACTGAATTACAGGGTCTGACCAAGTGATGACGCTTCTCTTTAGATCTTAAAGGAATAGTAAACGCTGAACGCGCTGAACAACACTCTGGAGTACTTGTTTGATATCTCAAATGCATCTGGAGATCTGGGAGGCTTCTTGCTGTCTGCTGACATTCAAATAATGGAGGTCTATGGCGCCCGAGGCAGAAAGGTCCATAAAAGTCCACAAAAAACGTGTCAATATTCCTCCATACTGCTCGTCCAATGTATTCCAAGTGTCCTGAGTGGGTAGCGTCCATAATTTACTCGAAACGAAGTCATTTAGAATGTTTTTAGAGCATAAACAGTAGTGTATAGGATTTTCTAAAAGCGCATTCACGAGTCTACGGAAACCGCGGCAGACCAAACCAGATGAAAGTGCGCATTCAGCGTCTGCTCTGCCGATAATGCAAGCGTAGAAGAAGAAATGTGCCGTTTAACTGTGCAAAGAAAGAAACAACGAAAGAAAAATGTCTGAGGACTTCAGTGTTGAGGAAGAGCATGAGTTCTTTGCCGAGCTGAATGCGCACTTTCAGCTGGTTTGGTCTGCCGCGGTTTCCGTAGAGTCGTGAACTCGCACGCGCGCGCTTTTAGGAAATCCTATACACTACTGTTTATGCTCTAAAAACATTCTAAATGACTTTGTTTCGAGTAAATTATGGATGCTACCCACTAAGGACACTTGGAATACATTGGACGAGCAGTATGGAGGAATATTGACACGTTTTTTGTGGACTTTTATGGACCTTTCTGTCTCGGGCGCCATAGACCTCCATTATTTGAATGTCAGCAGACAGCAAGAAGCCTCCCAGATCTCCAGATGCATTTGAGATATCAAACAAGTACTCCAGAGTGTTGTTCAGCATGGGGGTGAGTAGAAAATGAAGGCTAATCATGTTTTGGGTGTACTATTCCTTTAATGTCCACAAATCATGACAAAGGAATATTTTAGTACAAAGATTGATGTTTAAAAAACGAATTGTAGGCGACCAGCCAAGGACTCATCAAGGAAAGTGGGGACATTTTGAATGGCTACTATTGTATATAATGAAATTAGGGATGCACGATATAATCGCCCCCCCTATCGGTATCGGCCTTAAAACTGAATATGGGACATCGGGCACCCCACCGATATTTAACCCGATATTTGATCAGCTTCTGAGTTTCTAAAGTCTAAAAAAAAAAAGAAAAAATATACTATTTCTTCTTCTTCCTCAAAAACTTTTTTTTTACAGACTTAAAAACTTCTAAAGACGAGGGAAAAAATATTGATACATTAAAATATCACAATATCTTCATATGCTGATATATTGCCATTTAAAAACACCATATCAATCTCTTTTACTAATGAAATTTTGCCATATTTTTATATATTGATATATTGACGCGGTATCGATCTATTTTACTAACACAATCTCACAAGAATTTGCAAAATATCACGAGAGTTTGAAAGTAAAATAGATCTATACCGCGTTTTTAAAAATCTATTTGATATCAGCATATGAAAATATATTGAAAATATAAATATAAGTGTCAAAAATGGATAACAAAACTGCTATTTTCAATGACTACTTATTTTTGTCCAGCTTTAACATCAGTATCGATATCGGTTATCGGCTACATGAGTTTTAAAATATCAGCATATCGGATATCGGCCAAAATCCCAATATGGTGCATCCCTAAATGAATTCACTGCGTTTCAACAAATCTATAGCTGAAACTAACTTAACAGCTAAAAGAAACTCAAAGCTGTTAAAATATAAAGAATAAGGGTCTTCTCCTGAAAAAAATCGTATTTTAACAATTAGCCTTCAATTGAATATCTAAAATTGTTCGGTGATTTGATGCAAAACATGTCATTTTTCTGGAATAACTAAAATAAAGGCAGCTTGGTTTGGGGCTGAATGCTTCTTTACCTGCTGCAGATCAAGCTTCCTCTGAATCTCTTGGAAGTCACAGGAGTCATAGGCGATGGGTTGAGACAGCTCTCCCTCAATGTGAGCGAGCCAAGAGCGCAGGCTGTTCATGTTCTTATCCAGCTGCTGCACGGCCACCAGAGTTTCCTTCAGCTTCTTCACTCTGTTGACACAGTTTTCATAGTAAAAGACAAAATCAAAACAAAATGTAATTTTTATTTTTTTTTTTTAACAAAGACTTTATTTTATCAGATCAATATTCAAAATCAATGATTCATACAATAAGCCAGAAACAACAATTTCAATACAACCATACAAAAAGTTGGGTAACAACAACCAAACAGGTCGGCAAGCTGAAGAGCCATGTTTTCTTTTTCCTTTTTCTTCTTTATCATTATTATATATAAATATTTATTTATTTTTTTATTAACTTGGAGGATGAGACAAAGGAAAGATCTCTCTCGAGTAATTTTTATTTTTATCATAACAGAAATGTGTGTTTACGCTTATCCTACTACCACATTAACTGTAAACATGTCTTCAAAGGGTTCCATCTTTTCTCAAATAAACCAGTGGACAAGTTTAATTTTGCTGTTATTTTCTCCATCGTATAAACATTCACTAGTTTCTCTTTCCATTGATTTACAGTAGGGGGTGAAGGTTTATACCAGCATATTGTTATCATTTTTTTGGCTACGAGAACAAGGATACCAAATAAGTTTTGTTCTTCTTTACTTAAATTATTTGGTGGAATTCCCAGAACAAAGATCCGGGGATTCCAATCAATATCAGCATGCAAGATATTTGAAATTTCCTCTCTAATTCCTTCCCAGAATTTCTTAATCTTTGGGCAATCTCAAAAGACATGAGTTTGATCTCCAACTAGTCTGCACTGTCTCCAGCACAAGTTTGATTTAGTTTGATCAAATTTGGAAATAATGTACGGAGTTTTGAAATATTTAACGATTATTTTCCAATAAAAATCTTTCCATGTTGGACTATTAGTCAGTTTATGTCCAGTTATACACACTTGCTCCCACTCTTCATCTTCAATCACATTATTCATTTCTAGTTCCCATCTTTCTTTTATCCTAGGAGCTCCCCTCGACAGACATGACTGTAAGCATTTGTATAGATTCGACAGTATTCTTAGATTTTTTTTCTTTGGTGATCTTTATAAAGAATAATTCTAAATCAGTAGGTCCCGACTGAAGAAGGGGCCATTCATTGTGGGACATCAGGTAGCTTCTCAGTTGTAAATACCTATAAAAATCAGGCGTGCTCAAGCCATACTTTTCCTTAATCTGTTTAAAAGACTTCAGAACCTCCCCTTCAAACAAGTCATCAATAAAAATAAAATTTTTGTTTTGCCAGGTTCGAAATCCTGGATCTTGTTGTCCTGGTTTAAAGTCTATTATATCCAAAATTCTTGTGGCTCTGGAAATAGATTGGGGAGCTTTTAAAATGTAATTTTCATCAATAAAAAGGACTTGGCCTTTTGTTACCTGGCTCCGATGAGATCCAGGAGGTGTTGCCAGCGGTCGCTGACTTTGTTCAGCTTTTGTTCAATTTCCACTGCTTTGGTCTTATGACTGGCCTTGGCAAGACGCTCCCCAAGCTGATGCAAATGCCTCTTATTCGCCTCTGCAACTGTTATCTCCTCCTGGTAATCCTAAAATATAATTCAAGAATATAAGGAAATGCAAAAGTAAAACAAAAATAGAATGACCTATTGACCAAATATGTTGATCTCAGGTGAGTAATACACATTACAAAACATCAGCATTTGCAAAAATTTATAAATACAGAAATGCAAAGGTGCAAAGATATCTTACAAAATAGATGCACATCAGGAAAAACATTATATTTTACTTGTCAGTCTTGGTTCCAGAAGTATAAATAAGTAGATAAATGATGCATTTGATAAATGTCTACCCTTCCATACCTTACGGAGCTTTTCAATCATCTCCTCAATGCTGATGTCTCCGTTCTGCGCCACCTTACTCTCCATGCTGGTGAGCCACTCACAGAGCCCCTTGTACTTCTCAGTGAAAACGGTCCACTCATTCAGCTTCTCACTCACCTGCTGCCTGCGCAGGGAGAGCTGCACAAGCAAAGCATTACAAAGTTACTCGATACGACTTAGTCCATAATAGCAATAAAAACACGGTATCTTAAAACATGCAAACAAACTTGAGAAGCCCATAAAGGAAGCAGCTTTACAAAAACCGTTGAAACAAGACTGCTACATGCATTTCACAATGTGTGTGTGTGCTTCTGTGCTTCCTGTAAAAGCATTTATCTACGAAGCACAGGAAGCATCTCAACGCTGAGAAATATTGGGGTTTCAGTCATTTTCTGCCTTCGATGATGCTAACTTTGCATGCAGTCAGATACAGAAAAACATCTTGACTTTAGCAACATCTTGTGGTCTGCTGAGGGAATACAGGGACAATATTCATTACTAATTAGAATCAGAAAAAACTTTATTGCCAAGTAGCGTTTTACACGTATGAGGACTTTGCTTTGTTAGCAACGTGTTACACAAACACACATATATATATATATATATATATATATATATATATATATATATATATATATATATATATATATATATATATATATATATATTTAGATGACAAAACCAACCAGCCAACTGACAGAGCTAACTAACTATGTAAGATTGGTTGATGTCAGTGAGAGAGCTGATCTTATTGTATTTAATGTTCCTTCCATCTTCCTAAAACCTTTCATGAACTTTCCTTAGCTCAACTCAGTAGTTCTAATTTTTGAACAGATCCATAAAAGATTATATAAAATTATAATATACAGAACAATACTGAAATAAATAAAATAGAGTACAATAAATGAGCTAAAACCATATATTTTTTTAACTATTTTCTTGCAAAAATATATATAACTGAAGAGATCTTATACATTTATGAAAAAAACTGTAAAGTCAATCACTTAAAGATACAGCATATACAAGGAATCAAGAAAAGAGATTTTCAGAAGGTTGTACCTGATGGCAGATTTCATCCCATTGTCGATGCAGAAGTTCAATACGCTCCTGCAGAGCAGAAAGATCCTCTGCACTGATATAACAGGACAGAGACTCTCTAAGTAGAGTCAAATGGGCCAAATCTCCAGTCCAGCCCTCAAATGTGTTTTCTAAATCCTGTTAATAAAGGAACACATCAGAGCATTTATTTGCATTTAACCCGTTTCCAGTTTCTACATGTAGCTTTTTTTTATAGATAGACTAAAAACAGCGTTAATGAAACCTTGCAGCGCATCTGCTCAGCTTGGAGATCTTCATGGTGATCAGGAAGGGGTTGAGAAAGCTGTCGTTTGAAGGCTCTGAGTTTTTCAAGCGATCCTCCAATTCCTCTCTCACATCTTTCCCAGTCCTATATATAGATATAAATATACAGAAAAACCAATAACATAAACCGATAAGAAGTCATAACTCAGGACTTATATAATTTATAATGTGAGCAAAAAGTAGATTTGTAAGAGTCTCCAGAGATGATTCTCTTCAGAAATGTAGGTACCCTGTTTAATTTACCTTCAGAAGTGAGCTCAGCTGTTTCCTTCGATCCTCTAGGCATGTGCTGGCTTGTTTCCATCTGTCCTGGATGTCTGTCAGCTCCGTCTGCAAGGTCACCTCTGCTCTGCTGTCTGCCGACAGAAGTAGCTGTCTGCCAGTCTCTATCGTCAGGATGTAGCTGCCCTGCTGACGCTGCAGCACCTTTTCTTTCAGCTTAAGCAAAAAGAGGGATTCTCATGAGGTTACTAAACCCATTAATTCCAAACATCCTGCTGAAGTATAATTTTTTACATATTTGTAGAAAAAAAAAGGTCCAAAGATTGGACAGATGCTGTAACAGAGACTTTAGCACCTCCAGACAGGATAGATAGTGCTGTTTTTCTGGCTGTTCTCAATTAACCCCTAGAACCCTATGGACCCACCGGTGGGTCCAGCTGCCACGTGACCTCGTAATTTTAACAAACCCCCAGTATTGATGTAAAAAACACGTTTGGCACAGTTTGGTGACATTTTTGGATAAATGTGCCAAAATGGCCCCTCCGCCTAAGAAATTTCTCACTAATACCATTCTAAAATAAATATGATTCATCTGATTGAGTCCAAATTTTGTATATTTTTACACAACATTTAGATTTAAAAGTCTGTACTACTTTTTTGTGCTATAAATAATATTTTGGTAGTGTTTTGCAATGTTTATTTCAAAGAAAATTTTGGCGAGGTTCAAAAAATGCAAAATATTTTGTATTTTGTCCCTAATATTTCAGGCAGGGTCAAAGCTACAATGGTGCTGACACCAGAAAACCATTCTATGACATCTTACCTTTACAGAGGTACCAAAAGTTTCTTCTTAAATCTAATAGCTGTGAGGCTATGAGTTATTTACTTTTGTGTGTTTTTGTCAGGCAGAAATTTATTTATACCCCCTGAGGGTGTAAGAGGTTAAGAGCTCCCTGTGTTGGTCAGAAACAGGGCATCTTGCCTGCTTGCTGTTTAATAGAAAACCATTCCCTTTTTGATGCAGTTAGGTCTACAAAATCTATAAAGATGCTTCAGCTTAAGATCAGCAGCATTAAAGACGGGCTCTGGGACAATTAAAGAAATAATATGGTCATTTACCAAACAGCAGACTGCTGAGAGTCCTTAGTGAAAGTGAATGGAAACTAAAAGACAAACAAATAAAATCTAGAAAGACTAATGAAATTACAAAACCAGAAGTGTAGCTTTCCTGATAATGTCAAGCTATTATGTCATTACAGAATGTTGCTTTATTCTCTAAAAAAAGAAAGGGGAGATGATTTGGTTGTACGTCTTCTACTGTGTATGGCCTATTTATATACCATCCATCAAGTTAGACAGAGTGTTCCCCTACAGCAAGCTGCCTAATTTAAATAAATGGGCGATTAACATACATCTCCAGCCCTTGGAACCTGCTGAGGAGGAAATGCAGTGAAGTGAAGTGTGCTGAAACAGAAACACATCTAATTATAGAGGCTTTACCACAGGTGTGTGACTGTCTTTCCACTTCTCTTTAGTCGAGCTCATCTAAAACACCCGTTTGCTTTAATTTTTTAGGCCCGGTGCAGACAGCCAGATTATTGAAAGCCTTAATGTAGTAGATTTTCAGCGTTTCATGCCTGTTTACCATGGTTCATCCTGAATCAAATAAGTAAGGACACTTAACCAAACTAAGTGCCTCAGCGATCGCCAAAATAAGGACTGGCTGAATAGTGCTGGCACTGAGGAAGAAATCTGTCTGCCTATCCTGCATTGGGCCTTCTGTGCATGACAGAAGCCTATTTTTCAGACTCAGATTGAGCAACAGCCATTCTACTAATCTAATTTTCTGTTGCGAGCTGCTGGCTTTCAGCATCATTAGGCGCCACCTTTCTCAGACGCTTCCTGTTTAAACTAAGTATTTGTTATCAAACCTTTCAAAGCCCAACCCCATGTCAGGTTTGAATATTGGGTTCTCTACATGTCCGGCTTGCAAATACCAAATTAAGACATTGAAGTCTGATTGAAATGTGACTAAAATATAAGTATACACCTTTGTGAATTTAAATGAGGGTTAAAACGTACCAGAACAGCATCAAGCATAGAGCGAGCTTGTTGTAGAGGAACTGTATTTCCAGCCTGAAGCATCTCTGCAGGATGGGAGACTTCCAAAATCCATTTGTGCAGCTTCTCCACCATTTCTCTGTAGCGCTGCCACTGACGAATGAGGCCATCAATGATCCCCCGCCTCTGCTGAGCACGTCGCACTACGCCTTGCCACTGGTTACTCAGAAGAGTCAGCTTCATGTTGAACTCATCTCTGCAGGAGAATTAATACGATTAAGATATAATCTCTCACTATAAAATTTAGAAGGTAATACTGTAGCTAACATTGTAAATAAATCAAACCACATCAAAAACATTATTTAAGGCCCTTCACCTGTCATCCACTTGACCTTGTTCTAACATCCTCTGTCCATCACTGATAATAGAATGGAGGATCTGCTGCCGGCTGAACATTTCAGCTTGGAATAACTGAAAGAAAAATGCAATTATTGCCATGAAAACAAAAAAAAAGTCATAGCCTTGTGACCATTCACATGAAAAGGACTCAAACCTCATGGGCTTTCTGCTGATCTACTAAACTCTGGTAGTTCCCAGAAATTTCTACAGCAAGATTCTCTTCTGTCTGCAGCAGGAAGTCCATCCATGTTTCACATTTTTCAAGGAAGGTCTGTTGCTGCAGGAGGATTGACTGTAGCTTGCTGCAAGGAAAGAAAAAAACTCCAGATTATAAATATAAAACAATTAAAGTGATTTTTTTTTTTTCATTCCCCTTTTATTTAAAATCACAATATTTTCTTAAGTCAAATTTTCTTTAGAGAAAATGATGCAGAATGTAAGCAGAATGCTGCACACATACCTGAATCTCTCCGTTGTTTGTGTCGAAGCTGCCGACCAGCTTCTATTGAGGTTCTGCATGCGCTTGATCTCCAAATCATTCAGAGGGAGTCGATAACCAAGCTCGTTAAGATGCTCCAATTCAGGGGACATGCTGCTAAATTTCAGCATGAGCTTCTGAAAAATGCAAAGAAAACATATGTTGAATCTTCACTATTTGCCCAGAGGCGGTTTTATCCAACAAGAAACAAACTATAAAAACCTTGAGCTCCTCCATACGGTCCTGGATGACGGTCAGCTCAGTGCAGCCGTTGGGATCTTGTGCTCTCAAAGCCTCCTCAGCATCAATTAACCAGGAGCCCAAATACTCCAGTTGTTTATTAAAGGTTTCAAAGTCTTGAACTCCAGTCTGATACAAGGAAGGCATGCACAAATGTAACATTTATGAGTCTGATTGAAAGACTGTGTGCTTACACAATGAACAGGGATCTGGCATAGATTTAGTTTTGTACCTGCAAGGTGGTGAGCTGTCTGTTGAGGGCCTTTTCCACCCCAGCAAGCCGCTGGATGAGAGAGAGGTGGTCTGATTGGATAGCAGATGCTGCCGAGGTGTCCACCTGTTGTTTAAGCTGCTCTCCAAGTTCTTGCAGAATCTGAAGGGAGGCCTGCACTGGAACTTGCAATCGCAGCAACTCCTGATGTAAAGAAACCCAAAAATCTTTGGCATGTTAGCTTTTTAAAATGAAAGAAAAACAATCAAAATGTCAGGTTTGTGTTTCTGTTATTTTTTTCTTTTGAGTATCCACTTTTGCTTTGCTCCTTGTTTTCTAGTTTTAGTGGGGTAATTCAATTCAATTCAATTCAGTTTATTTATATAGCGCCAAATTCACAACACATGTCATCTCAAGGCACTTTACAGTTCAACCAGATCATACAGTCAAATTGATACAAAGTTTTCTATCTAAGGAAAACCAGTTGATTGCATTGACTCATTGACTCAAATACAATCCCCCACACTAAGCATGCTTGTAGCGACAGTGGAGAGGAAAAACTCCCTTTTAACAGGAAGAAACCTCCAGCAGAACCAGGCTCAGTGTGAGCGGCCATCTGCCGAGGCCGACTGGGGTTCAAGGAGACAGAAGCAGAGATACAAAAAGCAGCTGTAAAAGGCGGCCCCGTCCAGGATACACGCAGCCAGGCAGACGAGCTCCAAGGCAGCTCCCATGCCAGAGGACGAAGAGAGCACATCCACTCAGTCACGGTCAGAGAAACAGGACCACACTGGAAAACAGGCCGATCTCCAACATCTATAAACAAGGGTGTTGATAGAAGCAGCACAGCTGATGTTTCTTTCCAGGATGACGTCACAGCCAAGCAGGAACAGACGAGGCAAAGCTACTCTGAGGAAAAGCAGAGAGAGCAGAAGGTTAGAGATTGAACTAACAGATTCTGCAGAATAGGAGAACAGAGAGAGAATGAAGCAGAATGATGAAATGGGGGTCTATGTCCTCCAGCAGTCTAAGCCTATAGCAGCATAACTATAGAGATAGCTCAGGATAACCTGAGCCACCCTAACTATAAGCTTTATCAAAAAGGAAAGTTTTAAGCCTAGCCTTAAAAGTAGACAGGGTGTCTGCCTCACGGACTAAAACTGGTAGTTGGTTCCACAGGAGAGGAGCCTGATAACTAAAAGATCTGCCTCCCATTCTACTTTTAGAAATTCTAGGAACCACTAGTAAACCTGCAGATTGAGAGCGAAGTGCTCTATTAGGAACATAAGGAACAATCAGATCTCTGATATAAGATGGAGCTTGGCCATTTAAGGCTTTATATGTGAGAAGGAGGATTTTAAATTCTATTCTTGATTTAACAGGAAGCCAATGAAGAGAAGCCAGGATAGGCGAGATATGATCTCTCTTTTTAATTTTCATTAGAACTCTGGCTGCAGCATTTTGGATCAGCTGAAGGCTTTTAACTACAGTTTGTGGACTTCCTGATAGTAAAGAATTACAATAGTCCAGCCTTGAAGTAACAAATGCATGGACTAGTTTCTCAGCATCACCCCTGGACAGGATATTTCTAATTTTTGCAATGTTCCTCAGATGAAAGAAGGAAATTCTAGAAACCTCTTTGATGTGGGATTTAAATGACAGGTCCTGATCAAAAATAACACCAAGATTTTTTACTTTATTATCTGAAATCAGTTTAATCCCATCCAAATGAAGTGACTGGCTAATCAGTTTCTTTTTCAGAGACTCTGGTCCAAAGACTATAACTTCTGTTTTGTCTGCATTCAGGAGCAGAAAGTTAAGAGTCATCCAGGTTTTTATGTCTTCAAGACATGCCTGTAATCTATGTAATGGGTTAGCTTCATCTGGATTTATAGACAGATATAGCTGGGTATCATCAGCGTAACAGTGGAAATTAATCCCATGCTGTCTAATAATTCTACCAATTGGGAGCATGTATAAAGTAAAGAGAATTGGTCCTAGCACTGATCCCTGTGGTACTCCACAGGTAACCTTTGAGCGTGTTGAAGATCTATCATTAACATGAACAAACTGAATTCGATCAGATAGATAAGATTTAAACCAGTCTAGTGCTGTTCCTTTAATTCCAACAAAATATTCAAGTCTTTCTAAAAGAATATTATGGTCAACTGTATCAAATGCAGCACTAAGATCCAACAGGACGAGCACAGATACAAGTCCATTATCTGAGGCCATGAGAATATCATTAGTGACTTTCACCAGAGCTGTTTCAGTGCTATGATGAGCTCTAAAGCCAGACTGAAACTCTTCAAAAAGTTCATTATGGTGGAAGTGATCGCAAACTTGTTTGGCAACTACTTTCTCAAGAATTTTGGATAAGAAAGGAAGATTGGATATAGGTCTATAATTGACCAAGTCATCTGGGTCAAGAGACGGTTTCTTAAGCAGAGGTTTAATTACAGCAACCTTAAAAGCTTTAGGTACATATCCCTGTAACAGAGATAGATTAATCACATCTAAAATGGAGGAGGAGATCAAAGGGAATACCTCCTTAAATAACCTGGTTGGAACTGGATCTAACATACAAGTTGAAGGCTTAGATGAAGACAATAATTTTGCTAATTCAGAGAGTTCAACTGGATCAAAGCAGTCTAAACCCGGTTCAGATTCCATGACTACCTCAGGTACAATCGCGGATAGAGGAGTGCTTATGATCTTATTTTTAATAAGATCAATCTTATTTATAAAGAATCCCATAAAATCATTGCTGCTAAGATTCTAATTCTTAGTTTATTGAGTTCTTTGTTTCTTTTCTCAGTTACTGTCTCAGTCTTGGTTCTGTTATCTTCTCTTTTTAGTGTTCAGTCTTGCTTTACTCCTTGTTTTCTATTGTTAGTGGTTTTAGTTTTTTATTTTGCTGTGTTCTTTGTTTTTAATCAGTAATTTAATTATCATTTTGTTGTTATTTCCAGTCTTCCAGGTTTCTTTTTGTTGCTCTCTGCTGCCCTCTTATGTTCTCCTTCTTCCCTAGCTCTTTCCCTCTCTTGTTCTGTGCACACCTGCTCCCAGTTTCCTCCTTAGCCCTCTCTTTGTCTCAGTCTCCTTTAAAAACCCTCTCTTCAGTTCCTCTTTGCTGGGTCCTCGTCATACACCGTCCAACTTCGTCTCCCTGAGCCTTCCTCCTTGAGTCTTGATCTACTGATGTTTTCTACTTATTTTTCATATTTTGAATTTTGGATTCCTGGTTTCTTGTTTGTTTAGACTTTGTTTTTTTTCCGTTACTCTTCATTAAATCTACCATAAATTAACCTCTGCCTGCCTGCCTGCCTCTGCTTTTGGGTCCACAACCCTCAAACAAATCCTGACACAAAAGAATCATAAATTATAAATGTAGGAGGAGACAAGGAAGATAATGCTACACAAATATATTTTTACCCTTTGAATATTTTACATTTCACATGTTTTAATATCTTAAAGAGTAACATTGATTATATGGGAATTGAGAATAAGAAAAGGGAAAATGCAGCTTGGGTAATTGGCAGACAAGGTAACCATAAGTCGTGCATGTCAAAAAGTGGCCTTAAAGGCAATTTTCAAAAAAAAAAAAAAAGGGAAGTTTAAAATCTCTGCAGTTTAAGGGAGATATTTTGTTCTTATTAGACCAAATTGAATCTATTACAGCCTATGGAATATGGAGAACAACATGTCTGCTAGAAAAACAAGAATAACGTTGGTGGGAGCAAAACTGCTTAGCAGTGCATCTTTAGACAGACAACAAAGCAAGTCTGAGCTAAAGAGGTGAACAAATTACGGTTAAAATCCACCTGTATCAAGATTCAATGTCTCATACTTCACCCCAGATATGTGATTGGATAAATGAGGTATAATCCCACCAAGGAGCAGTCATCAGACGCTTACATTTCATTACCCAAGTCATTAAAGGCTGGTAGCTCTGACTCTGGTCTCTAGAGGAAGGATGTCCTCTGAATATAACCAAGGCACTGTGTCTCACAGCCATTCTTCCAGATTAACCTCTTCTGGCTGCATGCAGAGAGGGTCAGCTGGTTAAGAACACTCCTGTATTTGCCTCATAAGCTGTTTCTGAAGGTAACTGCTGCTCAGTCAAGAGACGGGACTTTGTTGGAATCAGCTGTACTTAAAACTGCATGTGTCAGTGTGGATGCAGTAACATCTGCACTGTAAAAGATCTTTATGCCGCACATGCAACTGAATTTAACTGTCTTTTAAGCGTGTCTGCCAGCATGTTGTGTCTGATGATGCACGCAGTTTTTGTAGGCAAAGGTAATGCGTAGGGCTGAAAAAATTAATCGATCAATTATAATTAACCGAACAATGAAATTATAAACAACTAGTTTAGTAATTGATTTATCCATAACTGGAGATATACTGACTCTAACCCATTCAGAGTATTTCTTATGCCGAAATTGTAAAACAAATATACACACATTTGCATTTAAGAATAAAAAAAAAGATTCTCCATGAATTTGGTCTATCCAGATCTTCATAATTTTAGCTTCACCTGATTATATTCAGCTTAAAATCTTCTATGCAAACTGTAAAAGCTAAATCCGCGCTTCCAAAAAGTGCCTGTCTAGCTGCAGTGTTTAAAATTTGGAGAATACAGCAGAGGAGGATGTGTCTTCTCCTTCTGAGCATGTAGGAGGAGGAATGCAGGGGGGGGGGTGAATTTTGTCTGCAGTGGGCTTTGGTCAGGCTACATACATTTTAGAATAACTTTTAGATTAACATAAATCATGCGCAATTATACAAAAAGATTCCGCAACTTGAGTTAACTCTACACCAGTACCGAAGATTTGCATTTATAACTTCAGAGCTATTCCTGATTTATTTTGTTTTATTCCTTTGTCAGCAGTTGTTACATGATATGTACAAAAATTAAACCAATTTGTATTTATAATTTACAACACTGCATGCAGTAAAATTGAAGATTAAAAAGATTCCTGCACATCAAAAATCTCTTAAAGGAAAAGTCCGGTCATATTATTCAGAACTGAAACTTCTGAAAATACTTTAAATATGAAATTGTTACATACTGTTCAATAAATGATCAGTGTTTTCAATATTATTCAAATTTCATGTGAATGTGCTTTACCGGTGTAGGTACCAGATTAACTCGGGCTGCCAGATTGACTCGGGGGCCTGCGCCTTTTGATGACGTCATAATATGGCAACTCCGCCCGTCACTATATGGCAACGCCACTCGTAACGATATGGCAACTCCACTCAAACAAACTACATTGCGCCCGCGGTCTCTATTTGTCACAAATCTAGTTTATTTAGCCAATAAACGGTAATCTTTTGGCACTGTCCGTTAATTGACCAAATACCTATAATACATTAAAACATTAAATTTTTTTTTTTTTACAGATTACATCTGCCTATGCTGAGATGCGTCAGAGCGTCCGCCATCTTAAATGTGGCAAATCTGCAGTTTCTCAGTCACTTAAACAGTATCAGAGGGACTTTAATCTCTGAATATACTTTGTATTCGTAGTATTTTTGTTTTTGTAATATTACAAGTTTATTTTTTGTATCCCTTTAGCTTCATTCTCCTGAATTTATTCTCGTTACAAATGCAGACCTCAATGCGGGCTCAATGTAGTTTGTTTGAGTGGCGTTGCCATAATGTGACGTCATCGGGAGGCGCAAGGCCCATGGCGAATTCGGTGACGTCATCGGAAGGCGCAGGGAGAATTTCTTCGTAAAATTGTCGGTTTACAAACCGCAATCCCGCTTTCGAATAAAACCTACACCACGCTATAATTACTTTAGTAAGCTGTCCAGACCAATCAAAATGTTTTGCGCAATTGTGCAAACGTTAAAACAATTATGTATTGTGACGTCATCAAAAGGCGCAGGCCCCCGAGTCAATCTGGCAGCCCGAGTCAATCTGGTACCTACACCGGAGACCTACTGGGACGTCACACGTCACGGTGCGGTATCGGCTGTTGATCAAGTCCCAGTGCTGTATCTGGTGTTTGTCACAACGCGCTATTATCCAAGTCATCTTGAAAACATTCTTCTTCCAAATGTTGGCTACATATTACAGGTTTTTTCTCTGGCCAGAAGTTCGATGGCAAATCCTCCCTCTTCAAGTTGGCGATCCAACGACCAACCCGTCCGTGGAGGATCAGGAATCAGAAAGGTGGAATAACTAATTTTTTTTTCACTTTTACCCGATGTATTCCAGCATCCAGCTGCCATGCACGTGGGCATTGTCAGTTTCACTATAGCTCTGGTGAATTTCAATGGTGAAGTCCTCTGGAAATCTTCAATAATTGTTGCTGATTGCAGATGTGTCTAGTAGTTCCCATTGATTTAGCTTGTAAAGCGGGGAGAATGGCGCTAGGCTTACCGCACCGTGACGTCACTGCTGGAAGATGGCAGGAGGGAGGGGCTACTATATTTGGGGGAAATGGCCAGTCCATGACGAAAATTATTATTTTTATTCTTTTACTGATTAATGCTAAATTTATTAAATCACTGCGAATGTATGAATTTCATGTATAAATAATGATCCATTGATCATTCCCTGCTGACTGGACTTTTCCTTTAAAGTAAAACCCATCATTGTGCACTAACTCACGCTGCATTCTCGGATCCAGTTGGAAACTTCCTCATCAGCAATGTCCTTTCTGCAGGTGCTCTTCAGGAGCTGGTCAGCGTTTTCCTCCTGAAGCTGAATGCTGCTGCAGCTTTGCTCATGAAGTTCTTTGTAGCGCTGCCACAGCTGAAGCAGAGCTTTACTGCTCTTAAGACGCTCTGCTATCTCCTCCAGTAGGCCAGTCCATCTAATTGTGTAAATTATCAGCATGTTATTAGTTATGATCAAATAAAAAAGCTTGGTTTTTACAGGCTAGCAAGGAAAAGAACAAAAAATATCTGTAAATCACCTTGCATTGACATCCTTGAGGGCATTGTTGAGGGTATCTGACACTGAAGGATGACACTCCCTCAGCAGTTGATGTGTCACAGCACCAAACTTTCTCAGGCTGCTTTCCTGTTTCTCCAGTTCTTCTTGGAGATCCTTAACAGGAGAAACATGCATATAGAGGTTAGTTTATGAGAAGACAGAAAAGGAAGATTCTTAGAAAATTACTAAGTTCTAGAAAGTGAATAAAAAAACTGCAAAGTACACAATTGGTTAAAAGAATATACCAATATTCTTATACTTAATATGCTCAATAAACAAGAAACTTTATCTTTAAGTACCTGCAAACTTTGCACCTGCAGCTGAACAGCCTCCAGGGAGCCAGTGAGGAGGCGGAAACGTGATACAGAATATCTTCCTTCCATCAGATAGCCGTTGATCTCCTCTGAAGCCCGTTTATACAGGCTCCGCTGATCCAAAACTGAAGTCAGGCTGATCTTTAACTGTCCTATCTGTTAACCATAAAATGAGAAAACACAAACCGGGAAAGATCAGACCTGAACAGACATCAGTGACTAAGAGGATATACAGGCAACTGGAATAAAACACGACAATCTGATGGATTAAAATAATCTAATCACCAAGTGGTCCAGATTGGCCCAGGTGTGATTGACACTTTGGAGGGTCTCCATGACGATAGCACAGGCTTCATCTGTCTTGTTCTGGACGAGAGCACAACCCTGCTCCTCTACCCTTTCCAGTTCTTTCTCTTTATCTTTCAGCAGCTCTTCCATTTCCTAAATCCGTATCAAAACAAAGTTTTCTTTAGTGAACACATAAACATGATTTTAACATGGTAATGCTGTGTTCTTGGGTAACATGTCAGACCTACCTGGCAGTCTTTGAGAGCATTCTGCACAGAAATCAGATCTTCTATTCTGTGTTTCCTCTTTAATCGCTCTTCTTGAGCTGTCATCCAGGACTTGAGGATCTGAACGCTGCTCTCATAGTCCAGCCACATCTTTAGAAGGCTCTCGAGGAGCTGGATCTTAAATATAATATTTAAAATAAATCATTAAGACTCTATAGCACAACGGGAACGAACATAGCAGAGATTTGCTCTGATATCTCAGTTATTATGACCTTACCCTCTCACTGATGCAGCCTTGCAGGATCTGCCAGCGTCGATTCATGGCTCCCAGACGCTCAGCGAAGTCGGTTTTGTCGCTTCGCTTACTCTCAACATCCTGACCACCAACCTGAAGAACCGACTGGTTGACAAAGTCCACAGTCAGCTGCTTACAGCTTAAATCGACTCTGAATCCCTAAAATTGAGGAAACAGGCAAGTCAACCAAAGAATTGGACCACAGATTATACATTTGTGGAAATATGAAAATAAACAATACCTTATATTTTTGCAAATAGTCTTGAATGACATTTGATCCGATGGCACTCTTAAGGTTTTCTTCGTCTTCCTCAATCACACTCTCCATCAGTGATATCCAGTTAATTAGCTCAGAAATGGCATGACGTGAGGCCAGCTTCTCCATTTGGACCTAGAAAGAGGGCAAAAATGGTACATGCCTTGACATGAAGGGAGAAAAAACGTGTGACTAATACTTTGAGTCAAATATAGCTTGAAATATGTGTTTCTAAATGAAGCTGTAAAAAAAAAAGTTACTATTTTCCCCGATGGAGCTAAACCTTTTAAGTGTTGGCTACATGTGACGTCACCTGATGCAGTTTCTCCTGAACCACTGGGATGCGTGTGAGAAGCTCTGCCCACTGACTGTCAATGCGAGCCAAGTCAGAGCGCAGCGCCACTGTGTCCACTTTCTTTAGCCGCAGCAGCTGGTTTCCCTCTGACACTACTGAACTCTTGAGACTTGACTTCCCTTCGACCTCTTTTGAAAACTCCTGGAAAGAAAAGTTTATGACCTGAATGTTTTTCAGGGAATAAGCAAAGGAAGCCTTAATCTGACCTTTTAAATGATAGGCAGCAAGGTTACAGATGAAGCCTACTGTGGGTCCCCCCAGCTCAGCCAATAATAAGCCACCAGTCAAACTGCATGGCTGGCTAGTTAAATGATTACAGAGGCTTCAACATTATTTAGTTAAATAATTTAGAATTTTCACGAGCATCTAAGTCAAGTTCCAACCTTTGGATTCATATTGGTTGTGAAATCTGTTGCTATTTTCTCTACTTGACCTGCTCTGCCCACCTCCTCAGATATGTAGCCAAAAAGCTGTTACTGACTCAAATATAAAGCAAATCTCTATGTGCCTGATCCTCTGGTTTGGTGTCTTAAAACAGGTGCAAACTAGACACTGACATTTTTTCGGGAATCCTACGGGTCACGGGATTCCTGTGGGATGGGAGTCAGTATTAGTAACGATCACGTGATCGGGACGGTACAGGATTAAACATTGACAGGAGCAGACGGGAGCGGGAGCAAACCAATAGTAACTAAAAAAAAAACTAGGATCGATGCCAAAAAATAAAATAAAATAGAAAGAAAAAAATCCAGTACTGGCGCCGTCATTTTGTAGTTTTTTTCCTTGAAGCCTACACTATAATGCGAGTCAAAAAAAACTACACGACCCAAAAACCAACAGTGCTTCCGCTCTGAGTTTTTCACCCGCGCTCAAAAACAACAATGGAGGGACCAACAGTTAGTGACGAACTCGACTCGAATGGGAGTGGTGCAGGAGCGGGAGTCATTCTGAATGGGAGCGGGATGGGAGTGGGAGTAATTTCACCAGGAGTTGGACGGGACAGGATTTAGATTTCTACTCTGGCCCGGGGTCGGGACGGGACACCTTTTTTTTCTGTGGGAGTGGGACGGGACAGGAGTGAAAATCCACTCCCGTGTCAGTCTCTACTGCAAACATGTTTTAATGCTCAAACCAGAGATTGTGCAAAGTGATTTGTGTTTGCCATTCGGCAAACAGAGTAAGGAGACTTTTTGCATGTTTTCCCTCATCAATATGGAGATCATATTCTAACTGTGGAAACTCATGGATGGAGGAAATGCAAATGTTAACATTTAACACATTTGTACCAAAATGATCAAAGTCAAAAACTGAACTGAGGTTGCAGTTTTGGTGTCTTTTTGAATTCTTCTAAAAGTCAGGTGCAAACTGATACAAAATATTTGCCACCATTGTTTCCACAAAGGAGGAATTGGCACACTGCCAGAGGATGGAGAGGAACTCTGTGGGCATGGCAACAGATTTGGACTATAGCAATAATATAAAATAATATCAATAAAGAAAAAAAGTCAACATTGGATGGCCACGAATAATGCAGCAGGATGGCAGACGATCCATAAAATCAAAAGCAAAGCAAAAGAAAAAAAGTCACTGAACTAAAACATGTCGGCTTGTTTAGTGAACAGTAAATATTAATAAAATCATTTATAATTTTTTCAATAATTATCGTTATCACTCCCATCTTCCTGGCTTTGAACCTCATCTTTCACTCTCAAACTGCCTCTGGAACATGCAATCTATTCAAGAGCAGCAATCTTTGCAGATAACCTGCAATCCCAACATTTATTTCACATTATTAAAAAATAATTGGAATCTGGACATCCAGCCCTATATTTTTAAGGACGTGAAACATATTTTGAACAATAAATGAGTCATAAAACAGAAAGTAAAGATGCTAAGATTGGACAGTAAAGCAGAGATGGGAAGTAACGAAGTACAAATACTTCGTTACTGTACTCAAGTAGATTTTTCTGATATTTTTGCTTTACTTTACCACTTATTTTTATGGCGACTTTTTACTTCTACTCCTTACATTAAAAAAAATTGGCTCGTTACTTTAGTTTTGAATCATTTCAGTGGAGTTACCGTTATTATTTTTCACGTCATCAATACCAAATTCAATCTAATTGGATGGGAATCTACGTTGCATTTGACGCACCACTACAAGATGAATCGACAGATTCGGCGGTATTCATTGGCGGCAAATCATTGCAGCTTGGTGCCGGTGGCGTTAGCATAGTAGCATGGACGACGAGATGATTGAAAATGAACACAACGGAGATCTAGTCCTATTGGCAGACATCCATTTAAAATGTAGGCAACGGCATGAAAAAAGTGGTTTCTACTTTTACTTTTATACTTTAAGTAAATTTACAAGCCTGTACTTTGTTACTTTTACTTGAGTAAAGAAGTTTAATCAGTACTTCCACTTTTACCAGAGTATTTTTTAACACAAGTATCTCTACTTTTACTCAAGTACGGAAAGTGAGTACTTTTGCCATCTCTGCAGTAAAGTAAAGTTGGAGCTTTGTGGAGGAAGGATGGCAAACAGTTCTAACTGACCTAATATCCCCAGCATTTCATTCCAGTCATTTCTTCCCCTGCTAGTCATGTTGTCTGTTAACTTTTCATGACTTGTTCTGTCTGCTACATGTTACAGATTGCATTAAAATAAATAACTAAAGTACAAAAAGTCAAATGTTTTATAAAATCAAAGCGTACACAAACTCTGAGGTACTAAATGCTGTCCTATATGTGCCAGAGCAGTTTTAATCTATCCAACAAAAACATACCTAAAATAGACAGGCGATGTTGCTGTCATTATACAGTGTTTGCACAGCATTTAACCATTTGGATTAGTTGTGAATGGGCGCCTGGTTAGGTGTATGTAGAAGTAGGATTGTTTGTGTCGAGTGGTTGTATGTGAGTTACACAAAGGTTAAAGGGCAGAACCCAGCATGAAGGAAACTGCAGCAGTCGAAGGCAGATGCTGACCCAGAGCAGTGATATATTCCCCTCAGTGGGGGCGATTTTGGGAACAGAAAACTAACTGCTATAAAACAATCTCAGGGTCTTACTTTAATATTTTTTTCTTCTACTAATTTCTATGTTTTAAATCGATGCTTAAATATCTGAGATTGATTTAGATCGGGCTGTTTTCCAGTGTGGTCCTGTTTCTCTGACCGTGACTGAGTGGATGTGCTCTCTTCATCCTCTGACATGGGAGCGGGCTCGGAGCTCGTCTGCCTGGCTGTGTGTTTCCTGGACGGGGCCGCCTTTTACAGCTGCTTTTTGTGTCTCTGCTTCTGTCTCCTTGAACCCCAGTGGGCCTCAGCAGATGGCCGCTCACACTGAGCCTGGTTCTGCTGGAGGTTTCTTCCTGTTAAAAGGGAGTTTTTCCTCTCCACTGTCGCTACAAGCATGCTTAGTGTGAGGGATTGTATTTGAGTCAATGAGTCGATACAATCAACTGGTTTTCCTTAGATAGAAAACTTTGTATCAATTTGACTGTATGATCTGGTTGAACTGTAAAGTGCCTTGAGATGACACGTGTTGTGAATTTCGCGCTATATAAATAAATTGAATTGAATTGAGGGTGTTTTTGATATTTCTATTGTAAATATACACTCACCGGCCACTTTATTAGGTACACCGGTCCAACTGCTCGTTAACACTTAATTTCTAAGCAGCCAATCACATGACGGCAACTCAGTGCATTTAGGCATGTAGACATGGTCAAGACAATCTCCTGCAGTTCAAAGCGAGCATCAGTATGGGGAAGAAAGGTGATTTGAGTGACTTTGAACGTGGCATGATTGTTGAGTATTTCAGAAACTGCTGATCTACTGGGATTTTCACGCACAACGATCTCTAGGGTTTACAGAGAATGGTCCGAAAAAGAAAAAACACCCAGTGAGCGGCAGTTCTGTGGGCGGAAATGCCTTGTTGATGCCAGAGGTCAGAGGAGAATGGCCAGACTGGTTGGAGCTGATAGAAGGGCAACAGTGACTCAAATAACCATCCATTACAACCAAGGTTGGCAGAAGAGCATCTCTGAACGCACAGTACGTCGAACTTTGAGGCAGATGGGCTACAGCAGCAGAAGACCACACCGGGTGCCACTCCTTTCAGCTAAGAACAGGAAACTGAGGCTACAATTTGCACAAGCTCATCGAAATTGGACAATAGAACATTGGAAAAATGTTGCCTGGTCTGATGAGTCTCGATTTCTGCTGCGACATTCGGATGGTAGGGTCAGAATTTGGCGTCTACAACATGAAAGCATGGATCCATCCTGCCTTGTATCAACGGTTCAGGCTGGTGGTGGTGCTGTCATGGTGTGGGGAATATTTTCTTGGCACTCTTTGGGCCCCTTGGTACCAATTGAGCATCGTTGCAACGCCACAGCCTACCTGAGTATTGTTGCTGACCATGTCCATCCCTTTATGACCACAATGTACCCAACTTCTGATGGCTACTTTCAGCAGGATAATGCGCCATGTCATAAAGCTGGAATCATCTCAGACTGGTTTCTTGAACATGACAATGAGTTCACTGTACTCAAATGGCCTCCACAGTCACCAGATCTCAATCCAATAGAGCATCTTTGGGATGTGGTGGAACGGGAGATTCGCATCATGGATGTGCAGCCGACAAATCTGCGGCAACTGTGTGATGCCATCATGTCAATATGGACCAAACTCCCTGAGGAATGCTTCCAGCACCTTGTTGAATCTATGCCACGAAGAATTGAGGCAGTTCTGAAGGCAAAAGGGGGTCCAACCCGTTACTAGCATGGGGTACCTAATAAAGTGGCCGGTGAGTGTATAGATATAGTTGTGCTATTTATGAAAAAGTGAATTTATTTGGCCTTACAAGAAAGGCAGCTAGATGGTCCTTGACAGTTTCCAGCTCCTGTGGGACTAAGACGGCCTGCATGCTCCAAAACTCCAGACGTTCCAGGGCAGACTGGAGCCACTCACTGATCTCCACACACTCCTTTTGATACCTACAGAAAACAACATTCAGATAAAAATGAAATACCCTACGTTAATGACGATATCCAAGTCTGGTGAGTTCGTTAAAAGCAGTCTAAGTGTTTCTGACCTGGTCCAGTGTTTCAGGATTGCCTCCAGGCGCTGCAGTTCCTTGTTGATCTTGGTTGTATTGTTAAGCCAGTGTTCCCCTAACAGCGCCAGCTGATTCTCCAGTGTTGGACAGCTAACTGACTGTAACAGATGTCTACCATCATCCAGCACCTGGTGGAGCTTGTGTTGGTGCTCTGTCAGTCTTCCCTTTAGACCCTATAACAAGTGGAACCACGGAAACAAAAACATTTTTCTTTAATTGATGGGTGGAAACTGGAAAGGATATGAGCAAAATCAAATCAACCCCGAATGTGCTTAAATCTTTAATCTGCAAAATTAAGTTCTAGTAAACGACTGAATAGCAGAACAGTATTTTTTATTTTAAAAGGCAACTGGCAATTTAAAATAATTATATTAAAGCAACCAGGTCAACTAACGTATTAAATAGGAGCATGTTGTTCCCTTAAAATGAAACTGATATGCTGCACCTGATACAAGGAGATTCTGTCCATTAATCTGTCTTCAGTTTCTTCCACCAGACCAGCAGAAGGGATGCTGCCTTCTACTGCTTCTAGCTGCCGGTTCAGATTCTGGTAGTCCTGCACTAAACGGCACCAAGTCTGTTAGAAAAATGAGAGACAGGAAAGGTAACCATTAACAAATACAATCTGAGTGGCAGAATATAAAATATGATTGCTTATGTGTTGATATTTGTTTTCATAAAGGTAAAAAAAAAATAGCATTTTTCTCACCTCCAGGATGCTTTCCAGCTCAACACCTTTACTGTGTGCTTCTTTTAGGACCCGCCGGGTCTCAGCAAGCGTTTCCTCCAAGGTTTGGTTTTCTTTGGGAAGCATGAGGCAACTGATCTTTCTAAAGTAGGTCTCTGTTAGAATCATGTGGGACTCTAGACCCTGGAAAAACTCCTAAAAACAGGATGACAAACAATTCAATCAGCTGATTTTTTCCTAATTCACCAAGGCTTCCTCTCTAACAATGACTGTAGGTATTATTCACTCCACTGGAACATTTTGTCATTTTAGAACATAACCTTAAATATATTTAATCCAGTTTTACATGAAAGACAAAAACATAGCTTAAGACAACATGAAGATTGTACTGAGTACTTTATAACCGCTATGTGCATAATATAGTTCACTTTCATTATTGAATTATTCACTACATTTTGTAATTCAATTGTATTCAATTCACAAGTATGTATAATCCCTTAATACTAAATACTACAGCCAAACATGGATCTATATGCTGCAGAATAAAACTAAATTACATTGAAATAAACGCCTACAGAAATACCAAACATCATGAACCCTTTTTCTTTCAACTTAACAACTATGAAATATTTAGTTTTTCATGTAAGTTTCCCCAAATATGCATAAAATTTTGTGATATTAACATGTTAAGGTGGGAAAAAGCAGGGTGTATAAATACTAATCACTGTAAAACTGAAACTACCTTATGCTTGTCAAGATGACTTTGCACCTCCTCCACAGAGCTAACGACAATTCTCTGATCAGCCGCCATTTTGTCCTTTGCTGTGTCAACCAGGTCAGTCAAGTCCTGCAGAGCACGCTCATACTGCTCCTTCAGAGCGATGTTTTGGTTCAGCCCGCCGCGTCTCGAACCCACTGTCATCAATAGCTCCTCATATGAATCCTACATGCAGAAAAAAAAATGCTGTTTTGTTGATTCTTTGTTTGCCAAAAAAATAATAGTGATTCAATACAGAACAAAAAGGGAAAAACTGATTTGAAGCAGCTCAGAATACACTTGAATATAATCTGCATCATCATTTACCTGCAGTTTAAGCAATTTGTTTGCTGAAATCTGATCTGCCTGCAGTGCTGCTCCTCTGGTTTTCAGCTCTGTGATTCTCTGCTCAAAATCTTTCAAGGTTTCCTCGGCACTTGCAATGACCTTGAAGATAGGAATGGCATATTTTTCTCTTTTTCTTGGAGTATTTTTGCCTTTCATAATGAGAGCATGGTACTTTAAATTCATTACCTCCATTTGCTTCGAAGCTGGTCTATCCATTGCTCCGGCTAGGGCTTGGAGGATCTGGCATTTGGTCTCAATTAAAGCAGTTTGGAGAAGCTGCAGCTCAGTCTGTTTAAAGATGAAATATGACTTATGATTGACTGCTACCATGTGCAATAACAGGGCTACTAATCAAAGAAGCATAAAAAAATAAATATATCAAAGCTAAACCTGGTAGGCAGTGAGCTCATGTGCTCGGGTCCTCATGTGGTCAAGTCGTTGAGCCAGAGCATCACCAATAGTTCCTAATCTCTCTTTAAGGCAGTCCAGATTGTCTTCCAGCAGCACCTGGTCTTCACGTTTTAACCTGGAAGATCCGGCTAGCAGAGCCTGGCTGAGCTTAACCTCTTCTGTCAGATGTCTCACTTCATTTTCAAGGTTCTGCAAAAAAAAAAAAAAAAATTTCCTTTAGAAAAAGTACAATCTGCTTTACAGTTTAATAAAGACGTACAGTGCAAACAAAACCTCAGATCTGACCTCTCACGAATGTTAAAATTCTTTACGAAAATGTCTAAATATAGAATAATGTGCTGAACTCTGGAATTAAAAGTTGTCTTCTGTTCAAAAGAGAAAATAATCATTGAATGGAGGAGGCGTTTATTGGCCTGGAGAGGGTCAACATATTCTCATTATCAGTTCGTATGAAATCGTACGAAAAGTTATGCACAGTATTTCGTACGTTTTTGACGTTTTTCCTCGAAAAAACAGACGAAAAAAGCAGATCCGTGGAAGGACGTAAAACTGGGAAAAACAGTGCAATAATTACTTCTTCATGTCTCTAACTACGTTGCTTGCTGTTTTGTATCTTAGGGTTAGGGGTTGGGTTAGGGTCAGGGTTAATTGTATGTTAAATTCTATGTTATTGAATGGTGCGTAAGATGCGCAAGGATATCTTGTCTTGAGGCAAGACGTAAAAATACGACGAAATACCACGAAAAAAACGTCTAAAAGTACGAAATTACGGTGCATAACTTTTCGTAGGATTTCATACGAACTGATGATGAACTGAGAGGGTTTATATTATCAGAGGCAGTGGTTAAAAAATGACAAAACAGGCACCGAGCTCCAGCTGGCTCTCTCTTTGGAGAAAGCTAATTCAGCTTCTTGCATCTCACCCTTTTACTCAGAGGCAACATTTCCTGACCATAAACGTGGAAAGGAGCATAAACCGCTTGGTATATCGAGAGCTAAGGCTTTAAGCTCAGAACAGCAAGCCTCAGCGCCCTCCCCTGACAGGGAGAGGGCAAGCAACCCTTCACTGGTCGAGAATTCTGACATCAGAGGAGCTTCATCCTTTCAGGCCAAACTGTAGGTTGTTATTTGAAGGAGCCAGCAGAACCATGTCATCTATTAAAGGAATAGTACACCCAAAACATGATTAGCCTTCATTTTCTACTCACCCCCATGCTGAACAACACTCTGGAGTACTTTTTTGATATCTCAAATGCATCTGGAGATCTGGGAGGCTTCTTGCTGTCTGCTGACATTCAAATAATGGAGGTCTATGGTGCCCGTGGCCATTTGTGCCTCAGGATTCACCTAATACCAGTGTCCACCACCAGGTTTGGGGTTAGCTGCTACAAAGGGCATCACTAACCTTGCAATAATAGCTATTGACAGCTGCATTGACAATAGCAGCTCTTTGTCCACACAGAATATCTCACAGCCCCAGATGTCTGCCAGACAGTCCCAGCAGACATTTGCTACAGGATTTGGCCTGCTCCCTCACCACCTAGCAGATCCAACTCACCACCAGGTGAGCAGACTGATGAACAACCTCCTGCTTGAAGATAGATAACCAGCAAACACCCCATGCAGGTGTCACTGTCATTGCCCATATGGGCTAAATGTTTATGGCTTGATTACTGATACATAAAGTTACCTTATTCTGATGGAATATTGTGCCTTTACAATATAGCTAGAGAAAAATGTAAATGTTCTACCTCTTGATTCTGTAATTGGGTCTCTGAATTTTCAGCTAAGAGCACCGGGCTGGAGAAGACGTTGTTTTCGACACCATCCAGCCAGGAGGAAGTGGTTGACACGGCTGTGAAGAGCTGCTGCTCCATCTGAGCCACCTGTGTTTCAGCTCCACCGCCAGCCTTTGTAGAAACATGCACGGGGAAAAGAACGTTACCAAATCGATATTTACCTGCAACACACGTTAGAAGGAATAAGTATCAGAAAGGGGATAACCTGAGTGGTCATTTCTTCAACCGTCTGTCTGAAGCTGTCATAGAGAGTTTGCAGAGAGGAGTTATCGGGTTTGGTGTCTCCTTTAAACATTGGCCCAGCTGATGTTACACGAGTAGCTCTAGAAAACACCTGCAAACAAACAGAGGCCAACCAAAAACACATTAAGACGTTCTCTGTCATACTCAGTGTGAACATAAATAAATCAATAGATGAATAAACTATGTAGTACTGGCTGCTTCTGGTCCTGCTCCAGAGTTTTTTGTAAAAGCTGTAATTTAGTTCTGAGCTCAAGTCCGAGGCTTTCCCATCTCTGCTTCATCTGGTCTGCTCTGCTCTCAGACAAAGCTGCCGGGGAAAATGGCTCCGTAGTGCTGCAGAAAAGAAGCACATGTGTGATTAGTGCTGTTTTAGTGAAGCACAATCTAATTAGAGGCGTGTTCCTAAGATACCTGGAACTACTGGGTGATGACTGCTGGATGAGAATTTCCTCCCCTCTGCTGGCGACTGACTGAAGCAGCTTTTTCTGCTCTGCAAGCTGCTCTTCCAGATCCTTCACAAAGACACACACAGATTAATGAAAATAAGATTACTTCATTCATTTATTTTGATACAACTGTATAACCTTCCATTATTCTCTATAGTGAGTGCGCCTTACGTTACACATCCATAATGCATAACTTTTTTATGTTCTGCTGTCACAAATGTCACGTGACAGACCAGCACAAAGTGATGAATTACAGTAAATTTAAAGACATTCTTTATAACCTTTAATTGTCCAAGTTCCCATTTTTTGGTAATTTGAATATAAACACCACTTTGTAGCAAACATGCAAAATAGCAAAGTCAAACGTGGTCTGCAGTGTCTGCAGGGTCTGTCTTAAAGGTGAGTTGAACTGCTTCATAGAATAGCACCAGTAATCTAATGTTGTTTACTGTGTAAAAAACAATAGTTAAAGAGCTAAAAAGTAAAAAAAAATCTACCAGCAAATTTCTTGTAGCAGCATTTTTTTTTTATTATTACATTGACTTTGATATTTTGGTATGAAAATATATATTTTTTTATGTTACAATAGTCTTGTTATCTCCTCCAATTACACTCTTGAATTGGAATTTTTGAATGACAAAGTATTTTACTCAGAGACCTATAAAGGCTTTAGGTTTAAAAAAAATATTCAAAACAAGGGATGAAATGAAAAACATGATCAATTGTAATTAATTGATAATTAAAAAATAATGCACTTATTTAATACTTGTAAATAATTAAGTAATTAAGCTACACTTAGTATCCAGAACTCATGAAGTGGTATTCTGACCACTGAATGTAGGTTTTCTTACAGACATATAAGATGTGTTTAAAATAAGCAAAACATTTTTTTACATCTATTTTTTGCTTTGCTTTGTGTCACATTTATGCCAAAATGACAGAGAACAGAAAAATCTGCACGCAGGAAGGCTTTGGGAAGAGAAAATAGCACCATGTAGGCATCCCACGCTTGCTTGGCTTGGGATCTCTCCACGAGTGTGCCACAGCGTTCCACTTTCGCACGTGTTTCTGTTCAGCACCTTTGCTTGCGGACAGCTTTCTTCATGCAGGAAGCAAAATATGTTTTGACAGTCGGGCAGAGACAAACCTCTTCTGTGAGCCTCCTCCTGATTGGCCGTACACACATTGTATGCTTTGAAAATGTTTGCGCGAAGCAAACGTTCTTATGAGTTTATGAGAAAAGAAACATCTCAGAGGAAAAAAATAAGACTAGGGTGTATTTGGGAGATTATTCTAGACCAGGCGGGTTAGGTTTTTCACAACGGGCCTTTATCTTTCTCACCTACATACCCTGAAAAATTGTCCACTATGCCTTTAAGATCCAACACTATTTTTTTTAGGTAAGATTTTTTTCTTTTAAGATTATTTTATTCAATATTATTGGTAGATTAATCCATTACCAAATAATCAAGGGCTGTAGCCCTAAAAAATAAATATTGAAAGTGTAACAAGCTCACCTTGGTAGAAAATCCAAAGGGATCAGTCATTACTTGTGTTAATTATTAATAGCATTATAAATAGTGATAATTGAAAATTAAAAATAAACTGTCATTCACCTAAATGAACAAGCCAGGCATGAATCATATTGTTAACTTTTAAGGAGCTACAGAGCTCCACAGCTAAGGGGAAGAGTTATCAGTAAGACACAGAAATCTCCCATTTTTACTAGTATGCAGGACTAATTAACCATAACAGTACCTTCTGTCTCTGCAGACTGTCTTCATGGTGTTGTGTCCGTGTGGTCCGAGCCTGGGCCAGCCAGTCCTGCACACTGGAACTTGAAGAAAGACTGGAGTCTGATTCACTATCTTCTGGCTCCTGTAGTGAACCCTGTAAAAGCAGCAGCAGCAGTTTAGAGCCTGTAAAACAGGCTAAGATCTAAGATGACCAAATGTGGAACCATTTCCATACTGTAGTTAAATTAAAAATAGAACAAGACAGAAACAAAAGCCACAAAAACACATAAAGCTATAATTGCTTCATTCTTAGAAGAAAAAGCTTCAAACAACAAGACAATTAAAATATAAAACAGTAGGTTTAAGCAACCATGGTTTTTGAAAAAGGCCCAGTGATGTCACTGGTATAAAAACAAAGCAGAATGAAAGACATTGTTGTGTATTATGCATCAGTGCATCCCATCGTTTAAGCAGGCGGTCTGCTCACCTGCATGTTAAGCTGTTTGTCCTGTAGAATTCTCTGTAGCTCCATTAAACCACCCTTTAACGTGCGTAACCTTGCAGCCAACTCCTCAGCCTCCTCTCTGGTGTCTGTTCGGCCCTCCCGCAGCAGGTTCTCGCTGCGCACCGACAGCTCTGTGAGGGCCAGCACCTTTTCTTCAATCTCCACCAGCATGTTCTGCAGAAGCAGGAGCAGAGAGGCCAGCTCAAACATGACGTCTCCCTTTTGATCTCCTCGATCTACACAACAGACCCTCCGGGCCTGGCAGCTTTCCCCGGCCACAGGGCAGAGAAAGCCCTCATCCTTGTCCCACCTTCCCAACCTTTGCTCCTGTTTAACATATTAGCGGTAATCCTTCACGCACCCTGCTCTGCAATGCACAGCCTCTCAGATACATTTAATAATGATTCTCTTGCGGTAAACATCCTTTTAAGTCCCTAAGCTCAACAGTGCCCAATGATATGTGATGTTTCCTTTTCTGAGCACGCGTTAGTTTTCCAAGATCATTGCTTCTCCTTTGAGCTGCTGAGTGGCAGCAGGTTCACCCTCTTCCCCGCCCTCCTGTCTGTTCCTCACTGCGCCCACTTGGATATTCAAGTAGCTTTGTCACTGGCACAAATAGCAAGCTGTTTTAATTGTGATAACCCCTCCCCATGTTTCTGTCACGCCTCTGTCCCTCAGAGACCTGGGTATAATCTTCTTAAGGATGGTGCTGCAGTCACTTAGCAGGCCTACCATCTGAATGTGGCTTTAACTTTGCTAACCCTGTTGTTTACTCTCTGTAAAGCTGCGGCCCTCTCTGTACCAGTATGTAGTGAGCAAAATATTCAAATGAAAATATAAATGTTTAAAAATTATACCAGATAAATCACTTTCCACATGTAAAAATACCTTTTCTATGACTACTTTTACAAAACACTGCCCCTTTTACTCAGTTCATTTAATATATTTATATTTCAGTCCTTACCTGGCATTCTGTGAGCTGATATTTTTCATCCGTCTCGTCTGCAGGACTAGTGTGAAGAATGGGCATTGCAGCAGTTCGAGTTCTGGTCAACCACTCATCCAGCTCAGCTGCTTGGGTGAGATACGTCTGCAAAGCTCGCTCCTGATGCTGAACCTCCATATTGTCAGTGGCGCGCTCCTGCAACCAGCCAAAATAAATAAATGTAATAAACATTTTTAAATGTTGTTTATTTAGAAAAATAAAATAAAAAATAATAAGTAAATAAACATATGCTAAACAGTGAATAATATCTGATAGATTAGAAAAACAATAAAATGCTAGTGATTAGATACACAACCTCTACCTAGAATAGCTGCCATGCTTAGTGTTGACAAATGTACCTCCAGTAGTTGTTGTTTCCCAGAAGCTTTCATATGGATGGTTGCCATTCTCTCTGCCAACACAGCCAGAGAAGACTGCATAGCAAGGTGGTCAGCCAAATCGGAGTCCACAGCATTGGTAGCAATGTCCTCTGTGAAGCCTGCCTGCAGCCTATCGATTTCTTCCTGGACTCTCTGTATCTCCTGCATGAGATCCTGCACACAACGATACAAAGGTTAGCCTGGTATCTTTTTAATCTGTTTCTGAAATTCCTTTAGTTTTACGCCATGAATATGTATTGTTCTGAATGAGAGACATGTCAGGTCTAAGGAGCAAATCTAGATTATCGTTTGTTTTGGAATTAGGTTTATAATTTTTAATGGCCAAGTTTGTGCACACAAATAATAAATGTGATTGAAGTTCCACTTTGCTCTCAATTCAGTTATTTTAAATATAATAAATATAAAGATGAGAAATAACATTTTGTATGCAAAAATATGCATAAACAGGGTTTCAACAAGAGAAAGACATGGTTGAATTAATGTTAACATGCATCTGAGCGCTCTGACTGTGGAGAGGCTCTCTCTGACCGGATCCACTTTGCATTTAATCAACTGACTTCCTGCCTTAACGATCCGCTACGTTGTAGATCAGTGGTTCCTAACCCAGGTCCCCAGGGTCCCTCTACCATGGCATGTTTTGTTTTATTTTTTTCTTGTGAGAGCATTACAATACAGAGGTAGTTACTTTCAGGGAATGCACAATGTTACTACCGCCACTCACAATAAATTTTTGTATGTATAAAATTATAGACAAAATGTAAACAAAATACACAAGTTACATCTGAAATTACATCTACCAACTTTGAACAAACAGGGAAAGTGTTAGGAATCCAGTCTGTGTGGGTTGTGTTTTTGTTTGTATTCCCTCCACCACCAGATGGTGCCTGGTTCTCGTTGGCCTTCTCACACACCTGCGGATGGTTGCCTCATTACCAGAGGACTCTTAAGCTGCTGACTGCCACTACCTCACGGCAGAGTGTTTGCCAGTTTTGAGTACTCTAGCCAAGCTGAGTTTTGCTGAGTCAAACTGAGTTTTCTTCAACCTGAGTCTTAACATTGTTTTTTGTATTTGCCTCTCGGCAGGAAGTCATCCTGAAAACTGGATGTTTTGGACCTTCCCCCCCCGGAAGGATCATCTGAGCTTCAAACTGAGCTGGGGATTCAAACTGGAGGTCTGGATCTACTTTTCCCCAAAGGATCATCTGAGCTTCAAACTGAGCTGGGGATTCAAACTGGAGGTCTGGATCTACTTTTCCCCAAAGGATTGTTTGAGCTTCACACTGAGCAGGGGATTCATCTCCACGAGATCCGTTCAAGTACCGAAGGAAATCTAAGTGGCAGTCAGCTCCTCCGTTCCTCAAGGAAACAACTTAACCTGGGTAAATCCTGTCAGCCCTCCAACAAGCAAACCTATTTCTGGAACAATCCGCACCGACTGGATTCAAAGAAAGACACCATTTCTGGAAACGTGAGTCCTGTTGCCTTTACTCCCTTTTGCAAATGAAGCTCAAGTTTCCCACTGAGCCTGAACTAACCACAGGAACTTCCCCTTCTCTTTTCACTCCCCATTTGCCATCGTTCAGAGCAGCACTGGCCCTATCTCTACCAGTTCTCCATAAACCTGATAAACCTTCCCCTGGTCTCTCTGATTGGTTTTCTGCATGTGGGTCAGATCTTTGAATAAAATTATGACAGAAAGACAGATCTACCTGAAAAAACAGGAGTAAATTATATATCAGGCGGTTTTGAAATAAAGTATGAGAGATACATTAATATATTAATCCTTAGACACTACAGAGCATAGATTAAATAACAGGTCATCCATTCCATACTTCTGTTTGTTCAAGTCCAGCATGTTTAACCCACTTGGGCCACCTCTTAGTGAATATATTTTTCTGAAGGCGGATGGAGAAGGTGATCCTTTCCATAAGGTAAATGTCCTTTACGATACTTGCCCACTCTTGTATTGTGGGTGGTTCGGGGACCAACCAACGTCTTGTGAGCGCTTTTTTACCCGCAGTTATCAGAATATCAACACGGCATGTTTTAGATGCGTCTCTGTTCCATCACACCTGACCAATTAATGGCTTCTCTTCAGCAGCCACCAAGTGCTGCAGAAGGCTGTTAGACACCCGGGTAGTCAGGTGTGTGGCAACAAAGGAGACAACTAAAACATGCGGTGCAGGGGTCCTCAAGGACCAGGGTTGGAAATCGCTGCTCTTGATTAAAATGGAGTTGAAGGGCTAAAAATAGAACAGCCATCTATTTCAGAGAAGTGGCCAAAGTGTCTGGGACACATAAAAAAATGATGTGGTGCAATGGAACCACTCTGATTGGCTATAACTACCGCGATCAGCTACGACGGCCCGGTGGAGCCATGCCTTGACGTCTAGGCGCCGCTTCCACATCCAGTGGAACCCAAAGATAATACTGATCAGAAATAATCACTAAAATATTGCTAACAGGTTTTCTGGGCATTTTTACCTTCGCCAACTTGTGTATTATTGGTCAAATATAGCAATATTCAGCTTTAAACAGCTTTCAAATCATACAAACAACTTTGTGCTTTTGCAAAGTTGGCCAAATAAGAAACAGACAAAATAAAAGGAAAGTTACATAATTAACTAAAGTTTGATGAATCCTGGATAACCACCAGATATTTCCTATCAGACATAATGGATAATGAATAATGGAGCAAGTAATAAACAGGACTCACCTCATGGACTTTCATGTGGCTATCTGGGCTTTTGTCTGCCTCCAAAGGTTCACTGAGCTTAGACTCCAGTGTTTCCATTATAGAGGAAATGGACTGCAGAGAACCTTGGTAATGCTGCTGTTTTTCCAAAGCTTCATACAAGGATCTCTGCTTCTCACTTATCTGCAGGTCAATCAGTAATAAAACACAGGAATTCAATTCAAATTGCCTGAAACATCAGTACAAATATCAGCGGTTCATAATTATTGCTTCCAAACAGCTTTCCTATAATTAACTGCCTCTTGCAAAGCTTGCTTTAAAACACAGTTTCATTCATATTTGGTTAAATGAAATAAAGTTCAGTGGCTTAAATATAAAAGACATGGTCATTTATACCAGTGCATTAAAAATCTTATTCAAAAGCTGCCAAAATCTTTATTATTACTTTTTCACTATTATTAAGTGTATGCTCATTATTACAATTTGACATACAATAAAATGTCAGATAAAGCATTGGAGTGATGTGTTCTGCAGCTGTATTGCCCCCTGCACACTACCAGTCAGCTGCTTATAAGAAAGACAAATTCAGCATTTAGAAATAATTTCAATTACAAAACACACGGGTCGTTAGCCACATAGCAGCATTACCAAGATCATATCCTTGCAACCTCTTGCAGGATGACACATCACTGCTGTGTCATCCTGCCTTGCTGCCTATGCCCGCATCACAATGTTTGCTGCATACAAAGATGGCGGACCTATTAGAAACATGGATTTGATGAACACAAGAGCATTAGCTCTCCTCTTCTGATACACAATCTACCTTGTATTCTAGTTAATTTTCTCTAACTTTATATACATTAAGCGTACTTTCAGTCGATCATAGGGATTAATAACTGTGCTTCAACTTATAATCACATCTTTGTGAGAAGATTTTATTGTCATTTGGTATACATCGTGTATACAAATTCCGTTTGGAACAGCTCTCATGACATTTCCACTTCTTAAAGTGCAGCAGTGATCAAATGTAAACATTGTGGTAGAAAAAAAACCTGGTGCAAAAAAACCCAAAAACTACTACCTTGTAGTAGTACAAAAAAGTAGTAGTACTGTGTGTGCATTTATTTTAGCACCAAGTGATTTATTTTGACTAGAAATGTGACATCTGATTTGATTACATACTATATTCTTGCTAAAAATATGGGCTTAAAATTTTTATATAGGCTATTATGGAAGATAAAGAAAGCCAATTAATCCGAATTTTCAACATAATGCTGATTTAAAGACACAGCTTTCCAGTTGAAGCTGCGTGTCTGATGAAGGGTTGACTGCCAGCTCTACAACAGCAGACAGCCCTACTCATATACAGTAGTACTCATCGTTATGACCACAAAGATGGGGACTAGAAAATATATTTTTGCATACTTTTATACTAAAACCATGAGGCCATGATACCATGGTGTTTTATTTTAACGTTAAGTTATTGTCAAATGTCAGAGTCTCATACCTAGTTGCCAGAGGTGGAAAGTAACGAAATATATTCACTCAAGTTACTGTATTGAGTAGGTTTTTTGTGTATTTTGTATTTTTCAAGTAGTTTTTAAAATCGGTAATTTAAATTTTACTTGATTACGTTTTGAGTGAAGTATTGTATTTCGTTACATTACAAATCCCATCCATTACTGAGTAAAAAAAAAACTTTGGAAAACCGAAAGGAAGACAAAAAATCGGGCCCGGAAGCACTACAGTGAGTGACATGTTCAGCATGTAGATCTAGGCTACCAGGCGCCAAATCTTTCTGCAGGAGATTGGGAACGAGATGGAGGTGGAACAAGGGAGAGACAGCGTACAGCCCCCCCCCCCCCCCCCCCCCCCCCCCGAAAAAAAAAAGGTTTTACCTAGCTTGAGTTGCTACGGCCAGCAGCTAACGCAGCTACAGCGCTACACTCTGGGTGTATGAACATGTTATGGAGGCTCATATGCCCCTAGAGTGTAGCACTGTGGATGCCTGGCTGTGTTAGCTGCTGGCTGTAACAACTCGAGCTAGGTATATATTAAGGTTATTTATGGAGTCAAAACATGTGATTTAGCCTTGATTTGCATTATAACTGTTTATGTTAAAAGAAGGATGGCACTCAGAATGAACAATTCATGGCAATTCAATTGATGTGGAAACATTGAAAACATTTTATGGGATGTTCTGCACTAAAATGGCACATTATACATTTATAAGGGTCTTAAATGTCATGGCTGGCGTGTTTTATGTTGTTATTGCATTTGTATAGTGCTTATTAATAACTGTTGTTAATGTTTGAAGAAAAGAATGACGGCCCTCAGAACCAACAATTTATGGCTCTTTTACCTTCAATTGATTGTTTGAAAAAGTTTTATGGGATGGTCTGAACTAAAATTATACCTTTCTACGGGTCTTAAATGTCATGTGTGACATGTGTTATCTTGTCATTACATGTGTATACATTTGTATAGATTTTTCTTTAATTAAAAACTAAATAGTTTTGTATTTATGACTCCTTGTCCTATTTTCATTACATGGGAGAGATCCCCTGCCCCGTTCAACAGGTTTTTTTTTTTAATGTAACTAAGTAACTTTTTCTTAAAATACATTTTTAATTAGCTACTTATTACTTTTACTTAGGATTTAAAAGTCCAAAGTTTGAATGCAGATATTAAGCTGACTAAATATTTCTACATGAGGCTGACAAGTTGGGCTGAGTTGTGACAATTTAACACATACCACGTTTTTTAAAGTCTCCCATGAGCGCTGTAGGTCATCCAAGTTTGCCACAGACTCAAATGTTGGGTCATATAACTCCTGAACTGGAGCTCTTGTGAGGGTTCCACGTCCAACCTACAGAAAACATTAAACTTTAGCCTTCATATGATAAACCTGCAAATGAAACAGTAACTGAGTTTTTTATTTTATATAAGTAGTTGCATTTGTTTTTGGTATTAGGAAACATGAAAGAAATAAGAACAGAGGAGGACAGAAACCTTGAGGATAGGGCCTTCAGTGTGAGAGACAGGAGAAGGAGAACGACACAAGGGAGAAGAGGAGACCTCGCTGTTGGTGCCTTCCTCCCCAGACTCCTCAGTAACAGGTGACAACAGAGTGTGACAACGACCAGCCGTCATCTTACAGACCATGCAGGAAATGACAGAAGACATGTGAGGTTATTTAGAAAATATCAGAATGTTTAATATAAAGAACTAAAACACCAGAAGTGCTGAACGGGCGGAAGGATTAACTTCGTAAAACAAAGCTCAATTTCCCTCCAACGCATATTTAGAAGAGAACTAAATATCTACTGTTTACTCTAAAAGTTATGTTTCAACTTCCCACACCTCTTGTGATCGGTGGTTTCCCCCCCAGGCGATGCTTATACCTTCACTATGCAGGTCCAAATATTATGGATGCAAAGCATTCAAAAGGATTATGGAGGATAACGTTCTCTTACACTGACAGATTTCCTGGTCTTTTCTTCATCCATTTCCTCCAGCCCCTCAGGAAGTCCTTCTACATCACTGACAGTTAGCAGCATGGTGGCATGCTTGGCCTTCACTGCCAACATTTTGCACTTTGAATTCAGTGAAGCAATTTGCTCCTGATAGCCTTTAATCCTCTGAGCAAGTTCCTATGCAAAAAAATAAAAGATCGTTTAAAGTGAGCACATTTGCTTTAGATATAATCCTAACATGTTAAATAGAAAAGGAATGATGTTTCACCTCATGGTGCAAAATCTGGGCTTGCAGCTCCTGGATGTTACTAGAGGGGATGGGTCGCTCCTGAATGACCCGATGTGCTTCCTCTATCAGTCCCTGCAAATCTCTCACCTCTTGTTCATATTGCTCATATTGAACCACTGCCTCCTGCATAAAAAGACACATCATACTTTTTGGTAAAAGCTTCCAATCACAGTCCATCAAAAAGCCGAACCCTCAGCTGCACCTGTAGTATGTTGCATTGTTGTATCGCCACATGCTGCAAATGACTTGCTTCTTGCTGCAGACGAAGAGCCGTGCGACAGATGGCGAGGTTGGGCATGACCTCCTCCGGGACCAGGAGGGCACTCTGGCACAGCTGTACTGCCTGCACCTGCTGCTTGAAGCTCTCCATATCAGCTAGTAAACTCTGCAAAGCCAAATAAAGTTCATATTCTTTTGATCCGTTCAAAAGAGTTGCACCAGTTAGTTAAAGGTCTTCATCAGAGCAGCAGAAACAACACAGTGAAACGTAAAACGTGAACGTTTACCTGTCTTTGAGTGAGTTGTTCCTTGAGGCTCTGTCGTGCTAACTCTGGTGACGTCAGCGTGGCTTGGACCTGCTCCAGAGCAACATGTAGGGCCTTGACTTCAAACTCCAGTGCTTCCATGCTCTAAAAAGACACAACTCAGTATATCGTTCTCCTCATTGAAATAAAACATCTGCATGTATGCATTCTACCTTGTGTGCATCTTGGAGGCTCTGCAGTCGAGTCTTTATGCTTTGTTGAAGCTCATCTGTGTGTCTGCTGAGTTCACAGACCTCCTGGCTCATGGACTCCACCTGCAGCACCTCAGACAGAAGGTCCACTTTCTCTGCCATAGACTCCAGGTCGCTATGGAGCTCTCTAGACTCACGGAAGACAGCCTTAGGAAGGGAACAACAAAATCAGTCAATCTTTCCTTACTCTACGAGTGTGTGTAAAAGATTGAAGCAACGCGTCCGTGTAACGTCACTGTCGCTATGCTAACCTGATACATCCGTATTTGCTCCTGCAGGTGAACGGAGCTGTTCCAGATGATGTTTGCTCTCACCAGGCTTTTAGCCTTCTCTGACCACCTCACGATGAAGTCCAGCATCTCATTATACTCATCTAAATAGCAGACAGCCTGAGAAGCCAACGACAGACATTCCTTTAGTGGCCATAATCCATATTAGTATAGACATTTACAAACATTTTCTTGCACATTTAACCTTTTCATATCTTATGACGTTATGACCACAAATTATAATGCATTTTAATAGGTTCTTGGCCAACAGACCACCAAAAACATTCTATAATTGTTGGTGAAAAGAGAAGGAATCAATGCTTTTCCATTTTTTCACACATGAAAACATTTGTAGAGCCCTTAAATCAAGGCAAGGACATAAAGCAATGCTATATTTAAAAATAACTGTTATCCTGTCTATAGGCCCTCCAGCCTAAGGACCTGTTCCTGCTTAGGCTTTTTGTAATAAACAAATTATTGTTATGGTTCTCCCATTTTGACTTTTTTTTTACTTTCTTTTTGAGTTTTTTTTTGTTATTTATGTCTTTCTGGTGTCTTGGTCTTTTGTTTCTTTTCCGCTTTGTGTCATTTTAGTCAAAAGTTTTTCCCCTTTAGCCTTATTTAAGTTATTTGCTAGTTATGCTAGTTACAGTTGTTATGCTAGTTACAGTTAAGCCCTGTTTTCCCTGGTTGCTCTTAGCTCCTTTCTAGCTGTTTCTGTCCAAACCTGCTCCCAATTAACTGATCCCTCCCCTCCTGGTTCTGTCTCCCATATAATCCTCCTCTGCTCTTCATCAGAGCTGGTTTCTCTTCATTACCTACTCCTCATGTATGTTTCTCCCTGGTGTCTCCTGTTTTTTTGTTTCCTGTTTATCATTTTTTGATTTATGCTTCTGTTGCTATTTTTTCTTTTCCAAATCAGCAAAACCCATCTCTGCATTTGGGTCCTCATCCAACCTCCACCCTACTTCGGCAGTATATGGAAAAACATCCCCAAAACTGAAAGAAAATTAGGACATAAACCAAGGAGCTAACTTTTAAAAGCTAACTTTTATTACACCTACAGCAGTTTTAATTGTTTTTGGGTTACAGTTAGGGTAGGGTTTTGCACATACAAAGATTACATTTTGTTCTTGCAGAGCCTCCTTTCTTGGCTGCTTGTTTACGGTTCCGTTCTGTTAAAATTCTCATGCTGTGTTGGAATTAAGTTCCAAAAGACGTTGTAACTGACCTGTCTGGCCTGATTCTTGGTCTTAGTGATGCTGTTTATTCCTGAATAATCTGCAGCAAGCATCTGACCTTAAATTATGACAAACTGGTGGACTCCATCCACCAATTAGATGACTCCTGACTTTATGATGCCTTTTAATGTAAAACCTCATTAAAATGTACTGGAGTTTTTAGTGGTAGGGTGACAAAATGTGTAAAGGTTCAGAAAATATCAATACAGTGATGAGTTAATACATTACTGAAAATAAGAGGGTTAATCATGTTAGGTAAGTAGTAATAAAAAGCCAACCTTTTTGAGCCAGTTGTTTCGACAGTCTGCTAACCGAGTGGTGTGGTGATGCATCTCTGACAGCTTGTTTATAGCATCACTGAGCTGTTTGGCCAGCAGGGGGTTTCTGCGGCCAAACTCCTGTACAGCGGCATCCAGCTCTGATAATGTGCGTCCACAAGAGTCCAGATCTTCAAAAAGACTCTGAGGATAAAAAGCAACAATTGTGTGTTCTTTGTTATTCATAGCAAGGCCAATCATCTTGAAAAGTGTTTTATATCAACTGGACTGATACCTTGACCTCTTCTTTAGCATGGTCAACATCAGGAGATTTCACCTTAAACTTATTTGAGATCATCTTTAGTTTTTCTGACATGGCGTGGATTCTTGAGCTCAAGTCCTCCTTTATTTCTCTAGTTCTCTGATACTCTCTCTCTTTACATAGAACCTGAAACATCAGACAGAAAAGACACAAAATGAATACCAGAAGGACCAAACTGTTTCATGACCTCTGAATTTCTCATGTAATTAAGTCGAACATACCTGATCTTCAATAGCCCCCAGCGCAAGTGAGACCTCAGCAAGTTGCATGGAGATTTCAGAAGGGAGTATTGTGTAAAGATCCAGGTACTTGCTTTGCTGTTGTTCGGCTAACTTGTCCACATTCTGCCGATAATTGATCACTTCCCCATGAACGACCTAAACACAACAAATAAACAAAAAAACATTTAAAATAAAAAGAAAGCACAACATATTTACACAAAAAAACTCTCAGTTACTAGTGCTAAACATGTTAATTGATTGTTAATGATAACATTTACAATAACTGCTCTCATACAGGCAGTATGACTTCCACTTCTGCTCACATTATCTATATTTAATATGTGTCAGATTTGGGTAAAACCACATCTGCAGATCAAAGCAGTAGAGGGAAGAAAGGTCGGACATTTCCCTGTGAATACTAACAGGTAAACCTCTACTGGCTTATGTTGGCAGACGCACCTCAAGCTCCTGTAACAGAGAATCAATATCCGGTGTGGGATTGAGAAGAAGCTCTCTGGTCTCCTGGATCCAGGCTTTCACCACACTGAGCTCCTTCTCCACTTCCTCTCTTTCCCTTAATTCCTGAGCAGCCTGGGCTCGCTTGGTCCTGGACTGTGTTAAAAGGCTGTAGGGAAAAGATTATCATTGGCAAAATAAATATATTCAACAGCATATCTTACTAGGGATGCACGATATAATCGGCCTCCTATCGGTATCGGCCTGTATCGGCCTTAAAACTTAATATCGATACCGACATTTAACCCGATATTTGATCAGCTTCTGAGTTTCTAAAGTCTAAAAAAAAAAAAAAAAAAAATACTACTTCTTCTTCTTCCTCAAAAACTTCTTTTTTACAGACTTAAAAACTTCTAAAGACGAGGGAAAAATATTGATACATTAAAATATCACAATATCTTCATATGCTGATATATTGCCATTTAAAAACACCATATCAATCTCTTTTACTAATGAAATATTGCTATATGTCATCGTTATGCTACGAAATCCCCCGAAAATTCATGAAATTTTGCCATATTTTTATATGTTGATATATTGACGCGGTATCGATCTATTTTACTAACAAAATCTCACAAGAAGTTGCAAAATATCACGAGAGTTTGTAACAGAACGATGATATTTCACGAGATTTTGAAAGTAAAATAGATCGATACCACGTTTTAAAAAATCATTTTGATATCAGCATATGAAAATATATTTGAGTATATTATTTTTCAAAGTGTCAGAAATGGATAACAAAACTGCTATTTTCAATGACTACTTATTTTTGTCCAGCTTTAACATCGGTATCGATATCGGTTATCGGCTACATGAGTTTTAAAATATCAGCATATCGGCCAAAATCCCAATATCGTGCATCACTATATCTTACGTAAAGCCATTTATACGCTTAGTATAAAGAGGTTTTTCTCATGTCGTCTAATTACCCTTCCATTTGGTCCTGGACCACCCTGATCTCCCTTAAGCTGGGTAGCTCATCTTGCTCTGCTGTTGGTGACGGGACCTCCACATCATGCAGCAGACTGAGGGCATATTGTCTCAACAGCATGAGTGAGGAGAGCTCTCTCTCCAGGTCCTGACTCAGTAAATCATGCTGGTCCAACAAAGACTGCAGAGTGGCTTTGGAAGCCTTCTCCACAGCGCTGTCCGGGAAGCGACTCTGGAGCTCATCACAGACGCCTCTGACTTTCACCATCTACAAAAACATGTTAAAAAGTTTATCACAATGTTTTGCTTTCAGTCTAAAGCAGAAAATACATGTATGCATTTAAGGAGTCTATTTGCCTTTTCTCTGAAAGTCCTCCACTCCTGTGCTGTGTCCTCAAGTACTCTTTCCTGTCCCCTCGCCACGCTGCGTAGCCGTGTCCAGCGCTGCCACACGGTGGTCATGGAGCGACTTATGGTGGCCTTGCTGGCGTCGCTGCCCACCAGTTCCAGCTGAGCCGCTTGTTCCTCTAAACCACTGAGCTTCTCTTGAAACCCGTTCACGAGCGATACAAGGGACTAAAAACATGAAAAGAGGAGCAATAAAACATCTAGTGGCCTGAAACAATAAACTTTAATGTATTAAACGTTTATTTAATAGCCCAATACTAATTATTATTTATACATTTTCCTTTAAAAATCCCATTATTACAGAAACATTCTTAACACACTTTACAGATTTCAAAAACCTTGATCCGTTTCTTTCTAAATTATATCACGATGCCACTTAACGTGGGTCAGTCTTTGGTAATTCCAATCAAACATAATAAAGCTGAAGTATTACTTTGCAATGTGAAACAATTTAAGTGACATAAATACCATTGCAATGCACAAAAACACGCACCCTGTGAGTACATAGCTTGTCTTCAGCCTCCTGGTTGGTGGCTGCCTTTGCTGTTGAAAATTCGGTCAGCTTCTTTTCAGCCTCGTTCATTAACTCGATGACAGTCTGTCTTGCTTCTTGGAATAACTTCCACTGGGTCACACAACTGGGAAAATCAAAAGTTATTAGATACAGCAGATTATTTTTCTATATTTTGGGACCATCCTGGTTTTTAAACATTAGTCAGATGGCTTTAAAACAATGATAAGGGAGGTAGAGATGCAAATTTTATTTATACTTAGAGTTAATCTATCTAGGAAACCTGCTTTTTATAGCTAAACAAGCAGGTAGATACAGAATTTATTGGCAGGAAGCAAGGGAGTAACTTTGTGATAAAAGTTCATGGTGACACTTGGGTGGTGACTCATGGACCTACTGTTACACTTACATTAGGCTAATTTTCCAAAAATGAGCTCCAACATAATAGTTATTGAATGCTTTCCTATTTTTGAGAACCCAAGATAACCATAATATACTGACATTTATATTTATAGGTAGTAAGAGAGACCTTTTAGTGCATAACAAATTTAGGGCCCAAAAACATCAATGCAAGAAAAAAATCATGAATAACAGCCGATTCCAATGCCACAATTGATATATCAAGCATCCCTAGAAGTACAATTTCAATTCCATCCAGAAAAAGATGGATATGCTGCATTTTGAAATTTTTTTCTTGTAAACTTTCTGTTAAATTTGAAGATATTTTTGATTGCGTGTTTCATATCCCAGTAAATCTGTTTCACCTTTAAATCTGCAGCATTCCCTTCTTCTCTCTGTTTAAAAATATTTATGAACCTCTTTACTAATATAATGATGCCAGAAACTAAAGTTCAAGACATTTAGAAGCTCTGCAGTCTGATTCTGTTTGTTCAATAAGAAAATATGTTAATTTTAACCTGGAACTGGGAGTCATGGTCCTCTGAGAAGCCCAGAGAGAACAACAGTTTTCTCAAGCTTCTTGCGTTATAATACCAACTGGTTTAAACCGTTGCCATTTTTAGCTGGAAAAGCTCCGTATGTAACAAAAAGATTTTTTTGGTAGCATCTCTATTTTTTTAACTAACTTGTCTCCTAACTTTTACTGAAACATCTATCGAAGTAGCTGCCGGTTAAAATTCACTGAGTGCTGCTGTGTCTCTCCTCCTCCACGTAGATAACTGTACGTGTCAGAAAGCGGTGTTTGTTTGGAGGACCCGAATGCAGAGACGAGTTGGCTGAGATGAATTTAAGTGGTTTAATAAAGGTTCACAGGCACAGAGGCTGGAAGTTCACAGGCGAAGGCAGGAGTCAAAAAATCCAACAAAATAACTCATGAACCAGAATCTAGGAGACATCAGGGGAAAACCAAAATCTAAGGACCAGGAAGAGACGAGGAAGGCAGACAGACGATTGACCAGAGGTTAGACTAGAAGTAAGACGAGGATCCAGCAAACAAACTGAAGAGGGAGGGCTTTTAAAGGGGACAGAGACAGGAAGAGGGCTAATGAGGGAATTGAAAACAGGTGAGGGCTGAACAGAAAACAGAGCAAGAGGAATAGGACACAAGAGGGCAGCAGAGGACAATAAATAGAGAACCAGGAAGACAGGAACTAATAAGAAAACAACAACAAAATAATAATCAAATAACTAGGATAAAGAAACATGGTGAAAAGAAAACTAAACACTAGAAATCAAGGAGCAAAAGAAAAATATAACAGAAACAGAAACCTAACAGTACGCAGTGAAATGCGAAGCCCAAATAATATCATGTGCCAAAGCGACAGATCCGACAATATTTCACTGAGAGGTGGGACTCAAGAGCAGCAGGAGAGCGAGGAAAAAACTCGGACTGTACACAGACAGCTGCACCCAAACCCAGTTACTAAGTACATAAGCGGAAAGGGGAATAAATTCAGAAATTATTGGTGGGGACTGTCCCCTCCATGCTCAAAGTTGGTGGGGACATGTCCACACCAGTCCTTCAGGAAGTTATGCAGGTGGCAGGAAGTAAACAGGGATTAACCAGGAAAAGGTTAAAAAAAAAACAAAAAAAAAACACAGAAAATGTGTTGGAGAGATAAAGTTAGTGTCTATATATGGGAATGCTAGTAAAGATTCTCATTCATCCCGGAAATAGTCATTTAAAAAAAAAAAAAAAAAAATCCACTGGGCTTTGCTGAAGCTTGAAGGCGTTTTGCTTCCCATCCAGGATTTTTTTTTTAATTCAAAATGTCAGAAAAAGTGTTGAGTTTAAGGCTTTATAGAGCGGACCAAAAAAAAAGCCTTGTTTTGGCTTCGAAAACATGCCGATGGAACTGATTTAACAGGATATCATAGAGTAAAATAGAATAGAAAAATCTTTTGTTGTTCTACTTTTTGGGGAATTCAGATGTTTTAGCAAGAACCCAAAAAGGCAAATGGAAGCAAACCAGTTCACACATCTCAAAGAAAAGCTACAAGACTGTCAAAACAGATGTGCAAAATAAAAGAGATACTTTGCAGTTACCAAAACAACAAACTCTGATTAAGTAAATGTAACTGTGCATTAGGTGTGCGTTGCACTGTGACTGCAAAATCACAAAATGTGGATCTCTGAGCATGAAGAAAAGAACAACTAACTACTTGCAGGAAAAAAGGATGAAACATGAAGCAGATGGAAAAGGTTTTACCATGCTTAAACCTGATGGCCAAAACCTGTTTTTCTTCTCCACATTGTTTTTTCTACCCCTACTCATTGAGCCTTTAACTCAACCAACAGTTTTTTTGTTTTGTTATGACAATAATAATCCCACCTGTGTAGGACATCGTGGTGACACTGGAGCTGATCTCGAACCTCTACTCCTCTCTGCTTCGCCGACTCCACGCTCACTCTCAGCTGCTCCTTAGCTGTGGGGTTCACCAGCTTCTCAAGCTGAGGAAGGAGGGTCTGCAGCTCCTCCAGATGGATGAGAAACTCCTGCTCTGTCGACAGGATGTCCGCCTGCTGCCGAAGACACTCCTCATAGTTCTCTACGTCGACTCCCAAGCTTGCTTGCTGAAGGAAAGAGACAGCGTCCTCCAGCCATTCACAGGCCGACTGCATCCTGAAGTGGTACTTCTGACACAGTACCAGGGCTTCCTCCAAAGTAATCTTTAAATAAAACCAAACAGATTTTATTCAGTAAAACCAAGTCAAACAACCTGATATCTGCATTACATTTCAGTGGGATATGAAGGCCTGGTGCTGTAGTAATGTTTTCTTTAGCAACAACTTACTTTGGGTTTGACTAGCATACATAATCTCATGATTCGCTAAGTCAGGCTGACAAACAATATTTCATACTGCATCATCAGTGTCATTGCTGAGGCCATGTGTCACGTCTAGACATGCAATGCATCAGTGACTCAAACATCCTATCAATTTCCTCATAAAATTACTGAATTCAGTCATTTATATTAGCTGAGTTTTACCCAGGAAATAACTGAAAGGCTGAATATTCTCCTGAAAAGTGCTGGTAATAAACCATTCATTTCTTTGAAGTGTGTCAAAGAAAGAACATCAGCAGAACATTTCTCCTTGAGGATCAATCATGGATATATATAATTACCAGCAGTAGGGATGCACGATATCGGGATTTTGGCCGATATCCGATATTTTAAAACTCATGTAGCCGATAACCGATATCGATACTGATGTTGAAGCTGGACAAAAATAAGTAGTCATTGAAAATAGCAGTTTTGTTATCCATTTCTGACACTTTGAAAAATAATATACTCAAATATATTTTCATATGCTGATATCAAATTGATTTTTAAAAACGCGGTATCGATCTATTTTACTTTCAAAATCTTGTGAAATTTCATCGTTCTGTTACAAACTCTCGTGATATTTTGCAAATTCTTGTGAGATTTTCTTAGTAAAATAGATCGATACCGCGTCAATATATCAACATATAAAAATATGGCAAAATTTTGTGATTTTCGGCGGATTTCGTAGCATAACGATGACATATAGCAATATTTCATTAGTAAAAGAGATTGATATGGTGTTTTTAAATGGCAATATATCAGCATATGAAGATATTGTGATATTTTAATGTATCAATATTTTTCCCTCGTCTTTAGAAGTTTTTAAGTCTGTAAAAAAGAAGTTTTTGAGGAAGAAGAAGAAGTAGTATTTTTTTTTTTTTTTTTTTAGACTTTAGAAACTCAGAAGCTGATCAAATATCGGGTTAAATGTCGGTATCGATATTAAGTTTTAAGGCCGATACAGGCCGATACCGATAGGAGGCCGATTATATCGTGCATCCCTAGTAAGATATGCTGTTGAATATATTTATTTTGCCAATGATAATCTTTTCCCTACAGCCTTTTAACACAGTCCAGGACCAAGCGAGCCCAGGCTGCTCAGGAATTAAGGGAAAGAGAGGAAGTGGAGAAGGAGCTCAGTGTGGTGAAAGCCTGGATCCAGGAGACCAGAGAGCTTCTTCTCAATCCCACACCGGATATTGATTCTCTGTTACAGGAGCTTGAGGTGCGTCTGCCAACATAAGCCAGTAGAGGTTTACCTGTTAGTATTCACAGGGAAATGTCCGACCTTTCTTCCCTCTACTGCTTTGATCTGCAGATGTGGTTTTACCCAAATCTGACAAATATTAAATATAGATAATGTGAGCAGAAGTGGAAGTCATACTGCCTGTATGAGAGCAGTTATTGTAAATGTTATCATTAACAATCAATTAACATGTTGCGGATTTCGTAGCATAACGATGACATATAGCAATATTTCATTAGTAAAAGAGATTGATATGGTGTTTTTAAATGGCAATATATCAGCATATGAAGATATTGTGATATTTTAATGTATCAATATTTTTTCCCTCGTCTTTAGAAGTTTTTAAGTCTGTAAAAAAGAAGTTTTTGAGGAAGAAGAAGAAGTAGTATTTTTTTTTTTAGACTTTAGAAACTCAGAAGCTGATCAAATATCGGGTTAAATATCGGTGGGGTGGCCGATGTCCGATATTCAGTCCGATATTCAGTTTTAAGGCCGATACCGATTATATCGTGCATCCCTAACCAGCAGTGGTGTCAAAGGTCCACACATTTGTTACTTCAGTAGAAGTATAGATACTGCAGTTCATAAACACTCTGGTAAAAGTTGAAGTATCAACTTGACCTATTTACTCAAGTAAAAGTGAAAAAGTATGTGCTCCAAAAACTATTTAAAGTATAAAAGTATAAAGTAACCTTTAAAAAAAACAGCCAGATGCCACTATATGAATTGAAAGCTCAATTTGTTTGGGTATTTTGAAAAATTCTTAGAGATAGGGCCAAGGATGAGGGAGGTCTTGTTGGTCTCCATCTCCCGATACGCTCTCGCCTGTGTCCGACCTTTCAGACATTTCAGCATCTTTTCCTGAATCCCACATTGTAGCATGGCATAGACAATTCACGTTAGCAGTTTGAAGAACACCTGCTTGCTTCTGATGATTTCCTTTAGCTAACCAATGAGTGTTTGCGTTCTATGACTCATCCAATCACACTAGTTTTCACTAGATGTGGATGGAGCCAATGATCTGCATTGGATGGAGCACATCGCGGGAAATAAATATTTATAAACATTAAACCGAAGCCAAGAGGAACGAGCAACGTTTGCATTAAGAATATAAGGAATAGAAAGTACAGATACATGTATGAAAATGTAATGAGTAGAGTAAGTATAGATACCTAAAAAGTGTACTTAAGTACAGTAACGAAGTATTTATAATGAAGTATTTGTACTCTGGTTACCAGGTCATCTATTTGACCTTATTATACATAAGGGTGTAACTAACCAGGGGAAATGTAAAGCACCTGTTCATGTTATATACCTGAGCTGAATTACATCCTAATTTTGTCAAAAAACAGTATTCAGAAAAGGAACACATTATAAACTAAACAAATACTTCAAAAGCTTGACAGAAAAAGATTTTCCAGCAGTTTATAGAATTGAGAAATGAAAGTTTAATAAAAAATGTAGTCCCACCTGTTTGGCACTCAGAGCTTTCTGGACATCTGCTTGTAGTTTAGCCATTTCCTCAAGGCTCATGTCCACATGTGCGGGGACCAGCTCATTGGCACTAATATACTCCTGTTTCTCTTGGCTACTGAGAGCGGCCACTATTCTGAGTCTGGACTGGACTTCCTCCTGTAGGATTTGCTGTTTTCGGATCTCCTCCTGCACTTTCTCCACTCTGACATCAACGATGACAGCACAGCTGAGCTCATCCCTGATCTGCTGCAGCCAATCCAGGGTCCTCTTCATCTCCGTCTCAAAGTCTTTGCTTTGAACAAACCTGTTCTCGCATTCTTCAATCAGCTCGCCTACTGCAGCCTGCAGGGATCGCAGCTCTTCCTGCCACAAAATCACCTGCTCTTTGGAGGCGTCATGAGCTGCTTGGTCCACACGGGGTGCAAGAGAGTCCATCTGCTCCATAAGCCTTGACAAGTGGGAGTTGGCGCTTTGAAGGCTTCCTGCCAGAGCATGGTAGTTTTTCAGTCTCTCTTCAGCAGATTGGGTCTCTGCGTTAACTTTTACAAGCTGCTCTTTTGTCGCCTTCAACTCAGAGTCGACCTGCATAGCCATCGCCTTGTGGTCCTCGAAAGACTCTAAAGTCTCGTCCAGATGCTCAACTTTCTGTTCGATCAACCTCTTTAATCCATTATACAAACTCACAAGCTGGGTCATTTCTTCTGGGCGCCAAGGCTGCCCTGTGCTACGAAATCCCTCTTTCTTCTGATTCAGCTCGCTTACAGCCAGACCAAGGTTGCTGAGATCTGCCAGGATCGCTTTGTAATCGCTTTGCAAATTGACGACCTCTTCCGTTTGCAAGCCGACGGGTTGAGTCCCCAAAGTGTTGAACTGGTCCTCAAGTTCTTTCAGTGCTTTGTGAGTGACATCTATGAAAGACGTGTACTCGTTCCTGGTGAGAATGGCCTGTTGGATTTTCTCCTGTTTCTCTTTGGCTAGGGCTAGTATGCTGTTGTACTGCTGAGGGAGGGTGTTGAGTTTTTCATCCAAATAGCAGTGATCTACTTCATTCAGAGTGGGCAGTATCTCCTGGCCTGCTCTCTGTACAATTAGCAGAAGATTCTCATACTCCACCGCCTGCTCGATTATCTGCTGGTACTTCAGTAGCTGTGCTTGAAGTTCAGCATCTCCCACCATCAGGTTTATCTCAGGAAATGTGATAATGTCAGCTTGCTTTAACCATTGGCAAATTTTCTCTAAATCTGTCTTAAAATACTTTCTCGAGACAAGTACCTTTTCAAGCTCCTGTAGTTTCTGGCCACACCTGTGCAGAGTTCTGTCAAAGATATTTTGTAACTCTTGCAACTTTGTGAGAATCTCATTTCTTTCCTCCTCGCTGGCTTCCCTCATCAGGTCTCTCCCCTGAGACCACAGCGAGGTTAGTTCGCTCTGATAGGCTTTCAGGCTGCTTTGGATGTTCCTGCATGTTCGTACCTGCTTAGCCAGATCATCGGGTAACAAAGCGATGTATTCCTCTGCCTGAGCCTTCTTCTCATTCTGCTGAACCCAGCAGATTGACTGATTGACAGCCATTAGGAACTGCGTCCTCTCTGTAAAAGCCTTGCTGAGGTGTTTTCTTCGCTGCACCACTTTGACGCTCAGAGACTCAACTTCTGACTGCGTGTCGGAAATCAGCTGCTGGAGATGCTGGCGTTCGCTGAGGCCCAGCCGTGGCAGCACCCTGTCAGCGTCGGCCATGGCCTGCGCCAGGAGGAGCTGCTTTGCCTCAAGTTCACTGCAGATGCTCAGGTGGTCAAATAGGAAACTTTGAGCCAGTTCGGGCGGGGGGCTCATTTTCATGGCTTCAGACAAGGCAGGCTGCTGCTCCTCAGCCCAGTCTCTAGCCTCTCTCAGGCGACCCTCCACCTGACTCATGTCCTCAAGTGTAACCATGGAGTCCTGTATTTTTCTTTCGATTAGTTGCTGCATCTGAGACCATCGCTGCTCAAAATGACTGATTTGCTCTTTCACTAGCTCTTTATCGTCCAAGTTCAGGTGTTGGATGACTTTCTGTTTCTGCTCTTTAAGGTCTTCAAGGGCTCCTTTTTGTTGCTCTAGAGTCACAGCAAGTTTTCGTAATGCCTCCAGGTGCTGAGATGAACTTTCAGCATCAGTTCTGTGGCAAAAAATTTTTAACAATTATTACAGATTTCACTGAAAGACGGCAGGTCAGTCATCTTTTTTCTGTTTCCTTTATGGCAGTCTGTCATAGAAGCCCACCGTCAGTAGACAGCCCGTCTGATACGGTAAACTTAGAAGGAACTTTATGGAAATATTGTAGCATAAAGAACAAGGAAATAATGGAATATTTTGTTATGTTTGCTTCAAACACTTAAAGCAGCAAAAAATTGGACTGTTGTAGAAATGTCCACTGAGGACAAACTAACACTTTACATAGAAGCAACAAAGTGCTGCTTCATTTTGTCATTTGGAGGTTTTGTCCTTTACAGCCTCTTCTAAAAGACTCTTATGACAAAGTAAAGATATTTATAAACAAAAAATAAAACATGCAGACGACTGCTGAAGTCAGTAATTGCAATGATAATTTTGTTAATCACTAATAAAAGTGGTAGAAACCATTTAAATATGACAATCATGAGTTCCTGAATTTACAAGAATAGTTCACGTGGCAATTTACATAGCAAAGTTCTTTTCTGTGAGATGTTTGGTGTTATTTTACTGAAGAGCATTGAGCAATGACCCTATTGTTTAAAAACAACGTATGCCTGCTGAGAGGAGTCACAGAGTAATTAGGTAATTTTATGTACCAGCAGGACTGCACAATATTTAGGTAAAACGCTAAAATATCACCTTTATGTCACTGATTGCAATATTAATACGCCAAAGGATTGTTTGGAATAACATTTATGGACATTCACAAGTCCCATTACAGTCAATTTCCCAAACTAACTAAGAAAAAAAGTTACAAACATCCTTAAGAACAAATAAACAAGAAAAAGGTAAAGAAATAGCTCATTATCCAACAATAACTTTATGATTGTATGATTATATTAATCATGCAACCCAATTTATTGGCTATTGGTTATTAGACCTTCTTATAAAGGTTTTTAATGACAAATAAAACCTGTTTGGGAATTTTTGATTTAAACTTCTATCTTTCGTTTTCTACAAACAAATGTGAAAACAAGGAGCAATTTTAAGCATAAATGCAACTTAAGATACAATGAGAAATGGCAAAATTATAACTTATTAAACTTTTTTTTTTCCTTAGATAAATTAAATATAAATCATCAAATGTGAAGATATCAGTATATGTAAATTACTTACATACTGAGCTTGAAAACTCAAAGAAAATTGGATTTGCCTCTACAATGTGACTAGAGAATTTGAATATCTTTTCTTTTTCGTGTATTTTTACACACCTCGCCAGATTGTCCCACTCTTTGGACACTTGCTCAAACAGCGTCTCCACTGCAGTGATGCAGTCATGGTAATCTTTGGATCGCTGCAGGTCCTCCTCTCTTTGTGTCTGCAGCTTTTTCGCCTGGTGGCAAAGCTCGAGCCAGGAATGGCTAAGACGATCAAGCTCTGCATGTTCTGAAGTGTCCTGGCCACCGATCAGTCTGCTCACGGTCTCTGTCATTTTACTGAGGGTGCTCTGTTTGGACTGCAGCTGCTGGCAGCATTCCTGAGAAACAGGCAATGGTGACAAAACTGAGAATCTCTGGTATTGACCTCTTGAAGCCTAATGTTGCAAATATGCAACTAACTATTTGTATTGTGCAAACAACCTAGATCGCCAGTGCATTCCCCCAATGCCAGTTCATTCACATTACGTGCAGATCTAGGAACCTTTGGGAAGAACTTGCGTTTGGTACGTAAGACTGGTCATTGACTGTGTATTTTATTTGGAACATTATAACTATTGTGAAAAATTTGCAAAGTACCTACATTTCTATCTTAACTGCTTAAAGGTAACAAACACAATAAATATTTTCTACACTGGAGTGAAGGGTTTAAGTGCATTTCTTCTTTCCTTTCAGAATCAAAGTTCTAATGTTGCTTTAAATAATAATGACAGAATCCTAAGGCAGTATACAGAAAAAAACAAACATTCTGCTTTTTCCTACCTTGGCTTGCAACAACATGTTTTGAGCAATCTTAGTCTCCAGTTCTGCTGGTCTCCTGGAGAGGCTGAGAAGCTGCTGCTCCATGTCTTGGAACAAGCTTGTTAGATCTTGTTTCTGCTCTTTGATCTCTCTCCAACTCTCTGAAAGTTCATGTGCAGTTGACATCCTTTCCTCGATCTGCACAAAAAACAGAGCAAACATTAACAAATTAACCAAACTCTTCTTTTAATTTATACAGATTCACAACACATTGACTGAGCATCTAAACTTTCACCCCAAAGATGTTCATCCTTACACAGACTTACATGTAAACAGTCATTTTTAAATATGACCAACATGCTTTATTTTAACTGGAAGCAATAGTAATGTATCGGAACGGCTTGGCCAGAGTCTCAGCTTGAATTTACCTTAATAAAGATTACGTGAAGGGAGCTAAAGATTCGGGTTATGGTAAGGCCGCCTATCATTCTTCTTCCAACTAAGACCTGAAGCCCAATACCATAGAGAATTGGTTAAAATAATATTGGAAAAAATGCAAAAAGTTGATAAAAAAAAAGCAATTAGTAGTAATTGGCAGCTGAAATGTCAAAAAAAGAAGATGACCTTTTTTAATATGACATCTTTTTTTTGTTTTTTGATTTTTTACGGTACTAGTGGCAGTGTTGTGCCTGAACGCGTTCATTGAACGAAAGTTCATGAACTCGTTCATATTTTGGGCGAACGTGAACTGAACGTACTGTATTACTGCCTGATGAACGTTATTGTGAACTCGTTTATTCTGGTATCTGTGAACGGCACGCTCTCTCAGTTCAACTCCGTTCAATAGGTTGCCAGATTTCTATAGAGTCCTCCAGGCGAAACCCCGGCTAAATCACACCGTAAACAGGCCTTAATATGTAGCGGGAAAAACACCCAATCTGGCAACACCAGCTACCAGCGTCGTAGCCTACAGCCGCGTGCGTCATCAAAACAAAATGCAGCGTGGAAGCCACAGCAGCATGGAGGCGACCGTGGAGGCGACAAAGCAGCAGTATGATCACTTAAAACAGGTTTATGACCAGGTGGTCGGTGAGGATGATGGCAACAATCTTACATTTCTCTGCAAACTTTGCCCGCCGGCTTTCAGTAAAAAAAATCCGCACTTAAACCTGCCTGGTATAATTTTCCAGGATTCCAGTATTCCTTTTTAGTATGTACTGAAATGGGATTTCAAATGGAAAAAATAATAATAATAATAAAAAAAAACATTTGCACCTTAAAAGACTACTTCCTGTTTTTCTTTTAATAATTCCTCATAAAAAAGACCATTCAAGCAGCACATTTTTCCTGATGTTTTTGAGAATATACTGTAGGGGTGAAATCTGCAGCTGCTACTAGTGTGAAGTGAATGAACAGCAACAAAGCGTTAAAGCAACAATGGGGAAATGCTGTCCCCTCAATGCTAATGTAAACCCTGGTTGGATAAGGATTCAAAACTGGATATGAAGATGAAATCTGACGCACAGTTTCAGTGTTACAACTGATAAAATAATTGATGTCTGTGGTTCTACAGTAGGCTATGGTGTAATTGAGCAATATAAAAAAAAAAAAAAAAAAAGAACTATGAACTAGTTAATTTTTTGGAACTGTGAACTTAGTTCAAAATTTTGAATTATGAACTATGAACTGAACTAGTTCATTTTAAAATGTGTGAACTGAACTTTGAACTAGTTCACATAGAAAGAGAACTTTCCCAACACTGACTAGTGGCTCGTTTTTCTGACAGTGGGCTGAAAGGAAAGGGGGATTCGAACCCGGGTCAGCCGCGTCGAGGACTAAAGCCTCCCTACATGGGTCGTGTGTGCTAACCACCGCCCAACCTGCGCGCCCTAATATGCCCTCTTTGTTAAAACATTAAAAAAAACATTCTTCTATAAATCTATGGGGGACTGATGTATCAATTCCTATCAAAGTTATTTTATAAAGTAAAGTAACTTAAAATCTCAATTTCCTCCTGGAGTATGAATAAATTTAGGCCTAACTGTATTTTGCTATGTATATACACCACTGTTTGACCTGCAACTGATAATGAAACATAAACATAGAAACGGTGTTAGCTAACTGCCAACATCAAATCCTTTTGTCAAGTAAAATATACAAATGAAACATGAAGGAAGACAACAATAATACGGACCGTGAGTTTGATTTGTTGGACTTCAGCAGCTGCGACTCTCACAGCATCATGAGACAGATCGCACACCGAACACACCAGGTCCAGATATGTGCTGGCCTGCTCCTGAAGGGCTCTGTAGTGCTTCACCTGTATAAATAACATTGGTGAAATATTACATAAGTGAGCATAAACAAAGTATTGCAATTAAAAGTGAAAGGGTGTGGTGCTAGACACCTGCTTCAGAGCTTCCTGTAGCCCCGTCGGTCCCTGATCATTGAGCTGAACTTCTTCTTTTACTGTTAGGAGCCATGTTTGGCACTGCTGCAGAGTGTCTTGATGACTGACATATTTTTGCAACTCCCGGTCCAGACTTTGGTAGACCTATTGAAACAGAATAATCAGCGTCTTACTACCTAGATTTAGCAGAAGAAATGGTACGTCCAACTTTTTTCTAGTGCAAATATGAATAGTTGAGTTTCTCTGTGACCTACACGCTGGGCGGTGCTGCATATGGCAGAGTAGCTGTCTGTTGTCCCCTGTAGGTGGGCCTGCACTTGTTGACTAATCTTAGCTTGAACTTGAGCTTGATCTGTACAGCCAGCAATCAGATCTTCTCCTTTCTGCTTCAAGCTGGTCAGACGCTCCTCAAAACTAGAAATTTCCTCCATTATGGCCTTAAAACGTTGACACAAATGGAAGAGATCAATTTATAGAAAAGCATCTGATAAGTAATTCCAGGTAACGGTGCTAATAGCATTAGATCTATAAAAACTGTTTGTGATTTTAGAGTCGATCACCTTATGCCGGGCCAGTTGTTGGGTAGCCATCTCCATGTTTCCGGTTTGCATCGAGTCTGAGGTCACCAGCCTGCTGGACATCTGCAACAACCATTTCTCAGCTTCCTGCAGCTCGCTGTTGTAATCTTCATGTTCTTTGACCCATTCCATCAGGCTCTGCACATGCGTCTGCAACAAAGACGAACCAGAGCTTTCATTTTTTATTCAACTAAATGAGCATTGATATGTGTTGGAGTTTGTTCGTTATGCTTGTTTTGTTAAGATTGTTTGCCTTTGGTTTATGTTAGTAGCTTCCTGCTTTGTTTTGGATGATCAAATCTCTTTAGCTCCTTTTTTTGAAGTATCCTGTTAGTTTTGAGTTTGCCTTGTTTCCAGCCATCCTCTATTTACAGCTCCTAGCTTTCTCACATGTTTGCTTTTTAATGCCATTTATTCTCTTTGATTCCCTCTGCTTCTGACTGCCCTCTCACCTGCTTTAACTCTTCTCATCAATATCTTCTCTTTCCTGTTCCATCCATTAGCTCTCATCAGTGTTTATTCCTGTTAAAATGTTTAGTCCCTGCAGAGCTGGTTACTCTGATCCATCTTGATCTAGTATAGAGCTCTCACCTCCTTTTACGTATGTTCCTGCTTTGTTTTTGGATTTAAAACATTTCATGATCTTTGGTTCGCATTTTACTTTTTTTTTTCGCTTGGTCTTTTTTTTTTGTAAGTTGCCTTTTGTTAAAATATGCTCCTTTATTTTTGTTCCACCTCTGTCTCAATTTTGAGAAATCAGCTCTTTAATGATGCATCTGAACGGCCCTGTTTCTCAGGCTGGAATAATGATATGACTGCACTCATTTATTTTGAAAACAAGAATAATTTTAATCTAATTGAGATTTTGTCTAATTTACACAAATACAATCAAACAGCTCCAGTAAAGCATGGATAAATGTTTCTTAGCAAGTTGCAGCGGAACCACACTATAATTTAGAATGACACCATGTAAAGCATGGTGGTGGCAGTATAGTGCTAGATATCTGTTTTGTTGCCAGAGACATTAGTCCACAGTTCAAAGTGAGTGAAATAATGAAAGATGGAGGATTAGAACAAAATCCTTTCATTTCATTAAAGTATATATAAGGACAATTTAATCTAAATGGACAGGGATCCCAAAATACATGAAATCTAGTGTTTAAAAGAATCAACATTAATCATCTGTAATAAAGCCAAACTTCAACTTTTGGAATATTTAGATAATTTAAATCTGTCTGCTGAAAACCTGAAGTATTAACAGTAAATGCAACAATTGAAAGGAGCTCTAGAGTCTACAATATTTCTGCCAGACATCTTGTTGATACCGACAAAAAGCACTAAGGAACATTAAACCAAATAGAAGGGAAACTTTCTGCAAACTTAAGCCTAAGAAAATATAGAGTCCCACCATTAATTTACGTTTGTGCTTCAAATTCTTGTTAATAAATTCAACTTTTCCATTAAAGAACCATTTAAAACTAGAAAAACAATGTATTAACTATTATATTTCAATGGTATATATAGTGTTTAGTACGGTGGCCCTGAAGTGCAAACTGCAACTACAAATCTAAAAGCACAACTACATTAAGGAAATCGCAATTACATTAACCTACCGGAAAAGGTAGGTACCAGTGGGAAACATGAGACATCGCTGATTGGATGACGGCGCAGTTTGACCCTTGAACCGGAAGTTGCGTCGTCTGAACAGTCCAGCTTCTTTTAAGTGTGTCTTCAGTGTACGCAAACTAACGGAAATTTGGTAATTAGTCTTGAGCATATCCAGTATCACCTCGTACGTATGTCCTGATTCAAAATATTCCTGGATAACGGCAGCTATGTTTTGGGCGCCGACAATATCCATGTTTTCAAAAGCCGCAGCAGGCAGAATGACTTCTGGTTCAAGGGTCAAACGGCGCCGTCGTCCAATCAGCGATGTGTCATGTTTCCCACTGGTACCTACCTTTTCCGGTAGGTTAATGTAATTGTGTTTTCCTTAATGTAGTTGCGCTTTGCTTTATGTAGTTGCGATTTCCTTAATGTAGTTGCGCTTTTAGATTTGTAGTTGCAGTTTGCACTTCAGGGCCACCGTAGTTTAGGGTTCTAAGGCTTCCAAAATAAAACTAATCAACAACATTAATTGATTAATTTCAGGCCCTTACTTTAAAATAAGGACTATTAAAGACAGAACTTGCATACCTTAGCTGCCAAACAAAGGTCTTGATAGTCGGTCTGTAACTTTTTCATGTTTTCGCCGATCTTGGGGTCGTTAAAGGAATTGAGTAAAGCCTCTCCTTTCTCAATGACACATTTCACAGCTGGTTCGTGGGATTCAACAGTCTGCTGAATAGTCTGTGTAAAAGAAAGGAAAGTTAAATACCGGGTCAGTTCTTTCAATATGATTTGTATCAATGTTACAATATTATTACTCACCTTATATTTTGCCAACTGAGCTTTTTTCTGGTAGAGTTCAGTTTTTGGTTCTAAACTTGCTGCTAAAAAGTTCTTTGTCTCCTTCACCCACTGGGCTTGTGTTTTATATTTATCCATAAAGTCTTTGGAGAGTGAGATATATTTCTCCAGGGAGCTGTGTTCTGTGCGTAGAGAAGTGGTTAATTCCTCAAGCTGAAAAAGTTGGATGTCCACCTCCTCCCTCAGCTGGTCTGCCTCAGGCTCTTCAAGGAAGGTCATCGCCTTTTCTGCCTTTTCCCTCATTGCCTTTAGGTAGGTGTGACCCTGCTCCATGTCACCCTGCAGAGTCTAAAATCACACAAAATGTCAATTAATGTTAAGCATCCAAAGGCCTCCATACTTGTGCAGACTTCTAAAAACCTCACAGTATGCACGCAGGCTGTATGTGAAAGCCTTTATCTAGTACCTCTTATGGTTTAATACTCTAAAGTTTGTTAGTTTAGACAAAAAAATAAAAACAAAATGACACTGAAATTATTAAAAATTCACCTCAAGTTTCTTCATTTTTCTCTCTAAAGCAAAACGATCTACTACGTCAATGCTAATGGCCACCGTGCTGAAGTTATTCTGAGCTGCGCTGAGCCACTCTGTGAAGGTGGTGAAGACACACTGTGATTCTTCGATTGAAGTCATCTCCTCCTGGAGCTGTTTGATTGTTTCCTGTATTATAAAAAAAGAAAAAATAAGATTACAGAGGAAATTAACACTGAAACACATCGTTCTGATGCATAACAAATATATTTAATATACAGAAGTTAATCATTATCCCTAACTTTGTAATATAATAGCCAAATAAAAAATACTGAAAGTGAAAGTTTAAAATGTATTTCTGATTTTATCTTAGATAACAATTTCAAGAAATACAGAGAATGTGGTTCAATTCAATTAAATTTAAACTCAGTTTAATTTACTTAAATAATGCCAATTAACGACACATCATCTCAAAGATCTCTACAGTCAAGTCATGGGCGTAGGTTTGCATAGGGACCATAGGGACATGTCCCTACCAAAATTTTGGACGGACTCATTTGTCCCTACCAATAATTGGATGTGAGCAACATGTTAATAATTTACTATACAGCAGCCGCTTCTTTTCCTCTCGCAGCTTCTCTGCCTGGTAGCTGCAGCTGCCTGCTCTTTCCTGTCCCTTTCAGAATAGCAGCGCATCAACTGTGCTGCGCGGTTTAACTCTCTGGTTATTCTGCCTTAAGTTCCGCCTTCTCTCTTTTTGATTGCGTGTTTTCTAGTCTGTATGTGCGCGTGCTTGGAGCACGAAAAAAAAAGACGCTAAAATAAATTAATATTGGGCTACGAAACTAGTCCGAATTAAAAAACGTATTATCTACGCTAAAACAGGCGAAAGCTTCTGACTGGAGTTCTGTAAAGCAGGAGAGAGTTTTTTGATTTGTGGAACTTGAGGAATGTAAGTTAACAACGTTAGGATTTCTTTTATTTTATCTTTTAATCAGATAGCCAAAGGCTCCTCAAAGAAGATCTTTTATGAAATGAAACCAGGTGAAACAGAAACGTTTAAACGTTTCCTTTGGTGGAGTTCTGGATGGAGAATATTGACAGACAAAAACTATTTTTTTTTACTTCTTAAATGCAAAATGTTTACATATTTTTTACAATTTTGGTATAATTCCTGCTCTAAGTGGGTCGCTCTGTCGGCTAAAGGCACATTTTAGTGGCCCTATACTCCAGTTTACGAATAATCAATTACATAGTTCACGATTATTTAAATAATTTGTTAATATGATTGTTTCAGCCATAGATAAAATACATGAAATTAGCTACACAGAGTAACTACAGCCCAGATGTACAACTTCTAATATTAATACTTTAAATGCTCAGTGTCAGTTCCTCTTATAGTTCCAGTGCACATGTAAATACAATACATTTCTTTGCCGTCCCTTGAATGTATTATTTTGCATGATCCAGAGAGAGCATATTAGATAAAAAAAAATAAGAGTGGGGTTTTACCTCTGCTCAATTCTCTATCTTCAGAAGAAAACACAGGATAAATCCACATATTATAGACTATATTTGGTTAAACAGACACTGTCTTAGTAGCAGGTAAATTTGAATGCAATCCTTTTCAAAGTGGAAAAAGTCCTAATTCTACATTCTTCAGAACCAGTGATGCTTTAAATATTGATAAACAGCATCTAGTGCATGTAGTGCTTATAAGATTTGTATTAATGTAGCAAGAAATGCTGCTGTTCTCTTTAAACAAAATGAGCCCTGAAGCTCACATTAAGCATAAAAAAGAGCATGCATATTTTTGCAAAGGACCAATGAAACTGAAGAATAGTGTCCCTACCAAAGTTGAAATCAAACCTACGCCCTTGAGTCAAGTTAATCAAAAGATGCAGGCATATTGGTTAAAAGTTTTTTATCTATGTAAACCCATATGATTGTATTTGATAAAATAGATTAAATAAAGAAGATTTTAGATTGAGTTTGACCTTACCAATAATTGCAGTAGCAGGGCGTGGTAGCGGGCTGTGATCTGGGTGGCTCTGCTACTGATCCGGCTGCTTATATGGGTTTCATCCAGAACTTGCTGAGCCAAAAGCGTAAGGCCCTCCATTTCCTCCTGATAAACAAGCACCTCTTCCTGCCAGCTCTAATGAAAGACAGGATAATATTACTGCTCAGAGTTGCTTAAATCCTTAAACATATTTGACAATTTTAGAGTCAACCAGTTTGTTAATCAAGAAAAGTAAAACTGGACCATCCTTTAATATATAAGTTTTACAAGTTTTTCATGCGGCTACCAACCTTCACCATCTGTAACTGAGCGCTCTTCGTGGCGCGGTCAGACCGCCGGTTAGAACGCAGCTGAGCTTTGGTTTCCATGCCTTTCAGCCAACTGTCAAGACGCTGGAACTTCTGCTCCATCTGTCGAAGTTTGGCCAGAGCGCTGTTCAGCTGAGCACGGGTGTCAGCCAGCTGAGCCTGATAGAGCCTCCACTCCTGCTGGAGGGTCTCAAGGGCTCGGTCCTCGATCTGAGGGAGACCCCAGGGGACCACAAGTTCACGACTCAGCAACAAGGTGTTCAGCAAAGCCTGGCCTTCGGTGCAGTGCAGCTGCAGTTCCTACGATTAAATATTTCATGTTGACTTCCGTCATAATTACTAGTAACACAAACAGGATAATATCAAGGGGGGTTAATTTCACACCTGCAGCTTTTGGAGTGTTTCCTCCAGCATATCAACATCTCCTTCCAGCTGGGTGTAGCAGCTGAGCTTCTCTTCTTCTTGCTTCAGCCACTCCTCAAAGGAACGAAGGTCCCACTGATACTCTTGATGAGCTTTCACCAATTCCTCTGCTTTGCCAACTGCCCTCTAAGGAACAGCACAGTGATTTATTGACTCACATTTAGAGTTAATGGTTTACATTCATATTTCCTGATTGAGTTTGTCACATTCAATAAAAAACAAATATTACAGTTTGAATCCATAAAAAAATAACAATTTATTATAGAATGCCATCATGCTTATTCTGTAAACGCATTTTAAAAATATTGCACACTTATTGGAAGTGTTGTTAGTTTTCTGGAATAGAGATGACATTGTTATTGTTACCATAGCGTTGTCTTTGGCGGTTTTATACCGCTCCTGAAGTTCTTGCAGCTCCAGCTGAGTAACATAGTTTTCAGTGATTCTAGCGCTCTTTGCAGTAATGGTTTCCAGGAGACTGTTGTGGCTGAGCACCTCCTCATAAAGCAGCTAAACGCAAAAGGAAATTTAATCATGAATTTATATGAATTTAAAAAAACGTCCACATGAGAGAGGAGGCTGCAGTACCTTTGCTTTGCTCAGATTAGCCGTTTTGTCTCTCATCTCTGGACACAGCTTATCGGTGACCTCAAGGCTTTCCTCCACCTGCTCAATCCAAGCCAGAAACTGACGCACGTCCTCTTGGTAACTTGTCCACTGAGACAGCGAACCTTCCAGCTGACTGTTGATGGTAGACATAGAAATAGTAGGTTAGCTACATGATGTTCAGTATTTCTGCCTTGTTGAATAGGATATACTTTTAGTATAGAATCACAAACAGGCTTAAATTGGAAGGCAACCAAACATTTCGCTGAAGACATTTCGACACCTGTTGCACCAGAGCAATTACTAGTTGAAGAGCCAATGTATTTAAGCAGCATGGAGGTTCATCCTCCTGCACATAATTCAAGTAACCCCTTGTTCTCTGGATCGTTAAAAACTTTTCCTGTGTATGGGCTATGTGATTGGTCTTTCAAATGATAATAGAGGTGCTGAGGTAACTTTTTGGGAATGAGTTGGAGTGCTTGGAAGCTGAAATTGCAATCCTCCCCCTCTATACAGTGATGTCTTTCTCTTTTTTTTTTATAAAGATGGAATTATTGATGCCTCTTTCAAACCATCTGTCCTCTCTGTCGGAAATCTGAAAATGTTGGTCTTCAAAGGTATGTCCTTTATTCTTGAGGTGTAAGTTTACAGCTGAGTGTAACCCATAGCTGCTAGCTCTCCTATTGCCAAGAATCCAGTTTGTGTGGTCTGTTGTTCTGTGTTTGTCTCTCCCTCCACCACCAGGAGGTGCCCTGTCCTTGTTGGTCCTCCCTGCACACCTGCATCCCGTTGGATCATTATCTGGAGGAGTACTTAAGCAGTGAACTGTCACTGCCTTGACACCAGAGTGTTTGCCAGTTTTAGGTACTCTAGCCAAGCTGAGTTTATCTAAATTCTAACTGAGTCCTAACTGAGTCTTTGTTTCACTGAGCCTAACCTTGATTTTGTCTTTTCTTTTCGGCAGGAAGTCATCCTGCAAGCTGGATTTTTGGCCTTCTTCCCCTGGAAGGATTGTTTGAGTCTCACACTGAGCAGGGGATCACCCTCCACTAGTTCCGTTCAAGTTCTCCTGGATTTCCGAGTGACAGTCCTCTCATACTCCTCTGGGTCCAACGAAGGTCTGCCTGTCCGCTCTCAAACAAGTCCCGTCTTTACTAGGTCAGCCCACACAGACTGGATGGCGGGAAGAAAGTTTTCTCCACTAACGTGAGTCCCGTTTTCTCTGTCTCTCCAAGTCATTGTTCAAAATTCCCATGGATCCTGAACTCACCTCTGTGAACTTCCCTCTTCCCTTCCAGTTCCTGTTCACCAGCCCTCTGAGTACCAGATCCAACCCCTCTCAACCCTTACCACAATAAACCTGTTTAAACCATTGCCTTGCTCTCTGAGTTGTTCCCTGCATTTTGGGTCAGAACCTTAAATAAATCACGACACCTATGCTATGCCATGCGTTTATGAAGTTTTTGATTCTTTAATTTAGGGGGCTCTAAATTCCTCTCTGCACTGGATCGCATACAGAATCCCACCCAAACCTAAGCTGAGCGCCGTTGTGTTTGCCATGCAAACATATAAATGATGGGTTGACGCTAGAGATATTTTCTGAGATACAAAGCATCATCATTGCTCATTTGTTCATAATGAGTGCAAAAACAAACAAAAAAATGACAAAACAGATACACCTTTTGCAAAGAATTGCGGCAGAAAGCAGAGCATCCCAGGAGTCTTTAAGCTCCTGTATTTGTTTTTGGATTAGTGGCACTCCTTCAGCTGAGGTGTTTCTCTGCACTGACTCTCCTCTTGTGATCAGCATCTTCAGCTGGATCTCCTTCTCCTGGCGAGCAGTCAGCAAAGCCTGATGCGAAACCAAACACATTTATCACCATACAATATTTCACATGCATTGGCTGGCTTCAATTAATAGAGAATATTGTTTCTCTACCTCCAGCTTGATCATTCTGCTATCTAGTACATTTTTGTCAGCCGTCGGAGCGCTGTAAGTCTGCAGCATATGGCTGGTGTCAGCCACCCAGTTCTGCAGCTCCTCTAACCCTTGGGAGAAAAGCTGGTGCTCTGTAACGATCCGATCAATGCGGGAGGCCTTTTCCTGCACATCCATAAACATGAAACCATTAAACATCAGGTTATTAACCGTTATAGGTTAAAGATATCAATTCAACGAAGTTAGAAAATGTAAGTTGCATCAACAAAATGCATACACCCATGTTTAAAATCTGGCAGGACTGGGTATGAGTTTGTCACAATATTTTTTCCCCCAAATTGTGCAACTAAATGGCTCCATGCTACTGCTGCTGTTAACGTGCAAACACTGCTTTTCACATAAATATAGATTTTGAAATAGACTTCTTGGGTGCACCAGTGATTATGGCCGTTTCTCAGTATGCATTCTTGAGCGTTCTCGTGTGCTCGTGTACTCGTGACACGTCATCAGCCTCAGCCCGAGTACCGTTCCAATTCTCGAGAACGCCAGATCGAGAACGCACCAAATCCCCGGATGTTGTTCTCGCCCCGCCCTCTTTATCGAGCATGCATCAGAGCAGACTTGTGCGTTCTTCAGACTGACCGCTTCCCCAGAATGCCCCGCGGCCGCAGCTTGATTCGAGACAGCTCTCACAGTGGTAAGTTAAACATTCCCTTTTCTGCTGCTGTTGTTCTTCAAAAGTACGTTTTGAAATCGTTTGAGGCAATAACATTATACATTTAAGCCTCCCTGTGTGGCCTGTTTACAGAGTTAGTGCGAAATAAAAAAAAAAAAGACCGACATTGAGCGCACCAGAGTGACCAGCAGACCTCCGAGGGTAACCGCAGCCAGGGCTAATGTTACCCCGTCTGTAGTGCACTTCTCTCGGTCTAGTTATGTGTGAACTACCGCTCATTCTGATGGCGGTTTTTTGCTTTAATTTGGCCAAACGTCCATTTGTTTTGTGTTTATCTGACTGCGGTAATTTTTTTTAATGTTTTTTAAGCTTTAGAAATTAAAAATATTGTTTTCAAAATGTTTTGTGTAGGGAATAAATAGTTTTGACTGTTAAAGAAATGCTAAAGAACGTTGCATGTGATGACGTCACGAGTACGCTTCTGTTCCAATACACATACGTGCTTGCGTGCTCGCGTTCTCGTCAAGTCCGATCTTCCTGCGTTCTCGCCAAGAACGGACTTGACGAGAACGCGAGTACGTACTCGCGTTCTCGTTCTCGCGTTCTCGTCAAGTCCGTTCTTCACCAGTCCGTTCTGGTGAATTGAGAAACGGCCTATGAATCTTACTATTTAAAAGTAAATGGAAACTGGATATAAAAATATATTTTTTTATAAAGTCATATCTTAGGGTGCTCAAATCAAACCAACAGTTTGGGAGGTTTTCAAATATAAACTGGAATTTTTGTTTTTAAAATTCATGAGCTTGATAAGATAGATGATAATAAAGGATAAGATAAAGGAGCGTCCCTAGTGCACAGTCAGTCTCACAGGCATTACTTTACCTTGGTGAGGTTGGTTAAAGCTAGGCACTGAGCGGATAGCTGCGAGACACGGTGCACAAAGCCCTTCCCGGCCGAGTGTTCATCCCACAATAGTTGTGCCTTCTCCTTCAGCTTGTTCAGCTGAACCTTGTGAGAAGCTAACTCCTCAAGCACAGACTGAAAGAGCACAAGCAGGTTATCACAGAGGCATGCAAGCTGACACACAGGTTTGTACGAAAGGTGAAGAGCGGGATGTTAGAGATGAGAGCAGATGGAAAAGTAAATGAGAAAAAACAATCAGAAAAGCTGATATAAGCTGTTGCTCTACAAAGAGAACCAAAGACAAACGAAGCATGTTGGCAGTTAGCAAAGGCACATCGAGGTGCAATCTGAACAAAGACTTAACCTAAGGGATGTACCAGAAACTCAATGGGTGACAGGATTTAGCTGCTTTCATGCTTGACAAACCCTTAATCAATGATTTGTTAGTCTGAAACTCAAAATACTTTCTATTTCCAAACATTGAATGCGCCATACCAAAGCTCTAAAACTAATACTCACTAGTGTGGAAGTCATTACTGAGAGAAGGATACTCAGCTATTCTCATTATCAGTGTGAGGTTTATAAATTAAGTCAGGGGAAGGACAGAAGGCATAGGAAGCTACTTAAAATGTACTCTATTCCACCAATGCATTTCATCTGTTCATTTAAACTGCTACTTTAAAACAGAGTGTAACTTTGGTAAACAGCAGGACGCTCACAGCTGTATTACAGAAAAACTACCTGTTTTAGATATCGGAAGATCCCCAATTCTGTCTGCCATAGAACATACGTAATCAGCAAAGCTATCAATCCTTCCAAAATCTCATAGTTATGGTCATGTTGATAGATTTTAGCATGATAAGCATGGTTAGCATTACTAAATAAATACTCATCAGATTCTAAGATAAGATGTGGATTAATTTTAAATGTGTATTCTGTTTTCAATTTTCCATTTTTTAACCTTGGAGATGAAGCAACTGAGCCTCCATCATAATGATGATTCTTAATGACGGAAAGGCTGCCTAAAGCTCCTGCAGTTAGAATAAAGAAATTATTCAAAAATCTAACACGTTATCTACAGTAATATGCGACATTTTCTCTTTATAATAAGCTAATACAGATTTTTCTAAAAAAAAAGATTTAGTGAGGTGTCACACTTCTATTTTTGTAATGTAAAAAAACCAACACACAAAAAATCAGTAATGCCTCTTATAAAGGATTTAATTGATTGTGACATAATTTTATAGCCTTTGCACCTGTTAAGTGATGAAGGGCTGTTATTGAGGATATTATTTCATCTTATTTCATCTCATAGCTATAACTTTTATCATTAAAATTATTATTTTAAAATAATACACCCATACACCGTCTATAGTGTTGCAGAATAAAATTAAAAATTTTACAGAAAAAAGTATAGAAATAATTATTTTATATATTTTGATGGGGGCAAAATACATCAATAGTTACATCTGGTTAATATGCCATCGATGCGAAAGGATTCTGCACCAATAGGAATCCTTCTAAGCACCACATTTATCAGATTATAGAGGACAAAAAAAGAAGCAAAGCAAGGATGAAGCTTTTAATGTCATGATCTGGCCTGTTTGCTCTCCCTTAATTAGTAATTCCTCTCACCTGTCGTTTTTCCCTCTCTGCCTCAATTATAATTTATTCCTCTCACCTGTTTCCTCTGGTTTATATTCAGTTCAGCCTGAGCATTCAGTGCCAGATCATTACTTGTCTTTCTGTTAGTCTGTCTGTTCAGTTTTAGTTCATGGTTCATGTCCTGGATCCTGGCAGCCAGTGCAAAGAGGGTTTTTGTGTTTGTCTCGTCTCCTGATCGTCCACTGTTCCTCCCCCACGGAGTCCTCTGGGTTTTTGGCTCATTATGTGGGGAGGTTCAGTTTTTATCTCAGTAAGCCTGGCTCCAGGGAGGAGACCAGTTTAAAGTCCTGCATCAAGTTCCGGTTCCACGTCCTGTCTCGGCTACCCTCTTCCACTGGGCCTGCTCATCTGCACCTGATCCTGTCTGCTCCTGTGCGTGACCACCTGGTCATGCTTCTGGTCCCCGTCAGACTCTAAACCCTCCTGGGAGCCTGTGGATGCCTGGAAGTCTGGATCCTGTCACCTGTTTCTGTTCCTGCCTGATCTGGATCCTGCCTGTTCCTGTCTGTTCTGGATCCCTGACCAGGATCAGCTTCCAGCATGACCACTGGGACTGCATTCTTGGTCTGGACTGTTAAACCAGAGTGTCTGAGATTGGGCGGTGCCCCGCCCCCCCGCCTGCAATGTCCGCGAGCCACAGCTCCGCTTTTGTTTTGTTTTTTTATTTAATAAACGTTTTGATCTTTCCTACTGACTGTCTCTCCTGAATACTGGGTCCATTCTGTCCTCGGTTCATGACATTTAATGGCGTTAGTGCCAATTTAAGGATGCAAAAGGGCTCAGAAGAAATGTTGCCATTTTCCTTCTGGACAGGTAAGTTAAATGGTTGCGTGACCTGGCAACCAATAGCAAACAATGCAGTTAAAGGTGGGAATGAGAGTGAGAATGCACGAGTGCATCACCTACTGGCCAGGAGGAGTTTAATTTGTAGCCATCTTCTTTAAAGACAGGTCAATATTCAGTTGATGCAGAGAGTCGATATACATTTCTTATTTATAGCTTTTAAAGAGGCATTATGGAGTGTTCTAATGTCACTGCCACCTGTGACCACAACTTAGAACTGCAGCACTCCTCTGCTCCTTCTCGCTTTTCTTGTTCAAAAAACTATTTTACTTTTTTGTGTTTTTTGAAGCGTATGGTGATCTGACTTTAAATAGTTTTTTTTGGGACATGACTAAAGGGATACACGCCCATTGAGGTAGTTTAAAGTGTATTTTTTGAACAAAGCTAAAGGGATAGACGCAAATCTGATGTCTTGCGCATGGGTATTGACTATGGATATGCTGATCTGACAGATCACCGGTTGCTTCTGAGTATCCATAAAAATCCCCAAAAATTATTATTAAAACGCTTCAATTATTTTCAGGTTGGATCCATTTAACAAACACACACATCTGCAGAAAAAGTACGGGAAAATTCCGACCCAAATTAAATTTGGGGAAAACAGTTTACAGGCTTATAGATGCATTGGTGCTGAACTACTGAGGAGTCAGTCTGCTCATCAAAAGATGTTTTTGTTGTAAAGGGACTAAAAAATCGTTTTAAACATATATTTGAGTAAGAACTAACAAAATGTCTCTCTAATAAGAAATTGAAATTGAAAAATTGCTAAATATTCTGCCTGAGCTGGAATGATGATTGTTCTGCAAATGAAAGTAGCAGTAATGTTCCAGCATTGGATGAATGCACTCAAAGATGTCTGCTTTAAGATGGTGGTTCAAGTCTGCTTGATTTTGGACATTAATACCTGCAGTTTATGAAGCTCCTGCTTTTTTGCCGTGAGATCATAAAGTCGTGTGCTACTCTCCTGTACAGCCAGCTCTGTGGCATTCAAACTGTCCTGAAGAGGCTCTGCACTTGCCTCAAAATCCTTCATCTGCAAAATCAGGTTCTGAAACAGCAAATACAGAAGCTCAGTGTTAAACTCAGGAATAGAAGCTTAGAATAAAATGAAAGGCAGTCCTCAAATGTTTAAATGCTTACCAGCAAACTTGTCTCTCTGTTGTGCAGACTGGTCATGATGTGTTTCCAGTCTTCTCGGGCCGTGTTCATTTTCCCCCGAACTGCATCGGCTTTGTCTTTAGCTGCGATGCTACAGACAAGCTCTCCATTTACAAACACAGCATTCAGCTTGGACTGACCCTGTTCTTTGTCATTAAGAAACTCCTACGAGGGCAAGACAAGATGTAAGGTTATAACTTAAACCCGGTTGAGTAAAAAATGTAAGCTTTACTATGGTAATGGGGATCAGTGTCTGAGTTTTGTTAAAAAAAAACAATGTCACCAACCTGAATCTTCTGGAAACTAGACGAGGCTTCGCTGAGATTTTGAGGTGCGTCAAAACATTTGGCGGTATTGATCTTAGCATTAACCAACCATTGCTGAAATTCCCTGAAAGAAGAGCGGAAGCCTTGATCCAGCACCTTTTCTTTACTCTGACAATCTCTGGTGGCTTGAAGACACAAACTGGAAAAATAGCAGAAATAGATTTTTTTTTATATAATTTAGCAGAGGATCAGACAGAGGTTAATTTAAATCAGAAAACTAAGTTTTTACGGCAGAGGATTAGGGCCACTGGAACTGTTTTCTAAATGATATTTCAGTTTAACATGTGAAAAAAGTTAGAATTCTGACTTTTTTCTCAAAATTCTGACTTAAATCTCAGAATTCTGACTTTTTTCTCAGAATTCTGACTTTAATCTCAGAATTCTGACTTTTTTCTCAGAATTCTGACTTTTTTCTCAGAATTCTGACTTTAATCTCAGAATTCTGACTTTTTTCTCAGAATTCTGACTTTAATCTCAGAATTCTGACTTTTTTCTCAGAATTCTGACTTTAATCTCAGAATTCTGACTTTTTTTTTCTCAAAATTCTGACTTTAATCTCAGAATTCTGACTTTAATCTCAGAATTCTGACTTTTTCTCTCAAAATTCTGACTTTAATCTCGGAATTCTGACTTTTTTCTTAGAATTCTGAATATTTTCTCAGAATTCTGACTTTAATCTCAGAATTCTGACTTTTTTCTCAGAATTCTGACTTTTTCTCAGAATTCTGACTTTTTTTTCTCAAAATTCTGACTTTAATCTAAGAATTCTGACTTTAATCTCAGAATTCTGACTTTTTTCTCAGAATTCTGACTTTAATCTCAGAATTCTGACTTTTTTCTCAGAATTCTGACTTTTTTTTCTCAAAATTCTGACTTTAATCTCAGAATTCTGACTTTAATCGCAGAATTTTGACTTTAATCTCAGAATTCTGACTTTAATCGCAGAATTTTGACTTTAATCTCAGAATTCTGACTTTAATCGCAGAATTTTGACTTTAATCTCAGAATTCTGACTTTTTTTCTCAAAATTCTGACTTTTTTCTCAGAATTCTGACTTTAATCTCAGAATTCTGACTTTTTTTCTCAGGATTCTGACTTTAATCTCAGAATTCTGACTTTAATCTTAGAATTCTGACTTTTTTCCCATATTAAACTGAAATAAAATGTAAAAATTAGTTAACTTTTTTAATTTTTTCCAGTGGCCTTAATCCTCTTCCGTAAGTTTTAGGAGAGACTTACGATTGGGTTTAAGTCTGGACTTAAACAGGGTTACTCTAAAACATTTTATTCAACTTTGATCTGAAAAAAATCCTATGTGACTGTTTGATTCTGGTGTTTTTGTTCTGGAAGGTACTGTACGCCTCTGACATGTTTTATGTTACAATACAGCTCTATTATCTCAGTCCTATTTCAGAAAAGCTAAATATTACCACTACCATGTTTACTATTGTTAGTATGTTGATTTTTCCTCATTTGACCAATGCATCCTTTTTTAAGTCTTTGTTGTTTAACACAATTTGGATGAGATTTCCAACAGCTTTCTTTCAAAACAAAAGCTCTCTAGCTAAAAACATAGAAGTTTAACAGGAATATTACTTTAATTTAAATGCAATTTGATTACAGTTTTTTCTGAATGCTTAAGCGCTAATCGTGATTCTTGTAGCACAATTTCTAAAACTATTAATACGTATAGCAAAACCACTCGCTGAGTTTGCAAAACTAAAAGCACAAACACTGCATTGCACTCAGTTTGCAATTTTGTAACACACATTTTGCAAAACTGTAGGCACAATTCACTGCACAACACTCTATTACCAAATTTCCAACACACTCCTAATAAAATCATACACATGTATGGCTATCATTAACACTATTTTGCCAACTGTCTGGCACACTTTCACATGTGAAAACTGTTTTAGATAATTAGTTCACTTTGCAATCAGCCTAAGCACTATAAATAATAATAATTGATAATGACACCATCTTTCAAAATAGGCAATAAGCATTTCTTCATGAAGTCGTGTACTTGCACGCCACAGAATAAGAATGAAACAAATTTACAGAGTTCCTTTGGAGAGAAACACAGAACATGTAAAGCAACTGTGATATGACTATGTGCAGGTAAGCTATAGTGTCAATGGTTCTGAATTTGGAAGTGCATACTGTAGTGCTGTGCATGGGCCTGATGTGATGCATTTGTTTTGTCTTGTCCAGAGAGTGATGGAACTAGAAGCAGATGCCATGGAACATGAGCTACTTTTTGTAGATGAAGCTGGTTTTAACCTCAGTAAAACCAGGAGACGTGACAGAAACATTATTGGACATAACCAATACATAACATAACCATGTGTGCAGCTATAAGCCAAAATGGTGTTGTTCACCATCATGCAACCATAGGCCCATACAGCTCTGCACACATTATTGCATTCCTGGACACCTTACATGACATGCTCACTGTTCAGAGACCAGAGCATACCCAATATGTCATCATATGGGACAATGTTAATTTCCATAGGGCTGCTTTGGTCCGCAACTGGTTTACAGACCACCCATTCTTCATGGCACTCAACCTGCCTCCATACTCTCCATTCTTAAATCCCATTGAGGAGTTCTTCTCTGCCTGGCGCTGGAAAGTGTACGACCGTCATCCTCATCAACAGGTAGCCCTTTTACAGGCAATGGAGGAGGCATGTGGAGATATTGACCAGGCATCATGTCAGGCCTGCATACGGCATTCAAGGAGATATTTTCCCCGGTGCCTTGGACTGGAGGATATCGCATGCGAAGTGGACGAAATTTTGTGGCCGGACCCAGAAAGACGACATGATGTAGGCTGATTGTTTTTTTGTTTTTTGTGAAATTACTATTTTGTGTTCTGACTTTGTCTTGGTTTTGATGAGTGTGAATAAACAGCAATACTTGAAATTTGGAACCTTATATGTTTACATGACACTATGACAAAAGTATGACCTCAAATTGACATCTGTACACAGAGAAAGAGAAAGCCAGATTTGTTTTGTATTCATACCATCAGTGTGTAGTTGGCACATTGTGTGCTTAGTAGATGATGGCTTGTGTTTACTGTTTGATACGAAAACACAATTTTTACAAAGGTGTGAAGAGTTCGCTTTTGCAAGAGAACTGCAATGTTTTGATAATTGGGTGAAAGGTTTTCTTATTTGTGTGTAGAGTTTTGCAAAAATAGCCAATAGTTACAAAAAATGTGCTTAAGCAATCAGAAAAAACTGTAATAACATTAGATGCAATTAAAAAAATAATTTTTACTTCTTCATACCCCTTTTCAGACAATTTACATAAATCAATGTCATTTGGTGGAGGGTTTGGTTTCTATTTATGTACAGGTGAATTTAGATTGTTTGGAAATTGGAGTTTTGTTTGGTTTGATGTTAACCAGTCTCTTTTTGTGTATATTTAGTTGTTTATTTGTTTGAAATATTTTTTTGAAGTTGATTTATTTATTGTTTGTCAAAATTGTCTAAAATTGTCTGAAATAAATTCCTTTTCATTCATCCATTCACTTGGTTCAGTTTTTTTTTTCAGATCTACAGAAAAGCATCTAACTAGCTGTGAAAATGAGTATAGATTTGTAAATATTAGATCTAAAAACAAACTACAAGTTTGTTGCAGACTAATTGCTGCAGCTGTATTTGTTAAAGATTACTGTACCAGATATATATGGATTTTTCTGACCTGTTATAGTCTTTGATCAGAGCAGACACTCTCTCAGACTGGGTGGTTATTTCTCTGGAGAAACGGCACAAATCATTAAGCTGAGTCTTCAGACGATCAGACAACGCCTCGGCTTTGACAAGTTCCTCTAAAGTATCCTGCAGATGGAACAATGGGAAAGTGAGGACAGCCAAAAGCGTAAATTTTTAATTTTATACATCATTTTTAATACGGGTCAACCTACCTTTGCCATTTGCCAGCCTTTGACAGCTTCCTCTCCCTCGTTTTTCTTCTCTGCCTGACACAGTCGATGTCGGCAGCCCTGTAGCTGAGCGCTAAAGTCCTGAAGATCCTGCTCCAGCTGTACTGATAGGCTGCTGAACTCTTGCTCTGAGCTTGATATCTGTGAGAGGGCCGTCTCCAGGCTTGCACGGGTCTGTAGAGCTCCACGTTCCCACTGCTCCCATGATGACAAGAGTGTTGCTTCCTCTCGCTCCATGGCCTCATAGCCCCCTGAACCTGTGTAATCTCTTGCCACTGCCCCATACCTCTGAACACGATTCAGCCTTTCTCTGCCTCGCTGCTTAGAGTCAAGGAGCTCCTGTAAAAAAAGAAGAAATAAAAAATTTAACACAATAAACCAATACCTTGACAGCAGGCCAAACTAGTAAGAAAAGTATTTCAATTGGAGCTACATTCAGGTTTTAATATCCAATCTTTATTTCTCTGAAGGAAAAGAGCAAACTTGAAACCAATGATCTTAAACAATCATGTCACACAATTCTGATCTAGAAGGTCACACAAGAGTCTTTCATATACCTCAGTAAGGATTCTAAGAATTCATTAAATCAAATAAAAGAAGAAATAAGAAAAGGAAGTCTCCAAACAGGGAGATCGTTTAAAAAATGTAGAGTTTTCCCTTTTCTTACCTGTACTTTGGAGAGCTTTCTTCTAATGTTCACTGAGTCTCCTGACAAGTCAGACCAGCGCTGAAGTTCCTCTTTTGCTGAAATCAGCCAGTCGTTGAAGTCTCTGACAGCGTCCAGGTACTGCTCATGCTCAGACACAATCTTTTGCATGGACTGCACTTTACCCTTTATGGAACAAGCTCTATGTTAATACCAGACAGTCAATAAGTATGAAACATCTACATTATGTTACATCCTGAGGTAATTTTAAAGATAACTGAGTTATGTATTATGCTCATTACAGAAAAATGCTGCAATTGTGATGAGTGTGGAAGCATGTTTTTCCTCGGCCTAATGGAGGTGAAAGGAAGCCTGGGAGGGATAAAAGATATGTGTTTAAAGTTTCCTCCTCCTCCTTCTGGCCAGTGAAATATATATTAACCTAACAGGGAACGTCCTTCATGAACTGAAGTTGTTTTCCTTCAAATGTTTATGTTGAGAAAGTTCTTTACGCAGGGGTGGGATAGTTCCAAGGAAGAGTGTGTTTTGGGTTTTGTACAGTATTTCTGTACTGAGCTCACCCCTGTACTGAGCTCACCCCTGTAGGAGCTTTTCTCTTTCTGTCTAAGGACGTAAAATCAATTTGAACCTTTTCTTGCAAGAAATGCCTCTATCAGTTTCTCTATAACTTAAAACAAGTTCAAATTAATGAGATTAACTACTAGTTTGATTACATTAAGCATAGGTCAGTGTGAGACTGGAGACACTCCCAAGAAAAACAGGTCAACTATCTAGAATCACTGCTTTTCACAGATCTGAATCTAGATTACCTTGATGACAGCTGATAGATCAGTGAAGTGAGCGTTGAGCTCCGCCCTTGACTCCGGTCCAAATGTTTGGTCACCAGTTTTTTCATGCATCTCCACGGCTTTCTCACTTAGGTGTGACAAAGCCGTCGCATGAGTGTCCACATCAGCTTGGATGGCCCGTAGCCGATCAAGTAAGGCACTCTTCTCTTTGAGGCCCGGTTGCTGAGGCTGAACCCTCCCAACCTCCTGTTCAACGGACTCCATCCACTGCTGCAGCTGGCTTTTATTTTCTTGAAATGAGGTCCACTGGGTCACCGTCCACTCAAGTCGACTATGAATAATTATGATTTGTTAACTAATGTAGTACTGCTTAAAGATAAACAAATACATAATGCAATGTTTTGCAAAAGTATTAAAAGCTATTCGAGCCACCAACTTCAATGCATTTTAAACTTGGCAGACCAACAAAGAGTAGAAGGACCCCCTCATCTGCAGTTATAACACAATTCATGCTGTTACTGATGCTAATTCTTCTTCTCTAGTTCTGCATAAGCTTAGCAAATGCGTTAAGCTTTCAAGTCCTGCCACCAACTTTTAATTGTATTTAAGTTTTTAACTGCTGTATGCAATCCTAACACCCAAATATATTCTAATCTGACCCATTCTATAGTAACCTTTCCTGTATTTCTAGGACTATGTGTGTATGACACACTTCAAATTATTAGTTGTAAAGAAACAAAAAAAAAGTTGTTTTTATAGCTTTAATGATATAGAACTTCATAGTGGGCCATTTAATTAACCTTAATAAAATACACTAAAATTTGTGTCTTAAAGTGTCAAAAAGAAAAAGGTTCAAGGATACACAGGAAGCGATTCTTTTACCGATCGCAGTCTTCTCTAAAACTTCTCTCATCATAACAACAGAAGGACTTCTTCATACCTGTGGCAGCTCATTGCAGTCATTAACATGTTGGCCCATGCATCCTTCAGGTTCTGCAGCTGTGAAGATATGGTCTCCTGCTCCTCAACCCTACTGTGTTTTAAAACCTGTTCTCCTTTTCCAACTGTCATGTTGAGTTTCACCTCACCCTCTCCCTTCATTAGCAGGATATCCTGAGGAAAGATGGGGAAACAACTGTCATCCGACAGCACAGCCTTTCAAAAATGATAAATTAAACAATAGCGCGTTGCTTTGCTTACTGACCTGTACGAGACCGAGTCTTTTTTCTAGAGTTTCTTTATTGCCAACAGTGCTGTTAAGAGAAGCCAGACGCTCCTGCACCCCATTAAGCCAGAGCCAGGTGGTCTGCAGAGTCTCTTCAAAGGCTTGTTGTTCCTGTAAAGTGAGCTGGCAGCTACGCAGCCTCTCCCTAACACACCTTAACAAGGCCTGGTGCTGGGACTGCAGCTGAGCTGAGACTCTGGTCTCGCTTCCATCCCCTCGTCCGCCTTCGTTTAGAGCCTGTCCCTCCTGACAGAGACGCTCAAATGAATCCCTATGTTAAATTTGGAAATGATTAGAGGGGGAATCTTTAGGATGGATGACATCATGACACACATACATTACAGCTTAGACAATATTGGTTTCATTCTTTTCCTTAAATATAAACAACTTAAACACCTTTCTTTAAGCACTTCCTTCTGGTATTCCTCCACTTGCTCAGTCAAAGCTCTTTCAGAGCCGCGCTGTTTGGCTTCCAGTAGATCTGTAGCAATTCTGCTTTCCATGTTTTCCAACCAACACTTCAGCTTCTTGAGGCGACCCTCAAACCTATAGAGGTTGTAATGATCTGGCTTTAAAAAATGGTTGATTCACCAACAGTTATATACCTAGTTCATTTAAGTCTGTTACCCTTTCATGAGGGATGCACTGTCCTCAAGGATCTGCTGGTTCTGCTTGCACTGCTCTACAAAGCTGTCCCAGTCTTGCTGGATGGATGAAAGGTGTTGCTGGACTTGCCCAGCACTGGCTTTTGGCAGATGAAGAAGAAGTTTCTCTCCTTCCTCACAGACTTGCTTAAGTCGTATCTCTCCTTCTTCCACCCGGTCCATTGCGCCCTGAGGGATAGAGCACGTCAGTCTAACTCTCATTTAACTTTCAAGGAGTAAATAAACAATCACCTTGATTTTTTGCAGTTTACGTTCCACAATTTGAGTGTCTCCAGATCGGTCAGAGCATTCTTTAACAATCTCTCTTTGCTCTGAAAGCCACTGATGGAACTCCTGGACAAGATCTGAAGATAAAAACAAAAACAGACATTTTCCTCCTCGAATACATTCAGACAAAAACATATACACCTCATTTGGAAGTCTATAAAGAATTAGATTCGAATTAGACCCAGTGTTAAATACAGCCAGAGTGTTTTATGTAAGGCACAAATGCTGGCAGACAGATATCCCCCTCCTTAGCTTGTAGTACTTGTGTCATTTAAAGGAGAATAAATCGAAGAGGAAACTTTTTGTTGCAGAAAAAAAACAAAGGTCTCGATGACAAAAAACATTGAAATCTGAAAATAAAGCTGTTGTGTTTTGTTTAAACTATTTAAACAATTATTCTTTAGAATAATTTCTACTTTACTTTCAGTTTTTGTAATTTTCATAACAAAACAAGTATTTACCTTTTCTTTCAAAATTTAGAATAAATCTTAGTCCTGATATTTAAACTACACGGAAACTGTTAGGAATCCAGTTTGTATGGGTAGTTTTTGTGTTTTTTCTCTCTCCGCCACCAGGTGGTTCCCTGTTTCTCGTTGGGCCTACCTGCACACCGGCTCCATCATTACCAGAGGAGTATTTGAGCAGCGGGCTGTCACCACCTCGACGCCAGAGTGTTTGCCAGTGTTGGGTACTCTAGCCCAGCTGAGATTAGCAGAGTCTAACCTAAGCTTTGTTTCTCTGAGTCTAATCTTGTTTTTGTCTTTGCTTTTCGGCAGGAAGCCTTTCCTGTGTAACTGGATAACCTGGACCTTCTCCCCCTGGAAGGATTACTGAGTACACACTGAGCAGGGGTAAACTTCCACATGATCTGTTCAAGTCCTCTTTGGAAAACTGGATTGGAATTGGAAAACCAATTGACACTCTGCTCCTTTACTCCTCTGGGTCCAACATATGTCTACCTATCCGCTCTCCAACGATTTCCCTCTCTTCTGGATTAATTCCCCATAAACTGGATTCAAGGATTAACAAGAGCCCCCTCAAACGTGAGTTTCTCTCCAGCTATATTCAAGCCTCAGTCAATTTTTCTACAGTCCCTGAACTGTTCACTTTGACCTCTCCTTCAGACTTTCTGGTTTCGGTTCACCAGTCCACCGAGTTCCAGCTCCTAATTCTTTTTTTCATCAACATTCAATAAACCTGTTAAACTTTTTCCCTTGGTCTCTAAGTGGTTCTCTGCCTGTGGGTCAGATCACTTAAACCCATTATGACAGCAACAGATTTAGCTCTATTATTTAAATGCTGCAAAATTAAATTACAGCACACCGTGATGATACAGGAATGGTGATCAAAATACATATCTTTATTTCATTGTTTGTGCAGCAATAATAAAATCTGATAACCTAAGGCTGAAAATATTGTCTTAATCCTAGGGATGCACGATATTGGGATTTTGGCCGATATCCGATATGCCGATATTTTAAAACTCATGTATCCGATAACCGATATCGATACCGATGTTAAAGCTGGACAAAAATAAGTAGTCATTGAAAATAGCAGTTTTGTTATCCATTTCTGACACTTTGAAAAATAATATACTCAAATATATTTTCATATGCTGATATCAAATAGATTTTTAAAAACGCGGTATCGATCTATTTTACTTTCAAAATCTCATGAAATTTCATCCTTCTGTTACAAACTCTCGTGATATTTTGCAAATTCTTGTGAAATTTTGTTAGTAAAATAGATCGATACCGCGTCAATATATCAACATATAAAAATATGGCAACATTTCGTGAATTTTTGGGGGATTTCGTAGCATAACGATGACATATAGCAATATTTCATTGGTAAAAGAGATTGATATGGTGTTTTTAAATGGCAATATATCAGCATATGAAGATATTGTGATATTTTAATGTATCAATATTTTTTCCCTCGTCTTTAGAAGTTTTTAAGTCTGTAAAAAAGAAGTTTTTGAGGAAGAAGAAGTAGTATTATTATTATTTTTTTTTTTAGACTTTAGAAAATCAGAAGCTGATCAAATATCGGATTAAATATCGGTGGGGTGGCCGATGTCCGATATTCAGTTTTAAGGCCGATACCGATAGGGGGCCGATTATATCGTGCATCCCTACTTAATCCTGTTGTGCCTGATTTTGCTAATTCAAATCTACAGGAGTAATAGTAGGAATTTTATGAATTCAACATCTCATGATACCACAAAAAATAAAATTTTTATATTAAAGGATATACATTCAGGTAGCAGAGGTTTAAAACAAGACCAGTGTATTATAGGATCAGTAGTTTAGTGTCTTACCATTGAAGTGTTGTTGAAGACAGTTTTGTAAGGAGTTGAGTTTCCTCGCAGAGAGCTGGTTCACAGACTCATACGCCTTGATGAGGTCAGTGAGAGACGACCCTAAGCTGGCCAGCTCCTCAGAGGGATATTTTCTGCACAGTGTGTTGAGGCTCTCCCTGGTTGAGTCAATACTACCCTGCTGATTTTGAAGCTCTTTCTGAAGGTCCTGCCAATAATGTTCAGAAATGAGTTTGGGTTTTTATCTGGAAATGTCGTTAGATCTGACAAAGGTCTTTCCATTTGGTTTTTTTCAGATAACAGATGGTTCTACTAATATTTAACAGTTGTTATGGTTGTACCTTTACTCTGCAGATGTCCTCGGGATCTGATCCCGATGGAGAGGAAACCAAAGAGTCTTCCATGCTCTTTAGCCAAGCAGACATCTGTGAGATGTAGTCTTCTAGCTGTTTACGCTGAGATCTGAAGTCAGTCAGGTTCCCTTGAATCTGTTCATGCAGCATCTGAACAGAAGTGATCTTCTTCCGTAGGTCAGTCTCCAAAACCTTTGTGTGTTAACAGAACCAAAACATTGGCACAATATAGGCAATGTAAGTTTGTTTAAATAACACAATTCAGTACAAGGACAAGTTTAATGTTTCACATTAATTAGAAAATAAAATAGAAGAAAAATAGTAAAGATAAAAGCAGGTTGGGAAAACAAAAACAGTTGGACCACAAACCTAAACTAATAACACCTCCATTAACAGTTTAACTTCAACAGTCAAAGGCAGTTCTAAACAAATGGGTTTTTAACTTTAAATTGAAAAAAAATTTTCTTTCAGCACTTTTACAGTCTTCTGGGAGTTTTGCTACAGATAAGTGGAACATAGGAACAACGTTTGGTTCTAGTCCTGGGTGTACAAAGTAATGTAGGGTTGAACTAGAAGGCCTGAGTGGTCTGCGAGGTTGATAACTGACAACAGATCTATTATGCATTGAGGTGCTGATCTATTCAGTAATTTATAGACTAACAAAAGGATTTTAAAGTCTATTCTCTGAGCTACAGGGAGCCAGTGGAAGGACTTCAGACCTGGGCTGATGTCTCTACTTTCTTAGTTGTAGTGAGAAAACAGGGAGAAGCGTTTAGGTTCAGCTGCAGCTGTCTGATTGGCTTTTTAGGCAAACCTGTGAAGACACTATTGCAGTAATTGATTCTACTAAAGATACATGCATTCACGAGTTTTTCTAGATCCCGACTGGACATTAGTTATTTCTTCCTGGAGATGAGATGTTCTTTAGGTGATAAAGAACATAATCACTAGTTCCGGGTATTTTCAATAAAGTAAAGTTTTTAAAAAGGAAACAACTTAAAAATGTATTTTATACCTCAAGGGAGTTTGGGTTTTCATTCATGATGCTACAACTAAGATATAGCCCTTGTTGGGCGTTGGTTATTGTCTAAAAAGTTCAGCTTTTTTGGAGTCTAACATTTAAATCAATGATCTGCATTTTTTAAATAAAAACTCACAGTGGAGACGTCTGTCTTTGCCTTCCTCAATATTAAATATTCCCTCTAGTTCTCCAAGTTAAATATTCTCTCTGTAGTTATTTTCTAAGTTTGTTTGGCTATTTATATTTATAACACACATTCACTTTTTCATAAAACTCAAACACAACTGATTGACTCATATTCACATGCAAGGCCTTCTGGATGTTTCTTTCAACTAAACCCAATTGAAATACATTTACAAACCCTTAATCGGCCTCTGAAATCAGACTGTCCCTTTTCATGGTCATGATTTTATGGGTTGGGTTGTGACCGCACGGATGGGGATATTTATTAACAGTTAGTAATATGAACAAATACATTATAGTAAAATAACAATAACAATAGAGTTCTATTTCTCAGGGGTTTGCTGCATAAAAGGCCTGATTTGATTTAAAGTTTGGTTTTTAGTAATCAATTACCTGCAATTTAGCGGGAGTATCTTCGCTGTGATAGCACTTGGTCAGCTGGGAAACTTTTGTTTGGAGGACATCAAGTTTCTGCTCCTTCTCTTTAATTTCTCCCTGTTAAAGAAACCAAAAAATAAACATGTTCTACAGCCTCTTGATTTAATTAGATGTGTCCTTTAATAACCGATCCTGATTAAGCAGAAAAAAACAATCTCTAATTTTTTATGACCTCTGAAAGTCTTTCTGTACCTGTAGCCCAGAGAGCCTCTCTGACACCTTCTGACTGTTGCTGAAATTGCTCAGGATTTCGTTCAGTTCCACCACACAACTGCTCGTCCAACCCTCGATGTCCTCGTTTAGGCTAAGCACATCACCCCACAACTCAAGACAGTGACGGAGCCGATCAATGTTTTCTTCTATTTTCTCAGACACCTAGGGAAAAATTTAACAGGATCATGTGATTGACTCAGAACTTCTGTGGTTTAAATGCTCACAATATAAGTTTAAAAAGTCTGTGTTTATAGACAATAGCCTCTGCTTTAGCTCATTAATGCTGAAGGAAGTGTTGCAAAAAACATAGCTGTGACTAAGACATAAACATTTAGTGTGTGATTGCGCTCTGAGAAGGTTGCAAGTACCCGGTTCGATCCCTAGGCACCACACAATGGCAGCCCACTACACCCAAAGGGGATTGGTTAAAGGGAAACGGCGTTTTTTTTTTTTTTTTTACATTGATCCCTTGATTTTACGTTATTACATCATGTTCTACTCAAACATATGAGTTTTGTGTCATTTGGAGCCGTTCTGAAGATATTCCGTTAGGTTATATCCAAGTAACGTCTTCCTATGGGCAACGACTTGAAGGCACAAACTAAACTGTTCATTTATTCTTTATGGTACGCCAGCATTCAGAACATGTAGGACAATCACTGTCCCCCAGACATCCACAGTTATATTATTTATATTAATATTTTTTTAAAACGAAGTCTACTGTGTATGATGTCTTCCGTGCCCACCGGCTAACATTCATTCATCCTGTCCGCTGAACTGATGCTAGTTTTCCTCACATGCCTGGAAGATGTCTAGTGCTACTACCACAGATGATCTCGCTCTCCAAATGGAATTGAACGATTCAGATTAGCTAGAATGAATACAAGGGGTAGAGCGTAGCCGCCTGTGGACGAGCTGCCTGTCGCAACTCCAGTCCGGCGCGCGGATGATGTCATACACACATAAATAAAATAACGGCGGATGTCTGGGGGACAGTGATTGGCCTCCATGTTATGAATGCTGGCGTACCATAAAGAAAAAATTATGAACAGTTTAGTTTGTGCCTTCAACTCGTTGCCCATAGGAAGACGTTACTTGAATATAACCCAACGGAATACCTTCAGAACGGCTCCAAATGACACACAACTCATATGGGTGAGTAGAACATGATGGAATAACGTAAAATCAAGGGCCCAATGTAAAAAAAACACTGTTTCCCTTTAAATACAGAGAGTGCATTTCCCCATTGTTGGACAATAAAGTGGTTTACATAAACATCCGTTGAACCGTCTGCTAGTAGCTAAATTACTAACACATTGTACCAATACAATGTATTTGAGACAAACTTACATCCAGCCAGTGATCAACAGTTTTCTCCACATCTTTTCTGATCATTTCACAATCGCACTCTGGGATCTTCTTCAGTTCAGTCACGAGTTGTTTTCCCTTGCCTGAAAACTGATCCAGTTCCCGCTGCTTGCCACCCATATCTGCCTTCAATGATTGATGCTGCAATGAAGGCAGAGGAAGAAAAAAAGGTTTAATATAGGTAATCAATCAAATGTTTGATCACAAATGATAGAAAAGAGTAAGAACGGTTTCTGGTCAAACCTTGGTTAGTGATCTCTTGGTTTCCTCATAATCCTTCAGAACAGAGCTGATGTCTACCAGAGGTTCAGCTGTCTCCATGATGCCATTGATGCTGGTTTTCAGGGTTTGGTATTCCCTCATAAGCCCAGCAAGGACATTACAATGTTCTTGTCTGAAAAATAAGGAAAAAAGTTTAAAAGAAAAAAAAAACAAGCTATAGGTCATTATGCCAAAAAATGTTAAATCATGCCAACATATCCATTGAATCCTCACAGTACCGTTCTGCTATCAGCCTCTTTGTGTCCTCCCATGTTGTCTCCAGCAGACTAATTTCCCTCAAAACCTCCCCTGCCAGTTCTGCGTCTCTCTGCGCCAGCTGGTTGCCTTTGTCCCTCAGCCACTGTTCTTCATGCTGGTGTGACTGGAGCTCGTCCTCTAACTGGTTAAAGAACCGAAGTCTGATAAAAAAGGACGGTGGCTTGTTACTACATCTCAAAAACACCACAAACACACATGATGGTTATAATTGTCTTGAAAAACTGTTCATATCATTTTAACTTTCACACATTTTCTCACCTTACATCCAATATTTTAATGTGTTCTGTTGGTCTTTTATGTGATAAACTAACATAGATAGAAGCATAAATGTGAAGAAGAAGGAAATAATACAAGATAATAGCATTACTTAAAAAATGCCTAAAAAATGCAACAATCTCAATTTTTTCGCCCTCTTAAAATTTGATACACTAAATAAAACCTATTTAAACCAGTTGTCTTTTACAAGGGACTTGATGAATTAAATATTTGACGTCTCTGAGTGTAACACACCACCATGCACACAAACATGTCTAAGGACAATTTATTCAAAGTTGACAGTTATGTTTTTGCAACTTGGGAGTTGAACCCAAGACCTTCTTGGTGCAAGATAATGGTGCTAAAACTATGGTGGGCTACTGGGCAGCCCATATAAAATCAATAATCCATAAACACAAAGATAATGGCACAACTGGAAACCTGTTTGGAAAATAAATGCAGCTAAAAAAAAGAACCTGAAGAAAACTGTAAGCCAGTGTAAAGGGTTTCCTGGAACAGATGTTCCCTTTTATTCTAAACAGAATCACAGCTGCAATGGAATAATTTTGGTAAAAGCATATAAGAGTCAGATCTACAAATTTACAAGAGGATCAAAACATTCAACCCGTCTGACTAATCTTGATGCATTCGTCAAAGATTAATTGTGAGCGTTTCGATGTGCCTGTCACTATCCGATCCGTCCCGGAAAAACGATCTATTAGCCTATTTGCGCATGCACAACCAGATATAGATCCGTGTTTCCATAAAAAAGGTAATTATGATAATAACATTACGTATTTAACTCACTAGAGAATGCTAATACACATCTTTAAAAAAAAAACATTTTATGACTTTTCTTAGAAAATGTTGATACTTTTTAACATATTCTCTGTTAAACTGCTCGTATGTCATCGTCAGACATGCTCAGAGTGGTCTGGCAAAATATGATTACGGTAAACAATGTTTATCTGCAATTTAGTTTTTTTGTTTCTACATAAAACCCCAAAATACTAGATTAATCTTTAAATCCAAAGCCAAAAAAGTTAGCTCCCAGAAGTTGTGTAGGATCCCATTTCCGGCACACAGACGAGAAGAGTGATAAAACAGAAAGGATTTTAATGAATTATTTTCTCAGGAATTAACTTATTAATCTATTACACATTATAGTTCAGTATGCTTACTATTTTTTAGGAGGAAAAATTTTATTTATTTCCTTTTTACAAAATAAAATTGAGGGCGACCCGGATGTATATTAAGTTGTACATGCACAAATGAAATGATGGTACGGATCGGGCTTCCGAGACGGATTCGGTGGCGACAGAGCAAAGCTGGCAGATTTACCTCAAAAGGCTGGCAGCTGTAATGTACATTTGCATATTATTGATTCCTAACATGTGCATGTCACACATGCACATTTTTTCTTCATTTGAAAACTAAGAATTTGTTTCCTTCCAATTCACAATATACATTCCCTTGTTCTTTTCACTCCCAGAAAAATCTGTAAAGCAAACTGTTGTATTTGCTTATTGGCACCATACCGTTGCTGTAGAGCATGCAAGCTGGGCTCTTTGAAGGTCTGGTGGTCAGCTTTCTCCTCAATGTCCTCCACAGCCTTGAGCAGCTGCTCTTTCCGCTGTCGAAATGACGTCCACAAAACACCCAGGGCCTCCGCTTCATTTTGCTTCGAGCCAAGCAGGTTCCTGACTGTATCCAACTCAGCACTCAGTGAATCAGCAAGCGAGCGGCATGATTTACGTGAACCCTCTTCAGCCCCTATGTGGAGATGAGCTTTACAAAGGCTGCTGTCCAGATTGACAGCTGAACTCTCCAGATTACTTATGTCAGGAATAACAGTGGCAAGTTCTTGCTGAAGCTCCTCTACCCTCCCACGGTCCCAGCTCCCAGCGTTCTCCACAGTCTGTCCGAGACCCTGCAGAACTCCAGCCACCACACTGTGAGTCTGCAAGAACGTCTCCAGCTTCTCAAGGCACTCGAACTGCAGCTCAGCTAAACGTTGAGCCTCACAGTAAGACTGAAGACAGCTTTCTACTCTGTTATTGAGGATTTGCGCATCACCGGGCTCACAGATCTTGCAGAGCTTCTCAGACTGTTCCTCTAAGCTTTGCTTCATGCTGGACTGCTGCTGTAGAGCCAACTTTGTTTCCTGTTAGGGTCAAAAGACAAAGACTAATTAAAGCCTAATCTAAATCGAAGGGTGAGTCTGAGGAGTGGGTTAAGGAAGCAAGGGCTTGGAGAAACAAGATTTTTAGGAGGTTAAGAAGGCTGCAAGGAAGTGCAGCAGAGTAACTAAACAGGGTTCTCTCAGAGCAGAGCTAAGGAACTATATTCATTGGAACATGCAAATGAAGACTGTGGTGATTGTAATCCATAATAGCCAATAGGTGCTTAAGCCAGTTTGCAATATAATATCTGTTAGCAACATCTGTTAGCAACATCTGTATTTGAGTGACTTTGAACGTGGCATGATTGTTGGTGCCAGAAGGGCTGGTCTGAGTATTTCAGAAACTGCTGATCTACTGGGATTTTCACGCACAACCATCTCTAGGGTTTACAGAGAATGGTCCGAAAAAGAAAAAACATCCAGTGAGCGGCAGTTCTGTGGGCGGAAATGCCTTGTTGATGCCAGAGGTCAGAGGAGAATGGCCAGACTGGTTCGAGCTGATAGAAGGGCAACAGTGACTCAAATAACCACCCGTTACAACCAAGGTGGGCAGAAGAGCATCTCTGAACGCACAGTACGCCGAACTTTGAGGCAGATGGGCTACAGCAGCAGAAGACCACACCGGGTGCCACTCCTTTCAGCTAAGAACAGGAAACTGAGGCTACAATTTGCACAAGCTCATCGAAATTGGACAATAGAAGATTGGAAAAACGTTGCCTGGTCTGATGAGTCTCGATTTCTGCTGCGACATTCGGATGGTAGGGTCAGAATTTGGCGTCTACAACATGAAAGCATGGATTCGTCCTGCCTTGTATCAACGGTTCAGGCTGGTGGTGGTGGTGTCATGGTGTGGGGAATATTTTCTTGGCACTCTTCGGCCCCCCTTGGTACCAATTGAGCATCGTTGCAACGCCACAGCCTACCTGAGTATTGTTGCTGACCATGTCCATCCCTTTATGAGCACAATGTACCCAACTTCTGATGGCTACTTTCAGCAGGATAATGCGTCATGTCATAAAGCTGGAATCATCTCAGACTGGTTTCTTGAACATGACAATGAGTTCACTGTACTCAAATGGCCTCCACAGTCACCAGATCTCAATCCAATAGAGCATCTTTGGGATGTGGTGGAACGGGAGATTCGCATTCTGCAGCAACTGTGTGATGCCATCATGTCAATATGGACCAAACTCCCTGAGGAATGCTTCCAGCACCTTGTTGAATCTATGCCACGAAGAATTGAGGCAGTTCTGAAGGCAAAAGGGGGTCCAACCCGTTACTAGCATGGGGTACCTAATAAAGTGGCCGATGAGTCTATATTTATAAAATTAAACTAATTTTATAAAATTTGACACTGGCATTTAAGAGATTTAGAAAAAATATCCCACCTTTACTTGCGTGGATGAGCCCTTTAGGTTACCAATGTTGATCTGAGGAGCTGTATGGAGGTTAGAGAGTTTGTTCTCACTCCACTCAGAGAATTTAAGAAGATCCCGGTCAAACTGGTCCACCAATGAAACGTGGCTCTGAAGCTCTGTGATCCTAGCAGAGAAAAGGGATTCAAACTGAAGCTTAGTTTTTCATTAAGCTGTTATAGCACAAAACTTTTCTCCTCTGGCTGCATGTATGTCTCCAAATAAATTGGAAGTAATTGATAAAACAATTAAATTCACTAGATATGTTCACTATGCTTTCAAAAAAAAAAAGCACCTTTGAGGGATGACTTCCTGTTGGACCAGCACTCTTTGCTGTAGAGTCTGAAGCTTATCTTTAAGCTCTATAACATTCTCCTCTGGTGCTGTGGGGTACAACAATACCCCCAGAGAGACCAAGTCATCGTGGGCCTTCTTAAGAGACTCTACCTCATGTTGCAGAGCCTGAAACAAAAGTCAAAATGTAATACCAATAAGGTTAAGTTGTGGTTATATTGCTTAGATGAACATTACTGTACCTGCAAATCCTGTATCTCATTGCATAGTTTGGCTTTGTCAGCAGAAAGACACTGACTTTCTGGTTTAGATGCAGATTCACTTCTCTCCAGGCAGGTCTCAAAGTGTGAAAGCTGCTTCTCAAACCTGGCGTAGAACACAAACATTTGAAGTCTTAAAAAGTGGGATTTAAATCTCTGTTCTCACTGTTAGCTTCTGTTCTTTAGGTTAAGACAGAAAAAGCAGCTTGTTGCTCATAAAGGATTATATGTGGACCGTCCGCCAAATCAAAGAAAATATATTTTGTATGTCCTTAAGATGATCTATGACTGTTCTATGCTGCTATACGAATGTAATCTATTTCTTTTATTTTTGATTTTTAAGCTCACTTTTATGTCATAACACTGGAATATGCCTGTTTTGTTCATCTTTTGAAACTAAAATACAGTTTTTGAGTTAGGCTATACATATATATATATATGCTGATGAAGGTTCTCAGTCATCCAGGTCAAAGTCATTCAGTCTTTTCAGACACTCCAGCAATCCCTTATGTTGCTGGAGTGTCTGAAAAGCTCAAGAGGATTTTCTCCAAACACAAGATCCCAGTACATTTCAAGCCAAACCAAACCCTTAAACAGAGGCTAGTGCATCCTAAAGATAAAACCCCCAGACCGAATATGAGCGGAGTGGTATATGCTGTTCAGTGCAGCGAGGAATGCTCTGATCTTTATATTGGCGAAACAAAACAACCTCTCCACAGACGCATGGCCCAACACAGAAGAGCGGCCGCCTCTGGACAAGACTCCGCAGTACACCTACACCTTGTGGACAAAGGACATTCTTTTGAGGACCAGAATGTCCATATTCTGGATAAAGAAAATAGGTGGTTTGAGAGGGGTGTGAAGGAAGCCATCTATGTTAAGAGAGAAAAAACAACTTTAAACAGAGGTGGTGGACTCAGATTCCAGCTTCCAAAAACATACAATTCAATCATAGACATGATCCCTTCCAGATATCACCAAACCCATCACAGAGGAACGAGGGACCTACCCGCCCCAGCCGGTGAACAATACCTCCTTAACGACCAACCCTTAACAATCATAGACAGGTTTCAGGTATTACAGGAGACAATCCCCCCCCTTAATGGCAATCCCCCCTTTAACGACCGACCCCTAGAATCATAGACAGGTTCAGATATTACAGGCTAACGATGGAACTAACGACCCATTCATCGGTTACCATTGCATGTTTCCAAGCGATACAAGGCGTTGTCTATATAAGACTCAAACTCACTGCGGATCCAGACATTTGAATTGAGAAAGCTTCCTGGAGAGGTGGCGAAACGTCTTCAAATCTTGAAGACCAAGTCCAGTGGATATTTTTGAATTTTTACGGAATATATATATATATGTAAATGTTTGTATATCTGGAGTGTGTAACAAAAGAAATTTCCCTCTGGGATTATTAAAATATTTCTGATTTTCAAGTCTGGCAAAAGTTTGTCAAAAGATTTACGGCGAAATTTGAACTGGGTCATGCTAATTTAGTCTTACCTGACAAGAGCAAATTTATTTGTTTTAATGTATAAAGATACACATTTCTATTTTGAATGCAAAACTCAAAGCTATCCTTTAATATAGCAAACCGGAGGCTTTAACAGAAAAGCCGGATTTAAATTGAAGTTTACTTAAATAAATTTACTAAGAGGTTGACTTCTAAGAGCAACTTTTACGTAAGTTGAGAGAAAGTAGGCTTAGCACTAGCATACATTACACGTTTGTAGATTTGTAGTGTTTGTAAAATAGCATTCCAATAAATTAGATAAATGTTTGTGGCTATAATGTGAAAAAAAAAAAGTTAAAAAAAATCTTTTTACGGCATTATGGGAATTTAATGCATATTTGGAAATGTGCACAAATGGGAATTTAATCTTTTTAAAATAGCTGCTCTGTCTTTTTCTTTAATATCTCAGCTATTAAATTAGATTATGATAAAAAAAAAAAACAGCAACGTTAACTGTAAAAACTGCGCGGGAATATTTGTCGTATTGCCCTTAATAGCCGGATATGAAGTTACAGTATTATTCAAACATGTCTGTATTTCAGCTCGTATTATACATATAACTATAGAGGTTGGACATCTGTAGAAAAACTCATACTTTTGCCACATAGAAAGAAGGTTTTCCAAAGTGCTCTGCTTGTCCTTTGCTTCCTCCAGGGCTTGTTCGTAGCTGGTGTTTAGCTCAGTCACAGCCCTCACTGCATGCTCCTTGTCACTGATTCGTCTGACACTAGCTGACAGCGACAGAATGTTGCCTTTCAGCTGCTCCAGACTCTGACAGACATCCTAGGAAACAACAACAACATTTACCAACAACAACTGCCTGTCAACTCATGCTGGCACATAAAACAGCTTTTAGAAGTGAATTACTTTTAAAAAATCTGTTTTATTTGTAAAGATGAGAGCAGATTGTCATACCATGTGACTCTGAAGGGCTTTGTAAGTCTCGGATGATGACATGCAGGATTTAATAGGATTCTGCAGTTTTTCTTGAAGTTCAGAAATAGATGATTGTACCTTAAAGAGAAGCAAAATTAAAACACAATGTAAGCCAATATACCAACTCTTAAGGTTATGCAGTGAGAGTAATGTTAACTTTATCAACCTTGTTTAAGTTCAATTTAAACTTCAGTTGGTGAGAGGAGCTTTCCTCTAGCTGCCCATTAAATTGCTGAACACTCTCCTTCAGCTCTTCCCAGTACCTCCCAATTTGGGTGAGTCGGGCCTTAATGCGTGCTGCTTCGCCCGACGATACAAACTGGGCCAGTGCTTGGGAGTCTGTCTCCAACTGGGAAAAGGATGCAGCCCGATCTTCAAGTTCTGCTTCAACATCCTGAGATATAAAAACCAAAACATAGAAAAAGATGACATTAAACACAGTCCTCTGGAAAATTGATGTCAGGAGCAAATTTTAAGTGTTTTTCAGCATGACTTAAAATGGCACAGGACGAAAAAGATGATTTATTGCTTTTATAAAAAATCCAAACACATTTTCTTTCAATTTGTTGATCATATACAACCACAAGTCAATACTTCAATGCAGCTTTATGGTGAAGCACATTGTTTTTTGTAATGAGTTGTAGTAGGTCTTGATAGCTGTTGACGGAAAGGATCTTCTCTGGCGCTCTGCCTTGTACCAGATCTGGACAAGCCTTTGGCTGAAGACACTCTATGATGTTTAACAGTCTTCTGAAGAGCATTGTCACAGTTGTCCATAATCCAGAATCTTTGTGAAACCATCTGCAGTGGCTTCAGAGAACTTCCTAAAATGGAGCTGGGCTTCTCATCTGCTAGTTGAGCTTTTTTAAGTACCTTACTCGAACGCAGATACCCCAGCAGATGATGGTAGAAGAGATCACACTCTCCACAACAGACTTATAGAAGATACTTAGCATTTTGCCGGAAACCCTGAAGGACCGAGGCTTCCTTAAAAATGACAGTCTGTCCTGTTCCTTATTATAGTCCGAATCGCAGTGGCCTCTCCGGTCTAGTATGTTGTCAAGGTGAACACCGAGGTATTTATACTCCTTCACTTTATCCCCTACTTCCCCTACGATGCTAATGGACAAAATTTTGTTCACATTCAGAATCATTATTGTTTCCACACCATGCCACAACCAACTGTAGAATCATTTGAAGGTTACAGGAGTCTTTCTTTTACTGAAAGTCAGACATGGTCAAAGAGAATAGTGAGAGTACAGCTCCCTTGCTGATGAACGCTTGTTCAAAGTTGACTTCCCCAAGCAATTGTTGAGTCTTCTGTAGATTCTGACAAATCTATCCCCCCGCATTTTCTTTCTTTTCTTTTTTTTTTTTTTACAGTGTCCTGTCTGGCAAGGTGGCAATAAGAATAATTGTCTTGATGCCAAAAGGAGCCCAACAGATTTTACTTTCACAAGTGTAGCGGTATGGCAATTGCCATACTGCTCCACTGGTTTCATGCATATAAATTGCTTTATTATAATTATGCAGGGAGTTTTACAGTTCATATGGACACTGCAATGCAAGTAGAGCAGAAAAACAGAAGAAGAAAAAAAGGAAAAAGAAAAAGAAAAAAAAGGACAAAAGATAAAAGAAAGAGGAGATAGAAAGGAGATAATGACAAAACATTTTCAGTCTGCTTCATCACCTGCAACGAGATGTAAAAAGAACAGCACAACCAAAAGACATGGTACGAGATATACAATAAAGCAACACCTTGAAACTATCGCTAAAGTAATATTATTAAGTCTGACATGTACTCTGTGTTACCTGAAGATATGAATGTGGGCTTTCTGTATGGAAGTGAGTCTCTAAGTACCTGAAGCCAAGCACCTGTAGTTGTTTGTGAGGGTGAACTTGTGCATGTAAAGTTTTAACCATAGAAAAAATGCTCAATAGTGGTTGTGGAGAGCTGGAGAGGCACCCCCCCCAGAGCACTGAGTCCAGCGCCGGGAGACCCAAAGCCCCAGGCGCCCAAAGGGACCCCAGAAGCGAAGGCACCAAGGAGGGGCCAGCCCCGGAAATCAGACCCCCACCAAGGGAGGAGGAGAGACAGCCACAAAGAAGCCCCCCAACCACCGCCATGCGGGCGCCCCAGGGAGCCGCGGGGATGAGTCCGTGGGCCCCGCCGGCAGCCGGCCACCCTGAAGTAGGGCCGGGCACCGGACACCGGCCCCCCCACGGCACCGACCGAAACGCCCCAGCCCCACAGAGCACCGAAACACGCCCCGCCCCCCGGCACCAAGCCCTGGCGACCGGCCGCAACACCCACCGCGACCGCACCACCCAGGAAAAACACACAGGCGGCCCCGCCCGCGGCCGGGGCCCATGCGCATCCGCCACAAACCGGCCGCGAGCGCTGCGGGACCCCCCCAAAACGCCCCCCTGGCCAAAAGCGCAGCCCCACCCCACCAAGACTGACGCCAACAGCGCGCAACGCAACACATCGTGCACAGAATCACCCCAAGAGCAGAAAAGCGGCCCGGCGCAAAACCGCAAGAAGAGCAGACCGCAGCCGGCGCAACCCCCCCCCCCCCCCCCCCCCCCCCCAGCAGCCCGAGGGGCAGCACAAAGCCAGAGCGGAGCGAACCACGCAGCTCCGCCACCCCGGCCCCCCAACGCACGCCGGCAAGAGCCAATCCAACCCCCACCCGCCCCGCAGCCTCACCCGCCGCGATCAGCGGGAACAAAGCAGCTCCGCCATGCCTCCAAGAGGGAAAACCCACCCGAATACCCAATCAGCGCAGCCAGCCCGCCCACACCGGCCCCCCAACACCACCCCCGCCGGAGCCGCCCGGACCCCCACACACCAGCGGCGCGCCGCCAGCAGGACCCCCACCCAGCAGGCCCGCCCGCCCCCCGAGAAAACAGACATGCCAAACCCCCCCCCCCCCCCCAAAAAAAAAAAAAAAGGAGCCCCCACAATGCGACACCAGACACCGACCCGCCCGCAACCGCTCCCCCCCACCGAGGAAGCAAGAGAGAAAAAAAATAAAAATAAATAAATAAATTAATTAATTGATTAATAATTACAATTAAAATAAATATGCAAGAGGAGAAATGCGAGCGGAAAAACCGGAGCCCAAAACAGGACCCAAGACTCGCACCCCACCATGCCGTGCAGCTCCCCTCCCCCCTGAACCGATACCACAGAACCGGCATAAGAAAAAACACCGCCCAGGAACCGGCATCGCACCAAAGGCACCGGCACCGACACCGAAGATCCCCCAACAACACCCAGCCCCACCCCGAAGTGGATCCAGTCCCGGGCCCCAGGGATCCGAGGCCCCAAGGGCGACCGACCCCCAGACAGGAGCCCCAGCAAAGCCCCGGCCGGCCGGGGCCAGCGGAAAGGCCGCCAGGAATGAGCCAGCAGCCCCCCGGGCATCCACCCCCAGACCCCAAGCTCCACCAGCGCACCGGTGAGCCCCGACGCCAGCCAGCTGAGGGAGAGCAGGACGGGGGGAATGGGCTCCGCACTTAGCGGAGACTTGAGATGTATTTGGGAGAGGGTGATCCCCCCAGCATTTTCACGTTTGTGTATTCATTGTACCTTGCTAACTGTCCCTATTGTAATGCACGTAACAGTGATATGACCAGCCCTTCTACATGAGACTGGATAAAGGCTGAAAAAAACTAGAGCAAGTGAGCTGCATTTTTCCCCAGAACTTTTCATTACCTGCCCCTTCAACATTGTTCCTGAGCTGAGAACAGGTCATAACCATGCTTTTCCAACAAGGCAAGGCAGAGCCTATTTATATTATCCATTCACCCACCGACTCATTTATATTGCAAAGCTCCTTCCATGAAAGAAAGAACAACTTAGAGAATAATTGTATTTTGTCTTGTCTGGCCTTTTCATGTCATTCAACATTTCAGCTTAGAAAATGACAAACAGTATGATTTCAGTATTGGAGTAACATTTATTTCACCCAAGGAAAAGCACTACATATGAAGCCACAATTGTCCCATTTAGCAGTTTTTACAAACCCAAGGGGAGTCCTTCCTGTATTTGCGACAGGTATACTTTATGCAGTGCACACAACGCTCAGTGCTGTGGTTCCTGTTGCAGAGATTGCACACCTTGCCTGCTTATAATAACAACGATCAAATCTAAAAAAAAATAGAGTTCAGCACATATTCCGAAAGTAAGAGTTGTAGTATGAGCTAGATGAGGTTATCTATGTATCCTACAAGTTTGGTGGCACTACAATGATCTATAGTGTAATTAATGGCTATAATTATATGCTTATAAAAACGAAGAAAAAATCTTGAATAATACAGTTTGGCCTATCTTCCCAAAGTAAGATACAATGTGGTACAATGATCTATAGTGTAGTCATTGCTCATTTTATAATTATTCAAATAATAAAATAGAGGTGCCATTTGTCATTTAGGCTTTGGGACATTCCTCATAAAAGTATTATTTTCAAATCCAATAAATGTGATATGAAAGACATCAGATTGGATACACATGAAATTAATTTGATAATAATCCACGTCTCCTTGGTGACGCTTTTGAATATTTCTCTCTGATTATTTTTATGTTTTTGCAACTTGCAGACGGTCCCTAACCTTTGCAGAGGAGCGAGCTCTACATAGTGTCCAATGTAATTCTCCCAGCACAATAGGAGACTAGTTTTGAGGAAACTACAGTTGTAGCTCACTGTCTGCCTTGCTGTGGTTGCGGCGAGTCGTCTGTTTTGTAGAATAAATTAATCAGCCGACAAATTATTAATTTCGGAAAAGGCGAATCTGTGAATACATTGCCAACTTTACTGCAGTCTCTCTTCTGCTGCAGCACCGCACTGAAGTGACTTGAGTAATATTTGCCCCCTGTAAATAGGGCAGATTGTCATTATTATATAAACATTCTTGCTTTCTCTCTCTACAGCGTTCCAGCTCATGCAGCTATTTTTATTGTACAGATACGTTATCGTCTGATTGCTTCGCTGGTGGCCTCGCTGTCTGAAATCATTCCAGTGTTGGTGACTCTGATGACGTAGACGTAGTTATATTTAATTACAAATAAATAGGCCTGTGGAGTGATATTTTCTCTCCAGTTTCCTAGCATTTTGCTTCAAAATGCGCAGCTTTGCATTAAACCAAAGAGCAAGCTTTCTATTTTAACGGTTTTCATTTTCAAAGGAGCTGCGTTGTCTAAGGCAGTACGCAGAGAACTAGTGTTATGCCATATGCCATGATCATACCTTTTGGAAAGTGGGAACCAGTGTCCATATTTCATCCTGATAGGATGACCAGAGAAGAAAACGCAGCTTTGGTGAATAACAGCTTGGGGACTTCAGCAGCCCCCCTTTTTCAGCCAAAGCAGTCACATGGAAGTCACAGAGG